ATCTATATTATACTCTCCTCTCCTCTACTGTGTTTGTGACATGCCATATACATACATGTACATAAGAGAACAAACCACCCAAACCTAACAAAGAGAAGTGTATTCATTCAAATATATGCACCAGGCCCTCATTAAAACAGACATCTTTTTCCCAGATTCAGGCCTGCAACAAGGATAATCGTGTTACCTAAAAGAAACCCTTTTATTTTAAACAAGGAAATATTCTTTGGCTGCAGAAACCATTTCCTGCCCCACAGACTTTGCTGTGCCAAAGCAAACTAAGAGGACCTGGTATATACAGTATGATGCAGAAAAAAGTGAACTTGTTCAGCAGAAGCTAAGAGTGGGAGGAAGCAGCATGGAGCCCAGCCTACTGGCCGCCCCAGTAGGAGGCCCACCTCAGAGATAGTTTTAGGAGTTGGGGATGGAGCTCGAGTTGCCATTTGCGGAGACAAGAAGTGTGATGGGACAGCCAGACACAAGGCACGTCCCCTGGAAACCAGTGTCACTCAGAAAATGGTGCTCATTTACTCCACACCCCGCCCACAACTCCTGTAACCCAGGCAGTGTATGTGGGGTCTCCCCACACTGTACCCTAGCAACCCTAGAGTGGATTTAAAGAAAAAAAGGGTTTATGGAATATCAGTTTGAACAGATGCAAAATTCTTCATTGTTTGGGATACCCTGCATGCTGGTCTGGCCCTGAGACATATCAGAGCTTGATTCCTGCCACTAACATAGCTGTGCGCTCTTGGGAAAGTTGTTAATGACCCATGGTCTCGATTTCCTTGTGTAGTGATAATAACGCCTTCTGCATAGGGCTTCTGTGACCATTAATCCTAAGCACAGTCAGCAATGATGACCAGCAGGTCCACAACTAGCGATGCAAACAGGGCAAACAGAGCAGAATGCACTCTGACACTTGATGAGGGGGTGGGGAATGGGTGTCCTGTTCAGCCACAGAGGGGCTCCCAGCCCAGACAGCTGCTCCCTGCATCCACTTCTGGCTGCCAGTGGTGTCATTGGGCTTTGGGCCTGAGCTTTATAAGGGTGGAGGGAGTTTAAACATTTGTATAGTTAAAAAATGATTCTTAAAAAGTTTGTTTTGCCTGAATTTTGATGTCCAGGGTCAAAGCCTTGGTCATGCCATTTTAATTCAGGGCTGGTTGACTTCATATTATCTCGCAAACACCTTTCCTGTTTGGACTCTTCTCTTCTTTTTACAGGTGAGGTAAGGTCCCCCACAGAGTTGGGGATTATCAACCCGGAGTCAGAGCAAAATGTGTATAATTTGTACACAGATCTGAGACTTGGGCTTGGGTTCTACAGAGTGAAAGGCAAAAGACAGCATATTAAAAACAGGATGGGTGGGTTTTTCATGAGAAAAAAATCACAGAGCTTTGTTACGAAAACACATGGCATTGGGTTTTTGTGGAGATTCATTCTTTAAAATATCCAAGTTCTAGTCTGTGTTAATTTTTGAACCAATGAGAAGTAGCCTAAATGTTAGAGAAGGAAGGGAACTCAGCTCTCACCTAGTTCCAGACTTTGTTTTTAGAGTTACAGAAATTGAAGCCTTGAGAGGTTAAATGACAGAAGCAAGGTCTTGCAATTAATGGCAGAGCTGGGACTGGAACCTACAGCCCGACTCTGACACCAGGGCTTGTTTGCCTACATGAAATTGCCCTGCCTTGAAAGCAGCACCATTTTTTTGGTGACGTAGCGCATGAATCACTCTTTAATTCTGGGGTGGTAGAAACATATCTTGTCACCAAAATGCAGAAATGTTTTAATAATATGTTGCAGATGTCCTTGGACATTGAAGAGGTTTCTGGCCATCCTCCCCACTCCTATCAGTTGGTGGTTGCTTAGGCAATGCAAAACAATTTGAATGTGACTCTTAAAAGAAAAAAAATCACACTTTATCTCTTGTCACACTTTATAATTTTTTTAAAAAAATTTTCCCATTGTTGTTCAGTTACAGTTGTCCCCATTTTCCCCCCATTACTGTTCTCCCGTGACCTGCCCACTCCTCCTCTCCCACATTCAGTTCTCTCTCTCATTGTCCTTGCCTCTTCCTTCTCAGTCCCACTCTGCTCTCATTCTCCGAGAGCCCTAGGCCTTTCAAGGGCCAGCAGGACAAGCCGCCTCTAGACAGCTAGTCATCTGACTGCTTGTTGCTGCCGTTCCCAAGCAGCCAGAAAGCTGCAGGTTTAAGTTTATGGACTGACAATGCACTGATCTCACTAAATATTTGTTTGATCTTATTGACTTTTTGTGGTAGGAAAAAAAAGTCCCTTGTGGTACCAGGTTACCTTAGTACAAAGCAATGAAAGTTGAGACTGATCAACACTGTCCTTTCATGGGCATGACACTGGGGTTTACTCCCTATTACTTGTCATTGGGAGACAGAACAATCAGTATAATGTAAGAACATGTTCAGAGCTTAACATGCTTTTTAATATAGTTCTTAAAACATTTACTGTAAAGACACAATTGCTAATTTGTTTTGTATACATAAAACTGCTTTGGAAGTACTTTTTCACTGTGATAGTTAAGTAAAAATAGAATAATTAGTGTTCTGTTTTGGGACCAATCTCTCCTTTCTTCCACTAGAATATTCGTATTTTTTTCCTTTGTAATCTTATAAAATTAGGTCTTAGAGTAATCTGTGGCTGTGGCAGAATCTTATTTAAGTTTCTATATTCTTTGGAAGCCTTCTGCTGTTGCTTTACCGCCTGACTCCTCTGGCATTCCACTTTTTACATTTCTCTTTGGCTTCCCAGCATTTGCCACATTGTTGTTTTGTTGCACAGTTTCTGGCTCCCCTGGTTGCCCTGTGAGTCCTTAAGCTGCTGAAGACATTTAGTATAAACTCAGAGAGATCATTCTGAGAAAAGCATTTTATTCTTCCCAGACAAGGTAGAAAATAGTCAAAACAACAGGACATTGTCCTGGTTTTAGCCACATTTGAAAAGAGACTTAAATTTACTTGTACTTGAAGCTTCTGGAATGTCTATTTTGTGTCAGACTTGTGTTAGTTTCTTTTTAAAGAAATGGCAAGAAAATAGATACATTGTTCAGTTTTTTTAAACCTTACTGCCTAACTTCTCTGAAGTAGTCCTTTCAGTCTCAAAAAAATGAAATCCCTAACTTTTATCTTTACTTCTTTTTAAGTTTTTTGTATCTTAAATAGTTCTTTGACTCCAGATTCCACTCTATTTATTAGTACTTCCTATTACTTGTCATTTAGGAGACAGAAACTCAGTGTATGGAAGGACACGTTCAGCGCTGAGCATGCTTTTTAATATGGCTCTGAAAACATTTCCTTTATAGTTAATTTCTAGAAAGAGTAGTTTATTTTCAGTAGCTTTATTTTCTCTTTTCCCAATCATCCTTTTCTCAAGTATACATCCATTTGGTTTCTGTCCAACCAATAAAGTTATTCTAACAAGGATTACTTTGTTATCTACTGCCGCATAACAATCCACACCAGAACTCAACAGCTTAAAGCAGCGACAAGTGTCTTATTTCTCTTGATTCTGTGGGTGACTGGGCTCAGCTGGGCTGTTCTTCTGTTCCACATGACATTGGTTGGGTTGCAGTTATCCGTAGGCTTGATGCAGTTGGAATACCTAAGACAGTTTCAAAGTTGCTGGGTGTCAGGCAAGAGGTCGACCAGAGCTGTTGACCGAAATACCTTGGTTGTTCCTTGTGTTTTTTCCCTATGTAGCTTGGACTTCTCATAGCACGGTGGCTGCAAGAGCATTCCCAAGTGCAAAGGCAGAAGCTGAAGGTTCCCCAAAGTCTAGCCTAGGAAGTTTTACAGTCTCACTTCTCCCTGCATTCTTTTGGTGAAACCTGGCCACAGGGCAAGCCAAATTCGGTAGGAGGGTAAATAGAGTCCATCTCCTGAAAGATGAGTGGGATGGTCACCTTGCAAAAGAGATGTGGGATGCTATAGCCACCTTGTAGACACAATTACTAGGGATATCCAAATTGACCCAACCAATCTTCTATCCCATTAACACTACTAGCCGCTCTCCACGGTTTGTTAGTGGTGCCGCCCCCTGGTTTCCTTTCTCTTTCTCTTCCCACTCAGCCTTCCCCATTTGCTCTTCTTTCCCTCCTTGCCCTGGCATAATGGTGTTCCCAAACGTCTTCACCCTCTTGTCTTCTCATTCTCCATTCTTTCTTAGAAGATTATATCTGCACTCATGGCATTAAAGGTAATGCACTCATTTCAAGAAATGAATTGCAAGCTAAATGTCCACCAATGGCAAAATGATTGAATGGATTATGGTGCGTCAATATTGTTGAAAGTTTTGCAGCTATTACACAGGAATAGTCTGTATTAAATTAGAAATAAGTCTGTGATACATTATTAAGGGAAAATGCATGAAAAATTTTATAGTATAATATAGAGATGTGTGTATGCTTTTGCATATGTTTGTATAGTACGGTGCATTTGGAATGATATGCTTCAACCTGCTCATATTGGTTATATTGAAGATGCCTTATTAATGTAATTAACAATTAGTGTAAAAGTAATTAATGGTATTCAGAAATTAATTTTAAGACCATATATGAATCTGTAGACAATAAAGATGGAAGCTAGTGTAGAAGAATATTTCTTTAATGGTTTAGGGAATGTTTACAAAAATGGGAGTCTCTTTTTTTGTGTGTGTTGAATGCTTATATATGCATAGAAATAAGTCTGCAAAGATTTAGAACAAGTTAACAGTAGTAATTTCTGGATGGCAGATGAGTTTTATTTCTTTTGGCTTATCTGTATTATGCAATTTCAAAACAATGCTGTTTTCATGATAGAAATAACATTATTTCTAAAAATAGAAGATAGTATATAAAACTGGTATCATTAAGCTATTTGTTCTCTCAATACCTAAGACTTGAAAAAGCAACAATTGTATGAAATTATTGCAAAACGAATCTATTTTAGAACAGCAGTTGCCACATAACATTGTTTTCCTTGCTTGCAGCAAAGACTGAAGGAAGAGAAGGAAGCCAAGCGGGCACGTTTGGATGGCAGGCACGCCTATGTATTTGCCATTGTAGCTTCCTGCGTGGACTTGAACAAAACCGAAGTGGAGGATGCTGTCCTCGAGGGGAATCAGGTGCGATGCATTTGAGTTCTCATTGACTTGGTTATGGAGGGTGTGGAGGGTCTGCCGGCACTGTCCTGTGGCGGGATCCCACTCTGGGCCGTGGAGGGTGCCTGTTTTAACACAGACAGGACTCTATTCTGATTCTGTACAGATGATGGCAGAATGAGCACAGGGCTCTCCAGGCCTTTATGTTGAACGAGATACTTGAGATGCCATTTAATTTCCACGATTCTGACTGCAATGTCTGCATCTCCCTGAGTCCAGTGAAGGTGGGCTCAGGTGCCATTTTGGAACCTGAGTTTGGAAAACAGAATCTCCTCTCAGAGACTGATTTGTTTTATTTTATTTTATTTTATTTTTTTGGACTTGTCCTAGCCTGAGAAACTGAATCGTATCATTGTTTCCTGGCTTTGACTTTGGTTTGGATCTGAATCTGGTTAACTTTGCTTCTGACCTTGACTTCCATTTTCTGCCATGAGTTCCCTCCAAAACCTAAGATGTGATTTGACTTGGGTTGGGAAAAATCAGACTCCTGGAGGATATAATTTCCTGGGTAGTGAGGAAGGCATGTCAGGAGTCCTGTGATGGTTCCTGAAGATGGGGTTTTTTATTTTTTAATTTATTAGGAGGGACGGGGGCGGGGAGAGAGAGAGAGAGAGGGAGGGAGGGAGAGAGAGAGAAAGAGAGAGAGAGAGAGAGAGAGAGAGAGAGAGGAAGAGAATGAGAGCACCCTTTTTGCTGAACAGGAGTCACAGTGTTGGTAATGCTTGTCAGTGGTAGGCTTATAAGTGTTAAACAGCAAGCTTTGGGCAAGAGGGTGGAGGGAAGCACAAAGTGTGAATGTTTTCTGGTTTATGCCATGTAAATACTCCCACATGGCTGGTTCCAAAGTAGGAACACAATGTTACTAATGCTAGGCTGGGAGGAGTTGTGATCAGTTGGCTGTTAGGAGCCGCTGTGAGTCAGCTCCAGCACTCCACTAGCTTTGTTCCTTCCTGCAAGGTCTCTCCGGCGGAGTTAATAGGGGTCAGTGGGACAATTAAGGGTGAATAACACTGAAATGCTTAAACTATGGGATGAATCAGTCAGGGGTTGAGGAAATGCTCCTTTCCTCCTGCTGGTCTTTCTTATCACAGCTAACATTTATTGGATACTTACCATGCATCAGTCTCTCTCTTAAGTGATTTTCATCTGTTATCCCACTTAATCTTCATCGTACCAGGATGTAGATAATATTTAAAAATAGAGGCAAAGGAGGAGAAGGAGTCACATAGCTGATGTGGTCTTGGAAAGACTGTTCCCAAGGTGAATTGCTTACCTATACCCAGCTTTCCAATTCAGACATCTGGATTTGGGATCCCGCAGCGGGGATGAATGAAGAAAAGTTCTGAACTGTTCTGAGGAACCCAAGTGAAACTGCTCTGTCACATTCAGGACTCAGAAATATTAAAACCCGGAGGATTAAGAAAGCATGCTGGCTCAAGCTTACAAGCTAGACCAGAGGGGCAGGAGTTTCAATATGACCCTGATGGAATTATCTCTTGTACAGTCTCCTTGGCTGTGGAAGTTAATCTCATGGATTCAACTCATCCCCACAGTATCCTCAGGCAAGGAAATGTAACAAAGAAAACAGAGCAACTTGCTTTTCCTCATATTTAATTGTTTTATCTATAACATGGTAGACATCGAAGAGGGCTTCTTTTCATATTAAAATTTTTCAGCTGGATTTTATCCTTTAAAGTTTTTTAAATTTTTAAATTGTGGTAAAATATACATAACATAAAAGTTGCCATCTTAATTAATGTAAGTGTATGTACCACATTTTATTTATCCGTCCATCTGTCAATGAACATTTGGGTTGCTTTTACCTTTTGGCTACTATGAATAATGCTGCTATGAACACTAAGACCAGGGGTGTACAAATATGTCTGCAAGACCTTGTTTTCAGTTCTTTTGCATGTATCCCCAGAAGTGGAATTTCAGGATCCTATAGCAATTCTCTTTTTAATGTTTTGATGACAGGAGCCATAGTCTTTTCTGCAGTGACATTTTACCTTCCCACCAGCAGGGCACAAGGGTTCCGGTTTCTCTATATCCTTGCTAGCATTTATTATTTTCTATTTTTTTTAATAGTAGCCATCCTAATATGCATGTAAATTTTATACTTTTCTGTCAGTTTGAATTCAAAACCATGCAACTGACTACTTAAGGGAAGCCCTTTCATTGGTAGCAGCCAGAGGGCAGACCTCTAGATGTCCATGAACTTCACGGATGGGATGCGTGGGTCTAGGTTCTAGGTTCCTGCTGGCCGGACTGTTCCACGGTCATATGTGTTCTCGTGGCATTTTTCAGTGATGATTGCAATCTAATATTAATAGTTTTCCCTAGTGTGTTAGACTGGGTTTTGGGTATTGAACAGTTTGTTCTCTCTGATCTGCAATTAAATGAAAATGAAACAGTCATCTGTATTTATTATATGTGCCTTCAACAGCTCAACACTTTAGAAATGACCAAAAGTGGACAGATAATCTCTTCAAATGTGCATATTTGGGAGAAATTTTTATGATTAATTGAATTATTTTTTGAATTGAATCCTTACTATGAGAGGCATTTATTCTTCATGGTTTTATGTTGAAAGAAATATACGCCTTCTTTATGGTTTGCATCAGGAGCAGTCCTATCCAAATAAAAAAGGTGATGGTGAATGCTGATTTAAAGGCAGTGTCTAATTCAGAACAAAGTTGTTACTTTGCCTTTTTTGTCCCCCCCAGATTGAAAGAATTGATCAGCTTTTTGCTGTTGGAGGTCTTCGCCATCTCATGTTTTACTATCAGGATGTGGAGGTAGCAGAAACAGGTATCCAAATTTGATATGATATAACCCAGGAATGTGTTGTTAGATTTAACTGAGGATGGCCTGAGGCAGGAGACCTCTGCGAACTGCACAGGTAGCAGCGAGGTGTCGGGGATGGGGCCTGGCTTCTATTTTTACCTTCAGGAAAGGGGACACATAATGATGGGTATTTAGCCTGCTTGTTCTATCTTTATTTGGGATGTTTGGTTTACTTTTTCAGGCTGCGCTGGTAATTAAGGAACGATAAAGTAATTTCCATTTTGAGACTTCCTTCCTTCACATGCTGGTTCATTCCACCAATTATGTTCTAGAACTTTCGGGCCTCCGTTTCTTCTCTATGTAGGCACTATTTCTTTTTAACATAGGAATTTTTGCCAATAAGCCTAACAGGAGTTTTCCAGTTAAATATCACATTATGTTTATTTTCTACTGACTATGATTTAAATGAGTGATATTGAATGATAAATTTAGCCATTTTCACTTAAGAAAGAGCTGTAAATCTTTGTGTGGATTCAACTGGCAAATCCCATTCTACTTTTATGTGGATTCATACAGTTTTAAAGTCAAACCAGTGATATAAACAAATATATTATGATTATATTAAAATATTATATGCATCCTTTTATTACCTTTTTGAGGAAAGGGAAGATAGTTATTGCTGTTGGTATATAGTATGACTATGCTTTTTTGTTTAAAAACTGAGGAAATTATGCATGCAGAATCTAAATGACCAGCATTTTCTTAAACTTATCTATCTGATGTTTTGTGGTCAGAAAGTATATTATATTTTGAGTGAAAAAATCAAAATAATATACAAGTTTTGAATTCTATCTCAGATTGAAAAGCTCCTGAAATGCTGAGTTCATTTATGAACTATATACTGGGTGAAATAGCCTTCATGTTTAAATCTTACATTGAACAAGAAGGGTTTTTGTGATGTGAACATAAAAAAAGTTTATTTTTGTTTCCCACTCTCTCTTTAAACCTTTTTGGTGGGTGTAGTGTTTCTTCTGACTTTGGATTATGATTTAGACAATCGCGCATAATTTTTCTGGATATTCTTAGATAAGAAAAATTCCTACAGTTGCAGCAAATTACATACACATTCTCAGTTCAGAAACTAAAAATATGCAGTTGATGAACACTAGATGATGTAAAGTTAAATCTTCTTTATTCCTAGCTTTCCCTCATCCTCCCCACCAACCCCCAGCAGGGGTGTCCGAAGATTGATATTTGTATAAGGTCCCCTGCTTTCTCATCTTATCCTCCCACCCCTTGTCCACATTGTGTTAACCACAGGTTGTGACTGCGTCAGGCTTGAAGTCGGCAGTGACAAGACCTAAGAGGTGGTAGGAGAGTTTCCATTGAACTAGCACTGTCATAAGCTGGCTGACCTTGTACTGCCTGGGCCCGTGTTCTCGTGGGTACTATGGCAGGTTCTCTGGAGGTGGCCGCTGGGAGCACTGGCTGTGCATCCATTGATGAGGTGTTGTCCTCCTGACGGCCGCTGCCCTCTGCTCTTGTGTCTTGGCTGCCTACACCGCCCGACTGACTCTGTTGTGTCATCCTTCCTGCACTCCTCTTGAGCGTGGTTTGAGAGGGCTCCAGGCCCATTTTCTTTTCAGGGGGGTCCCACCTGATTCACTAGAAACACTTCCCACTTCCTGTCCCTACCATCCATAGACGTGTCACTAGCCCTCAGTTCAGCCCAGTTTCTCTCTGCCTGCCCTGTTGCATGCTGTGCTCAGGTTTTTAAGGGCTGTGTCATTTCCCATCCCAATTTGCTCTTAGACTCCAGGAGACACTAATTAGACTCTTTAGGTAGTTGGGCTGAGGAGTCTTTCTTGACTCCGGTGACCAGTGATCCTGGTTTGCCTGAGACTTACCCGGCTTTAGCACAGGAAGTCCCATATCCTAGGAAAGAAACGCTTCAATTCCTGGGCACACTGGGACAGTTGTTGACCTCCATCTTGACCTGAGATGCAAAAGAAACATTTCACACCTATGTCCTGTGCCCAGCACAGCCATTCTCACCAAAGTCCTCCTGAGGCTACACTCTCCGGAGAATTTTGAATTCTGATGTGGGTGAGACATTTAATCCATTCTAGGACACTTTGAAGTTTCTGCACGAAATTTTTTTTTTTTTTTGCTTTAAAACTCTTTATTTCTATCTATCATATCCTGGTGCCTTGTTGAAACTTCTAGTTTAACATCTTCCTCATGAGACCCAGAAGGTATTAGTCAGAAGTGGGGCACAATTTTGAATGAGAGAGGTCTTCTGGTTACCTTTCTTGGAGGGGTTCCTTGTCATCACCCTGGTCCAAGTCTCTAGGCCAGCTCCATGGGGAAGGAAGAGCCCCAGGAACCCATTCCCCTAAGAGGTTCTAAACGCAGGGTTTTAGGATTCACTTCTGGTCCACTCCTCTCCTCTTTGTTAGCACAATAATCTTGCTCCTGCCCCAATAGTCTTGTTTTGAGCTACCAGCTCATTTGTAGACCTGAAACTTCCTTGGGCAGATAATAGCACGGTAGAACAACTCAGGGCATAGCCTTACTTAAATGATCCACTCATGAGCTGCATGCTTGGATGACCAAAAATGAGTTTTCAGATAATAATGATGATGATGATGATGATGATGATGATGATGATGATAATGCTTAGTGAACTAGTATTTCGATGTACTTTTCTAAAGACTTTACAGGTATTAACTTATTTAATCCTTACAACAATTCCAGATGCTGGGTTTTAGCATTATTGTTTCCATTTTTCAGATGACAAAGCCAAAGGGCCAAAAGATTAAATAACTTGCCCAAGGTCACATGGCGAGGCCGTACTGCCCAGCAGAGCCTGAGATTGAAGCCCTGAGCGTCTGGCTCTGCAGGGCACACCATTCACCATGGCCCTGACTCTAGCATTATAGTGAAGGGCCAACCAGACCAGAGAAGGAGCAGAGGGGGGAGGAGGAGGTCTGGAGTTTTGCAGTGAGAGCTGGTGTTTGATCTTGGCTGTGTGCCCGCTGGCTGTGTGGCGTGGGACCGGTCACAGTTGCCTTCAGGGTTGTAAGGAGTGTTAGTAATTTAGACAAGATTCCAAGCAGAGGACCTGGCGCACAGCACATGCCAATAGATGCTGTCCCCTCTCTTACCCCCTCTCACTGTCCTCTGCAAAGGCCTATTGTGACAGAGATGACTTCTATAGCTTCAGCAAGAATTTACTCTGGACCAATCTTTCTTATTCCTGTTTCTTTTCCTTTTTTTTTTTTTCACTGCCTGGAGTAACAATTCTGAAATAAACAGATCCTTTTACATCCTTTAGGGCTCAGGCCAGAGATTGTCCAAGTGGTGGACATTTTAAGACACATGGATGAGCCAATATGACAATATTTCAACAAGGAAACTTCATACCAAGATAGAACCATGTGAACTGCAAATAGCAGTTGTGAAATTAAAATTGTTTTGCATTTATAGGACAGCATAGCTCTTCAGGAGGAGTAAATCCTATTTCTGGAAAGATGAAAAAACCTAAAGTGTTCGTGACCGAGGGAAAAGATGTAGCTCTTACTGGCACCTGTGTGTTCTTCATCAGGACAGACCCTTCCCGAGCCATCACCCCTGAGAACATCCATCGGGTAAGGGGCAAGAGCAATCCTGTACCTGCTTCAAAGTCACATAAGTTCTACTGAAGATATCCATACTTTATTAAGCATTCATTAAGTATCTAAAACTACTTTCAAGGAAGTATTTTTAAAAGCATTTAAAACAAACAATTAAGAGGACATTTTCTTTAAATCTGTTAGGTAAGAGGACTAAATAGTCAATATATTAATAAAAATGGATAAAACATTTTTTTGTGTGTGTTACAGTGAGGTTTTTCCTTTTTTTAAAAAAGATTTATTTATTTATTTTTAGAGAGAAGGGAAGGGAGGGAGAAAGAGAAGGAGAGAAACACTGATGTGAGAGAGAAACATGTATTGGTTGCCTCTCACATGCACCCCAGCTGGGGACCGAACCTGTAACCAAGGCATGTGCCCTGACCAGGAATCAAACCGACAACCTTTCGCTTTGTGGGATGATACCCAATCCACTGAGCCACACCAGTGAGGACAAAGTCTTTCTTTTTTAAAAGAATTCCCCATACATGATTTATTTTATGGCAAATTTCATATATTTAAAGTAAGACTTTATTTTTTGTGCAATATAAAGTTCGTCTGTACATGTCTCCCCTGCCGTTAATAGGTGTATTATTTGCTTGGTGTAGACAAATTGGTAAATATGTTCTATTAATTTCATTCTTTTATTGTGATGATTGAGATTTAGAATGGTATAAAGCTATGTCTTAGCCAGACTATGAAAATGGAAATTTACTGGATGGAAAGACTGAATAGAAAAACAGACAGTGGTAAGATCATATATAAATATAAAACTTTGAGCCCTGGCCGGGTGGCCCAGCTGATTAGAGCGTTGCCCCAATATGCCAAGGTTACAGGTTTGATCCCCAGTCAGGGCACACACAAGAATCAACCACTGAGTGCATAAATAAGTGGAACAACAAATCTCCCTCTCTCTCTCTCCCCCCCCTGCTACACCCTTCCTTTCTCTCTCTAAAATCAATCAATTAAAAAATAAAATAAAAAAGAAAAATAGAGCTTTGAGCTGCAATCTGTAGCAACTTGCCCAGGAAAATGACTCCCTGTCTACAGTAAACAACCCAGGTAGCCAGCCTCCTTGTATGGACTTTTGTCCATATTTCCAGGGGCCTTCCCTGGTGCAACCAGAGAAAGCCAAATGTGCACCCCTAACCAATCACACAGGATGCCCCGCTTCTAGTGAGCCCTCCTCCCCTTTCTCCCGGTGATCAGCCCCCAGTCAGGGCACTCCACTAGAATGCTCCCCCACTCCCCTGCCTGCCTGAGTCTCTGCCGAAATGCCAGGGATGGTGGCGGACTCTTACTACAGCAAGCTCCAAATCTCCAGTCTTTGCTTTTCTCAGTTGATAGGTCTTTATTTCCTTCCACAGGATGGTTGATTAATAGACAACATTCAGAGAGACTTCGTAGCTGTGTTGTGATTGAAGGTGATTTTTACAGTAAAGGATCTCCTCTTTGTTTTCCAGGAGGTGAGCTTTAATATGTTAGATGCCGCCAATGGGGGCCTGCTCAATAGCATGAGGCATTTGCTGTCGGACATCTTCCTTCCGGCTCTCAGGGCCACAAGCCAGGGCTGGGGCGAACTTGAAGGGCTTCCGGAAGCATCCAGCATTCGGCAGGACTTCTTGAGCTCTCTGGAAGGCTTTGTCAGTGTCCTGTCGAGTGCACAGGAGAGTTTGAAGGAGAAGGTAAGAACGAATAAGATTTCTTCAAACTTTCAGAGGGTGAACAAATCAACATAGATGTGTGTAATAGTTCTCTTAAATAGTCTTAATTCCACTACCTGGCTGATCTTGAAACCATTTCATGGGAATTTTTATTGTCCCTTCAAGATTTGGTGGTGACTAGATTTAAATTCCTGTAGTTTAGAGTGATTAATGCATCAGAGCTTCCATAGAAATGTTGACTATCATGGAAGACTCAGTCATTTCAGATGTGTGGCTGCAAAATATGAAATATTTGTGTTACTGCTCTGCATCCCAGAGGGAAGGAATTTGGATCCAGAGCATGTGTGCGCGTGGGTGTGGATGGTGGGTGGTGGGTCGGGATGAAGGAAATCCTGACGAGGAGAGAGGAGAGAGGAATTGACACATCCTTGGGGAGGAGAGAGTGGCTCAGCCAGTGACCAAAGGGCCTTTAAGAATGAGTTTGGCAAAGGTGAGCTTTGGCTTCCATAACATTTGTCCTGTTTGCAGTAAGGCTTTGTTAGTGAACACCGGGGGCAGATGCCAGCCCACCTCAGGCATGTATGGGAGAGAGGAATGGATCCCATAATACTAAGGACAATGTAGTGCTCACCCCCCTCCAAGGAGCACTGAGACCTATTGGGACGTTGGGAAGGAGTGGGGAGGTGTTAGGAGGCTTCCTAAAGGACGTGGAATGGGTGACTTTAGTACATTTCATCCAGACTGGGACAGGATGATTCCAGCGAACATAATTGTTATATTAGCAATTAACCGTGATTCAGGCTATAGTAAAATGCAAGTTGAACCAAATTAAATTGTTACTGTATGTAAAAAGCCATGCTTTCCTGTGAATGCACTTCATTGTGTAGCAGAAGTATTTTAAAAAGGGGATGGGTGCCCCCTGCAGGAGGGAGGCAGTGCCGCCTCATGAGGCCCAGAGCCGCCCCGCTGCAAAACCAAGGAAAGAGCCCTGTCCACGTGGCAGGCGGAAAAGTGCAGCGTGGGGGTGGGCGGGGGCAAGAGGTGGGAGGTCCTTCCGGGCTGGGGCCACGTGAGCGAAGGCACAGGGGAGGGGAGGCAGGGGGCTGCCCTGCCGGGTGTTCAGAGCTCTGTCGGAGGCCAGGTCCGGGAGGACACAGGGGTCCCTCTGAGCCCTGTGCGGGTGGGGCTGACAGTGCTTCTGAGCAGGGGCGGCCGTGGGGGCCAGGACTGTTAGAGGTCAGAGTTGGCAGGGCCTTGTTAGGAAGCCGAGTGAAGGAAACAGGAGTCCTGGAGGGGTCTATCTGGGTCCTGCAGTGTCTGCTTAGCAGACTTTGGGGGCAGGGGCGTGGTTTCACCTGCAGGCCACTCTCTCTGCTGGTTTTAAAAAGGGTCTGTAGAATATTATACTAAGTGAATAACCCAGACGATGAAAGACAAATACTGTATGATCTTACTTCCAAGAGGAATCTAATGAACAAAACAAACGAATGAGCAAAATAGAACCAGAGACATGGAAGCAGGGAACAGACTGACAGTGGCCAGAGGGGAAGGGGGAGGGATGTTAACAGGGAAGGAAGGGAAAGGGCCTAGTCAAAGAGCACATATGAATGACTCATGGACGTGGACAGTGGTGGGGGATTGACTGAGGGAGTGGGGGCTGGGCTGGGCGGAGGAAGGCAAAGGGGGAAAAATCAGGACAACTGTAAGAGAATAACAATAAAAGATAAATAAAAAATAAAACTAGAAGAAGAGTGTGATCCCAGCATTTGGTACCCACCACTCCCCCAGCCTGTACCTTCCACCTTCCGCATCTTCTAGCAGGCTCTTTAGTACCTTGGTTCACCAGGGTGCCCTTAGGGCCTGGGCTTTGTGAAGTGGATCCTTGGCTGCGGGAGCATTTAGCATGGCAAATAACCTCGTCCTCTCCTGCTGGTTCTGGACCAGTTGAGAGAAAGATATTAGCTCTGTCGCTGGTAAAGTGACATTGTATGTGAGATCTGAATTTAGAAATTCACAGTGCCAGGTGCACAGATATCAGAAGGAAAATGTCCTCATTAAATATTGGGGTCCATTTGGTATTATGTGAGTTTAAAAACACACTAGGTTTCATTGTCAAGTTAAAATTTAGCACACATCATTTACTACCTCTTCTTTTTCCTCCCAAAACAAATCTGTGGGTTTGCCATTGAACTTGCTAACTATAAAGATGTTATTGGGTAAGGAGAAGAGAACATTTCCTACTGGTTAGTTTTAAAATATGAATGTGATAGATTAGAAGTTGCTCTCCTCCCAATCAATTTTCTTGAAGCTTCCGCATTGTCTTTGGCTTCATGAGTTCAGTTTAATTTTCAAGTTTCCTTTTAGTCCCCCAAATCTGTGATGTTATGACTGTCTTTCTCTAGAGTTCAGTCTTTATTTCTTTTTAACCTCAAAGTTGACCTCAGGATCCATCTTCTCGAGGGGTGCGCTCAGACTGTGGGAGGACTGGGCATTTTATACCCTACTGTGCGATCAGGATCTTTCTGCAGAGAGCAGGGCAGCTTAGACCACGGGGTCCCCGCAAGATACTTCTAAGCCGAGGGGACAACCGCTGTGTGTGTGAGAGTGTGTGTGTTTAAAAAGCATCACCATATTATTTAATTTTCATTTTAATTAGGTGACCCTTCAAAAGTGTGACATATTTGAACTGAAAACCCTGAAGGAACCAATAGACTACTTGACTCTAGCTAATAACCCCGAGACTTTGGAAAAAATAGAAGGTTGTATGAAAGTGTGGATCAAACAAACAGAACAGGTAATTTCTAGAAACCAAACATCAGTTTCCTTTTATTTATTTATTTATTTATTTATTTATTTAATTTTTTCAAACACATTTATCTCTGCCTCCCCCCCACGACTTTCCCTTGCCCCCTCCCTCCTTCCCTCCCTTAGCTCTTCCCCTTTGGTTTTGTCCATGAGTCCTTGCTATATGTTCCTTGACTTTCCCCTTCCCTTCCTTGTCCCTGCCCTCCCCTTCCCTTCTTTGTCTCCGCCCTCCCCTTCCCTCTTGTCTCTGTTGATTTCTTTTCCTTTCAGTGTTGCTGGTCTTATTTTCCTTGCATCTTTGTATTGTTGGTTAGGTTCTGCTTATAGGTGAGATCATATGGTATTTGTCTTTCGCCCCCTGGCTTATTTCGCTTAGCATAATGCTCTCCAGTTCCATCCATGCTGTTGCGAAGTTTAGTAGTTCTTTTTTCTTTCTGCTGCGTAGTATTCCATTGTGTAAATGTACCATAATATTTTGATCCAATCATCTACCGATGGGCATTTAGGTTGCTTCCAATACTTGGCTATTGTAAATTGTGCTGCTATGAACATTGGGGTGCATAGGTTCTTTTGTATTGGCGTTTTGGAATTCTTAGGGTATAGTCCCAGCAGGGGAATCACTGGATCGAAACGCAGTTCCATTTTCAGCTTTTTGAGGAAATTCCACACTGCTTTCCACAGTGGCTGCACCAGTCTGCATTCCCACCAACAGTGTACTAGGGTTCCCTTTTCTCCACAGCCTCGCCAGCACCTGTTGTTTGTTGATCTGTTTATGATGGCCATTCTGACTGGTGTGGTGGTACCTCATGGTGGTTTTGATCTGCATTTCTCTGATGGCTAGTGATGCTGAGCATCCTTTCAAATGCCTCTGGGCCCTCTGTATCTCCTCCTTGGAAAAGCGTCTGCCCAGGTCCTTTGCCCATTTTTTGATTAGATCGTTTGTCTTCTTGGAGTGGAGTCGAGTGAGTTCTTAATATATCTTGGAGATCAAACCTCTATCTGATATATCATTAGCGAATATATTTTCCCATACGGTTGGCTCCCTTTTCATTTTGCTGCAAACATCAGTTTCTGATGCCACATTTCTGAACTAGCCAATGGAAGAAGGTATATCATTTGCCTAAGTATTTTAAGAGTACCTGAAGAGGTTAGAGGTTTACATGGCTTTTGTTTATAGTCATTATTAGGAAGAGAGAGTGAGAATTCTAAGAGATGAAAGTTTGCAACTTTGTTTACTTGCACAACTAAAAGACAGCACTTTGCTATTTTTTTTTCTCAAGGTGTAATTTAGTTTGATGAGGAACATTGGTAGAAATAAAAAGCATTTTCTAATTTAGTGTGTCCTGCAAAAGAGATCTTGAGACTTAACCTTAAAAAGTATTAAAAAAAAAAACCTAAACAAAGGTGGACATTGTATTAAAAAGTAAGCACAATTTAAATTAACCAATAAAAGGCCATGGAGCTTCCTAAGGTTATATTGCTTTGAGGTTATACATAAGCAAATGAATAGCCAAGGAAACCTGCTGAGGTTGGGCCCTCTCAAGTTTATTAAAACTCCTTAAATAAATAGTTTGCAGTTAGAACAAGTTAGCTAAGTTTTTGTAGAAGTTTTAAAAGTGGATACACGTTAGGTTAGTAAAAGGCTGTCATTCAGAGCATGCAAATGATTAAAAATATAGCATGATTCAGATAGGATCATTATTTTCTTATTTTGCTTTTGTGTGATGTTGCTATCTCCAGCTCTGTTCAGTGGTTCACACTTGTCCTGTGCATTCACAGGTCCTCGCCGAGAACAATCAGCTGCGGAAGGAAGCGGATGACCTTGGGCCCCGAGCAGAGTTGGAGCACTGGAAGAAAAGACTATCCAAGTTTAACTACCTTTTGGACCAACTGAAAAGCCCGGATGTGAAGGCTGTGTTGGCAGTGCTTGCTGCTGCCAAGTCGAAACTTCTGAAGGTTGTCAGCTGTTTCTTTTTGCTTTGTGAAATGGGAGTTTTAGGTCACAGAGTAATTAGGAAGAGAAAAATGTCTTTGTACCTTCATGGAAAAAAAAAAAAACCACAACAAACCCTTTAAGATTGGATAATATTGCCCTTCTAAATTTTGGATATTGTGGAAATATCCAAAATAAAGCTATGTTATACCTTTAGTATAACCTTTAGTAAAGGTATACATTTGTAAAATAAAGGTATTTGAAGTAAAGGTATTTGTTGGCAGATGCACCTATATGTATACGTGTTATTAGAGGGCATTGCATGTAATTAAGACATAATGCCATAACATGATTATATATACATTATGAATTCAGAACAACTAGGGATGGTAATAATGAAAACTTACCTTATATATTTTTTAATCTTGGTAGATTAGTTTTATACTGCCATGTTACAATTTACCCCCAAATTTAACAACTTAAAACAAATATTTTTTTATCCTACTGTCTGTGGGTCAGGACTTTGGGTGCAGGTTTATCTGGGTGTCTCTGCCTCGGGGTCCCTCACAAGGCTGCAGTAGGGGTGTTGCCTCCTGGGCTGGCTCTGCTGGGGAGCATCTGCCTTCCTGCTGCTCACGTGGTTGTTGCAGGATTCAGTTTCTTGCTGGCTGTTGGCCGGAGGCTTCCTTTAGTTCTTCGCTGTGTGGGCCTCTCCCCTGGGCTCCTCGCCACGGGGCAGCTGGCTTCCTTTACGGGGAGCAAGTGGCAGAGAGCAAGAGAGCACACAGCCTAGAAGCCACGGTCTTTTGGAAATGATATCCTGAAGTGACATCCTATCACTTTTGTCACATGCTGTTTATTAGAAGTGAATTGCTAGATTCAGCCCACAATCAAGGGGTGAGGATGACACAGGAATGTGAATCCCAGGCATCAGTTGTCACGGGGGACCATCATAGAGGTGCCCACCACTCCTGGCTTTGGTGCCATAAAGAATATTTATTAACTATTTGTATGGATGTTTCAATCTATGAAAGTAATTTAAATAATAATAGTAATTTGTTTCAATAACTACTTCAGATTTCCTTTCTATCATTGCTCAAAGAATGCAATCATTTCATTGTGCTTTAGTTCAGAAGTATTTATTAGTAGGACTTCCATGGAGTTGGTTGAGTGTGCTGGCTTGTGGCAAATCACATTGTTTTACTTGTTCTCCTACATTTAGTTGTTTGTCCATTTTGAAGTTCCCAGGTCATTGCACAGTCCTGACACATGGATGGCAGTTAATAAATAATTTCTACACTAATCGATGAACAAAAGTTTAGGGAAATAGGGGGAAGATGGAAAAGGGGGGTGGGTGTGAGGTGCAAAGTGGACACAGTAACCAGAGGAGAAGACGTGGGTTTGAAGGGAGGTGCTGCCCCCTTGATGCCCTGTCCTAGTTATTTAACAGTTTTTATAAGAGAAGGCCTGGAAGGGACACCTGAAAAATTTAGTGCTCTTCTGTGTGGCAATGTCCTTCCCCCCTCTGGATGCAGTTTTATGTAAGAGGCATAGGACAAACTGAAAGTCTGACCCAAGGGACTTGAGGTGACACTTAGCAGATGCTATATTAGAAGTTTCTCTATTAATAATCGCATTAACGTTGCTTTTCCGCACTGCACTTAGACTTGGCGGGAGATGGACATTCGAATCACCGATGCAGCTAACGAAGCAAAGGACAATGTCAAATATTTGTATACACTTGAAAAATGCTGTGACCCCTTGTACAGCAGTGACCCTGTGAGTTAACCATTTCTACTCTCTTAGTTTACAGATGGCCCTTCTGTGCCCGCTGAATTGAATGTGGTATTTTGGTTTGTAGATATAGGGCTGTTCAGAAAGTCTTGGAAATCGCTTTTTATTCTTAAAAAGTGATATGCATATATATATATATATTTGCATGTACCTATATCTGCATCATCTGTATCTATATCTATGTCTGTCCATTCATCCATCTATCCATCCACCCACTCATCTATCAAAGGTGTATATGTGATATTTAAAAAACATTTGTTGCATATTCCATTTTCCATTAAATGTTGCCACTGACACTCTGAGGCACACTACTGTGGGAAGAGTCATCGAACAGGTGTGTGTTTGATCTTTTACCTGCTTTTATAGATTACAAAATCGACTGTTAGTGAACAGAATCTCATTTGTCATTAAAAGAAAGTTAATGTTTCTTGCAATGAAACAAAATTTGATTAACTGCATGTGACCAAATAATAAAATGATCTTTAAATATATTTATGTAAATTATTAGATAATATTTTAAAATTTTAAGTGAAAATCACTTAGCTAAACCTTATTCTAATTAAGATGGCATGATGAGACTGTTAGAAGTTTGCTGAATTTGGTATTTGTTTCCTGGAAAACTTTTGTGGTGTCTTCCAGATATCCATGATTGATGCTATTCCTACACTTATAAATGCAATTAAGATGATCTACAGCATCTCTCATTATTATAACACCTCTGAGAAGATTACATCTCTGTTTGTAAAGGTAAATTAATAGCATAAAGTACACACTTATATTTCTTTGGCAATGTTCAATTTTTTGGTAATTAAAGATTACTGTATTACCATAATCCAATGTCTGTGCATCCTACAATTTTTTAAAAAAGCTTAATTCCTCAATAGAGATAGATTTAAGTTTATGTGAGAAGCTGATTCTGGCAAGTCATAAAGCATTATTTCTCAAGGTAATTATTATAATAAACACTGTTTTTTATATAGTAAAAATGGAAAAAGATTCTTTTTGGAATTTCTTACCTATTTTATTTAGCACATTATTTACTCCCATGGGTAACTTTTAATTAAGAAGAACTATTTCCTGTTTCATATTTAATATACTACTGTACCAAATTTATTTGATACCACAGTTGTTTACTTGGCGTTATTAGAATAGTAATCATAGTAATAAAAGCCACTTGCTGTGTTTCAGTAATCTATAAAGCAATTATAATGATTCTGCCAAAAACCATAACAATGTTTAAACCTTATGTCCTAACTCCTAAGTGTTTATGGTGAGCACTGTCGCTTTTCCCATTAAGAATGGTCTCTAATCTAAGAAAGAAATGATTTTTTTCATTGCCAAGGCAAACAATTGAAATGTTGTATTAAAATAGAGGAATTTTCAACTCATCAGGACGTGGGTTGCAAACCCTAAGGCAGTTGGGGTCATGATTCTTACTGCGAATAGGGATATCCGGGCTCGAGGGTTCAACGGGAAACTCTTTTGCTCATGGTCAAGTCACAAGGCAGGAACTCCATGGGATCCGTTCCTGACTTCACACTGTAACACTCCGTGTTAGGGTCAGGAGAGAGGTTTCCTGGGTAGATGACTGAAAAGTCAACTTGTGTTATTACTCTAGGTTTCATGCATATTATTTGCAGACCTTGTTGTTGAACAAAATTATAACACCACCCTTTATCTAAATTTTAAAAACGTTTCATTATGGGAAATTTGAAGCAGTTACGCAGGCAAAGAAAATTGTATACTGAACTTCCACATCCATATTACGCAGATTCAGCAACTGTCCACACATGACCAATCTCGTTTCATTTACATCCCCAACCTTTGTACTGTAAATCCAAGCAGTTGTATTATTCCATGCATACAGTAGTCCTCCAATTTTCCTTCTAATTTATAAAAAATCACCAAGAAAATTCTGAAATTTTAAAAAAGTTTGCATTGGTGAATAAAATGTTAGTGGTTACCTACATTAGCTTTACTCTCTTCCCTGTTGTCTTCTCCTTACAGCTGTTAGGTAGGAAAGTGAATCATTTCTAGGTTGGTTGAGACATTCATCTTGCATAAAGAAGGGGCCCCAAATTGTTGATTTTCTATGGTGCTTCCAACTCTGTAATTTCACAAATGATTTTGACAATATATCTGTGGAATTTATACAAAGTCGAAGAAATAGAAGCAGAGAGGAAAGTGGTGGTTGCCAGGGATTGGAGGGTAGGGGAAGTGCGCAGATGTTGGGCGAAATGTATAAACTTTCAAGTATAAGAGGGATAAGTTCTGGGGATCTAATGTACAGCATGGGGACCATAGTTCATAATACTGTGCTGTATTCTTGACACTTGCTAAGAGAGAAGATCTTTTTATTTAAACAATTTTTAAAGTTAAATTTATTGGTGTAACATTGGTTAATAAAATTATACAGATTTCAAGTGTACAGTTTTGTAATACATCATCTATATTGCATTGTTGTTTACCATCCAAAGTCAAATCTCTTTTGATCATCATATGTTTGACCCCCTTTACCCTTAACTACCTCCCTCCATCCTCCTTTCCCTCTGGTAACCACCATACTGTTGCCTGTGTCTGTGAGTTTTTGTTTGTCTTTTTTATTTATTTTGCTTTAAGTTTTATATTCCACATATGAGTGAAATATTGTAGTTCTTGACTTTTCCCACTTGACTTATTTTGCTTAGCATGATATTCTGAAGATCCATCTATGTTGCCACAAATGACAGTATTTCATCTTTTCTTGTGGCTGAGTAGTGTTTCATTGTATATATGTACCACATCTTCTTTATCCAATCACCTATTGAAGGACACTTTGGTTGTTTTCATGTCTTGGCCATGGTAAGTAAGGCTGCAGTGAATGTATCGTAACTTTATTCTTAATTTTTTAAGGAACCTCTATACTGTTTTCATAGTGGCTATAACCGGTTTACATTCCTACTAACAGCGAAGAAGAGTCCTTTTTCCTCACAACCTCTCCAACACTTGTTACTGCTTGTCTTGTTAATAATAGACATTCTAACAGGTGTGAGGAGCATCTCACTGAAGTTTTCATTTGTATTTCCCTACTAGCTTCTCAAGTTGGGCATCTTTTCACATGTCTGTTGGCCATTTGAATGTCTTGAGAGAAGTGTCTGTTCAGGTCCTCTGCCAATTTTCCATTGGATTGTTTTTGTTGTTGTTGTAAATTGTATGAGTTGTTTATATTTTTTGGATGTTAACCCCCTAATGGGGATGTTGTTTGCACATATCTTCTTCCATTCGGTTGATTGCCTTTTTGTTTTGTTGAGGGTTTCTTGTGCTGTGTAGAAACCTTTTAGTTTGATATAGTCCCATTAATTTATTTTTACTTTTACCTCCCTTGCCTTTGAGGTCAAATTCATAAAATCCTCTCCAAGACCAAAGTCCATAGTTTAGTACCTATGTTTTCTTCTACATAATTTATTGTTTCAGGTTTTGTATTTAGGTTTTTGATACATTTTGAGTTAATTTTTATGTATGGTAACTAATAGCAGGCAGTCTAGTTTCATTTTTTTGCATGTGGCTTTTCAATTTTTTTCAGCATCATTTATTGAAGAGGTTTTCTTTTCTCCATTGAATGTTTTTGGCTTCTTTAACAACAATTATTTTCCCGTATACATGTGGGCTTTCAATTATGTTTTATCTGTGTGTGCGTGTGTGTGTGTGTCTGTGTTTTCTGCTGATACCATGCTGTTTTGATTAGTGTCACTTTGTAGTATAATTTGAAATCAGGGAGTGTGATACTGCCAGGTTTGTTCCCGCCCCCCTCCGGTGCCCCAGGATTTCCTTGGCTATTTGGGGTCTTTACAAATCTGATGATTTTTTTGTTTTATTTCTTTAAAAAATGTCATTGGGATTTTGATGGGGATTTTACATCTGTATATTGCTTTGAGTAGTATGGCCATTTTAACCACATTGATTCTTCCAGTCCATGAACATGGAATATTTTTCCATTTCTTGGTGTCTTTTGTAATTTCTTTGAATAATGTCTTGTATTTTTCAGTGTATAGGTCCTTCACATTCTTTGTTGAGGAGAGCAGATGTTAAGTGCTTCCCATACATACCTGAAAAATTATAACTATGTGAGGTGATGGATATGTTAATTAACTTGACTGTGATAATCTTTTCACTATGTATATAAAATTGTCACATTACACACCTTAAATATATATAATTTTTATTTGTCAATTATGCCTCAAGAAAGCTGAATAAAAAGGGCTGGTGCTTGATCATAGTTACTATGAAAACAAATAAATCCAGAGCTCAAGGCTACAGATTGTACACCCTGAGAGGTAGAAGAGTTAAGGACCCTCTAATCCAATTTATAATTGATGGCTGTCTTATGTACATATCATCATTTTATTGGAAAACTCCAGGTGACCAATCAGATGATATCGGCATGTAAAGCTTATATTACCAACAATGGAACTGCTTCTGTGTGGAGCCAGCCGCAAGACATTGTTGTGGAAAAAATATTATCTGCAATTAAACTTAAGCAGGTAATGGTCAGCCTAATACTATATTTAGATAATGCATCACTTTTTAATGTTGTTTTTGGTGATACACCTTAAATTATTTAGCAACTATTATATTCTTGGTTGCTAAAAAGAACAGTAATTCTTCACTGTTAAGCAAGTTCCATGTTAATAAACCTTTTCAGAAAATCTATGCACTTATTCTACCCTCTTTGGGGGCCTCCTGAGTCCCAACACAACTTTAAATACTGAAGATACAAAGATGACTAAGATGACTAAGGTTTTCCTAACCTTCTTATAGATGAATGGGGAGAGACACAGAAGGAGGCTAGTGCTAACATGGCGGGATGGGACGAACGTGGAAAGGCTGCTTCTCTGAGCTGCATTATGAATAATTAGGAGTTAGCTAGATCGGAGGGTGGGAGAAGATGGTATTCCAGTCTGACAGAGGAGTAAATGAAAAGGCATGATACTGAAAGGACTGCAATTCCCCCCTACTGCTGCCGTCACCTTTGCTGAAGAGAATAAGGTTGATACCCTTGTTGTTTTCCCTTTCTTATATTTTGGTTTTTGATTTTAAGGAATACCAGCACTGCTTTCACAAGACAAAACAAAAGCTTAAACAAGATCCAAATGAAAAACAGTTTGAATTCAGTGAGATGTATATTTTTGGAAAATTTGAAACTTTTCACCGACGGCTTGCTAAGATTATAGACATCTTTACAACCTTTAAGACGTATTCAGCCCTGCAAGATTCTAAAATTGAAGGGCTGGAAGATATGGTCACAAAATACCAGGTATTGTTTTAAAACTAAACTTACTGCTCTTATTCATAACTAAAACTTTGATATTTTATGCATATAACTCTATTTAGAATGATTCATATAGTTCATACTGTGAAATATAAGTTCATAGCCTTCAACAATAAAGAAACTAAATTTACTTGAGAATTTTGTAATGGTGCTAATATGTTCTTTTCAGGTATGTGGTTATTATAATGACTTCCCAATTGTCTAAAATTAATCATCATTAGTAAAAGCATTTTCATTAGTAGCATGAAAAAAGTGTTTAGGTATAACTTATCACTTCATTTATTCATGCAGGAAATATTTAATGAAGCAAATGCTATGCATCAGACACTTGCTGGCACTGAGTTCTGAGTGTTATGTGATTGTCTCTACATTTAAGCATTTTATTTGGACACATGTTAAAAATAAAAGGGATTGAATTTTATTTTAGCTCCACCATTCCTAGTTATTTTGACTTTTAACTGCTTTATCTTATAAGGAAATATATGTCACTAATCTTAGTTTTTAAAGTGGGCACAGTGATCTAATAATCTAATAATGTTTTGAAGATTAAAAACCTAATTTACAAACAAAATATGTTTTCAACTCTTAATGTAGACGTAGTAAATTTTTTCTTCCTGGGAATAGTGATACTGAAACTTAAATTTTTTGTACTTGAATTTGAAAAAGATCATATAATTTATTGCCAGCTTTCGTACTCTAACAGTTTAGGCCAATATAAGGACTCTTTTTCACTTCCTGAGTGTACCAGATGTTGGGAGAGAAAAAGAGAAACTTTTCTTAATGTAGCAGGAAACATTTTAGGTGAATCCTGTATAATTTTGCATGTTAGAAAATCTGTACTTTGAAGGTGACAATTTTATAAGACAAGAGGCAATATATCCACTTATTTTTCAATTTGGAATCTACTTTCTATTCTTAATGAAAAAAATAACTTCGGAATATATTTCAAAGTTTATCTTTGTAAGAGAAGTTGAACTGTACATCTAAGTGTAGATAAAAACAATTATAACCTGATAAAAATATTGGGAAGAGAAATCGAAAATCTGAAGTGAAACACTGATTCAAGTGGATGGACCAGAGGATAGTGAAATAACATGTAGGTGGTGCAGGAAGCGTAAGGTGAGATTTTTGTGTTTGTACCAGTGTTAGAAGCTCATAGTGCGTGCACAGAAATGAATCTCGGGCTCCTGCCTGGCTATCAGGCCCTGCTCACCCCTCCCACCTCCTTGCCTGCTCGTCTTCGCCTCATTCTACAGTCTCCAGACACAGTTCATTCCCCTTCAGCTTGTAATACCTTGTTTTTCTGGAAAATTCAACCTCTGGATTTACACAGAGTTCTTTCCTCTTTAGCCTCCGGATATTGATTTAAATGACCCTTTAAATTGTCTTTCTTGACTTTTGTTTCACCTCAATCATTCTTTGTCACATTACTCATTTTATCACTGTCCAAAATTATCCTGTTCATTTATTTGTGACTTACATAGATTCTGAACCTCTCTCCCCACCAAGGATGTGAATTCTTCCAGGATGGGGACATTTGCTTGTCTTGTTCATTCCTGTGTCCTCATAATTAACTGGCACATAATAAGGGTGCAATACATACATGATTTCACTCATATGTGGGATATAAAACTGAAACTCATAGACACAGACAACAGTATGGTGGTTCCCAGAGAGAGGGGGGTGGGAGGGATAGTAGAGGGTAAAGGGGCCAAATGTGTGGTGAAAGAAGATGGTTTGACTTTGGTGGTGGGCATACGATGCAATATATGGATCGTGTATCATAGACGTGTACACCTGAAACGTGTATGATCTTAATAACCAATGTCACTCCAATAAATTTAATTTTAAAAATAAAATAAGTAAAATATTACTTTCTTAAGTCTGTCAAATTAATGATTTAATAGATTGACCTTGATTAGTTGGTTTAAAGGTCACAATTAATTGGTTTATTTACTTAATACTCTTAAGTGACCATTAAATCCAATCATAGAGCAGAATTTTCTGAGGGCCCCAAATCTTTTTAATTACCACATTACAATGTAGAATGTAGCTTTTTCGTATTTCTTTTACACACTTCCTAGAACACAATGGGAATCATTATAATATATATAATTTCTAAATAGAACTAATTTTGTAGTTAGCATGAAAGAATAGGTTGTTTTAACTAGTAAACTTGATTCAGAGTTATGCAGTTTATACCTTTTTGTCTGTTAAGATACTTGAATTGATATATAGATGGAAATGACTTTGAAGAGAAGATTGCAGAAGGAGGCCCAACATTCATCATAAAAATTATATGCTTGTGTCAACAGTGTGGGCTCCTGAGTTTGACAACGGCTTAGTACCTGGTTAGGAATGATCACAGAGCATTATAGCTCATTATTCAGAGCAAACAAAACTTTCGATAATAGTGTTTTCAAGGAGATGAATTGCCTAATTTGTACTCTTGTAGTCATAGACTGCAGCTTTGCAGGGCAGAAGGAAGCAATTAATTCCTGAATCTTTAAATGGTAGATTGTGGTTTGACATTTTATTTAGGACATTTGAGGTTTAGAAGATAGTATTTTATCTGTAGATATTATAACTGTTTTCTTCCTAAGTGTGTGTTCTCTTAAAATCTTACTTATTTTCTCTGAGAAGTCAAACTTCAATGAAAAATATTTTAGTAATTTCTACTCTGGGATTCTTTTTTATTTTTTCAGATGTGATTAGTAATAAATTTTTAGAGAAAACACTTCTAATTTTTAGATGTGATCTTTATTTTACATTTTTCTTCAAAAATACATAAAACATCATAAAAAATGCTTTCCACATGATTTCTTTTAATGCAGTAGGCAACATTATACTGCTGTAATAAGCGTTAAGCAATGTAACTAAAGACATAGGCTCCGTTTAAGTTGCTTTTTTTGGTAATGATTGTTCAGGTTCTACATTTAAAGGTTATATTGAATTAAGTAATAATAGAATATTGAAATATTGTCTTATTCTTTTCATAACATTTCAGGGTATGGTTGCCACCATAAAGAAAAAAGAATATAATTTCTTAGACCAGCGGAAAACGGATTTTGACCTGGATTATGAAGAGTTTTGCAAGCAGACTAATGACCTTCATGTAGGTTGTATAAAATTCCTGTAGATAGTCATGTCTTTATTTTTTCTGTTCTGTATAAAGCTGCTAATCATAAACCATCAGAAGAGAGAGGCGTCTTCATCATGGAGGTGACCAATGGCAACCTTGACCTGGTTTTGTGATTTCAGATTAATAATTGAAGCTCTTTTTCATAAATTAAAGGGTCATCAATATAACTTTGAATAATGATCAGTAATCCCAGACGTCTGCATATCTTCCATTTTAGTTTTTAGACAATTAACTTCCATCTTCTGTTGAAAGGTAGGGTTATTAGAAAACAGAAATTTGTTTCCATTTGTTTGTTTATAGCAATGATTGTGACCAGAGGTCATTTAATCAAATGGTGAGTGATGTTTGGCAGACCCCCAAGGCAGGGCTACAGCTGGCCTTAGAAACAGCGGTACCAGGACTAACTCAGCATCTGGACCCCTTTCCTCTTCCTTAGCTTCCCCCCACCATCCCCACTCACTGCAGACCAGCCATCTTTCAGCCTATGTGAACAGTGATGGCTACCGTCAGCTTTGGAGAACGTATCACAGGTCCAGCCCCACTCCGAATTCCTAAGGAGAATGTTGGGTTGGCCAGTTCTAGTGTGGTGCCTGGCCCTGGTCCATGGGGAAAAGCAGGTGCAATGGCACCCCCTGCGGTTGTTGGGGATACTTGCCATCAGAGGAGGGGAATCAGGGAGGGCAAGGTGGGGAAACAACCCAGTAGGTGTCTACCATAATTGAAATGCAGACCTTTTTTCATCCTAGTGAGGTGGAAATTTGCACCATTCTGATTATCAAAGGAAAATCGCCATCTGTGACTTATTTTCCTAAACTTTTGGCTTGAAATAAGTTGGTCCTCTTTATGGGAAAAAGAACTCTGAGGCATTTTTGGAGGGGGTGGGTACAGTGGTAGAAGGAATCAAGATAAAACTAGCTAATTCTATATGTCGGGTACTGTTCTAAGCACTCTATGGGTGTTAATTAATTTAGTGATTATAATAATCCTATAAAGAGGCTGTTCTTAGTGCCTTTCTTTTGCAGAAGAGCAAACTGAGTCACCATGAGGTTAGGTGATGTGCTCAAAGTCACAGAAATAGCAAATGGCAGGGTGGGGATTAAATTCACGCAGTCTGGCTCTAGGATTCAAGTTTTTAACCATTATGTTGTAAGACATATTTCAGTTGATGGGATGATAAAATGTCTATACTAATTTAAGCAATTACCAATATCAGGGGCCTATTCAGACATAAGGACAGTGCATCCTGTTCTCCTCTTGTTGGAAAATGACGGGCAGTGGCAGATCCTGATTCTGTGCTTTGTGGTCAGTGTGTATTTGTTGGGTCTTCACCTTTTCCCAGCAGTTTCTCATACCTGGCATTTCAGTAGCTTGTATGTGGAATATAAGCCGATGGTGAACACCTTGAGGGCAGGAATTGTGTTCATTTCTGTTTGTGTCTCCAGGGCCTAGTAGGGGTCCCCTATATAATTGGAGAGCAAAGAATTTTGCTAAAATAATGTGTTAGTAATGAATTAATAAGAACTAGATTTCTTGTAATGAAACAAGCACTTACTGTACATCAATTATGTATTAGGCTTTTATGCTGTGCATTATCAATATAGAAATAAATCAAGTAGATTTGCCCTCAAAGCTCACAGTAGACAGAATGCAGATATGTGCTATAATAGCAATACAAGTATATCTATGTTAGAAGTATTGCACCAGGCATTGAGGATACAAAGATCAAAGACATAGTCCAAAGAAGTTTAAAGAAACTTAGAGGGAGGACGAACCTACAAAACATCATATAGAATCCTAGAATTGCTACAACCTTTAAGGCAGGATGTGAGCCTAGGAGAAAAACAGCGCCTACTTCTGCTTGCCTGGGCTCAGCAAAGGCTGCTTGATGCCGGAACACTGTTTATTTTTTCCAGGTAAATGAAGAGGAGTGAGTGGGATGGGGAGAACGTTTCAAGCCAGTGACCACTTTTTATAACCGAGAATATAATTTTATAATTGTTCTATAGCTTGGTTTTTAAGCATTATTTATAGACATTAGTTCCCATTCTCTTTACTCATTTCTTTCTTTCTTTTGTAAAAAATTTAATGCTTATTATTGTCTTAGCTTCCATCTCATAATAGTCCATTTCTCTCTTTGGTTGGATGACTGCTTTTCCTTTGTCTTCTTAGTTCCTTTTTCCATCCTCATTGTTTTAACTAAACTTTCTACACTTTCTCCTTTAAATAACTCATGAATTCAGCCCTTGTCTCAATAAAATCAGGGTGAACATACTGATCTTCCCTTTACAGTGGATGGAGTGAGTGGGGGAACAAGCCTTGGAGGCAGGAGAGTCTCAGTGACCATGACGTCTCCAGGGTGAAACACTGGGTGGGGGGGTGGGGTGGGGCCACATGAGTGTCTTAGATCAAGGCTGTGCCTAGGAGTCCCCTGGCAAGGCCACCAGAGCCTGGGACCCTGTCCAGGCTTAGAGGTCATGCTGATATGAACAGGTTGCACAGAAAACTGAGTAGCAGCTGGGAGCCCATAAGTGGTAAGAGGACAAGTGAGTGTGAGGATTCCACGGTTGGACTCCAAAGGACTGTAAGGATGGACCTAGCGCCTAGAGAGAAAAGAAGATTAATTCAAGGTCTTTGTGAAGTTATAGGATAGAAAAGAAAGGAAGATCAGGTACTAGTGTTGGGGCTCTGAATATTTGCCGGTGTCTGAAGTTAGATGGAGGGAGTGAAAGCATTGCCAATGTTCCAGTTCTGCATAGTTTATACTCAGAGATTTTTATGTAGTGAAACAATTTGAGTATTTCCTTAGGTAGGTTAACTGTACAGCTCTTTACAATTTCATTAGAAGCAGTGAGAAGTATCAGAGGCACATTGCAATAGGTTTAGCCATTCTTCAGCTTCGGGGTTTGCTGAATGGTGGAGGGAGCATTGTGGCTTGCCCCCAGATAGTGACATTTCTTCAAGTGCTAAGTGTTTCCTGTGGGGTCCTGGGTATTTCCCATTGGTTGTTTTGCTAAATTACTTATGGGAAATCAAGCTTATCTAGGTACTAATTTTCAGTGTACATGCAACTGGCTTCCCAATATGATCACTACATAAATTAATGATCTCTTTAGAAATGTAGAGACTCAAAACTCCTGTCTGGTAAATTGAGAAAAAGAATTAATTGGAATATTCCCTTGAAGCATGAAATACAAAATAATGAAATAATTTTTCTATCTTTTATTTAACTCTATTTAGATTTTAATGACAACTCTGTGCTAAATCTTAAAATGAACAAAGAATGAATCACATGCTTCCTTTTTTTGGTGCAGTTATTTTTATTTTCTTATTTTTAGACACATTTGAGCAATGGTATAAGATATGTGAGGTTCTCAGGATAAACCATAATGAAAATCATTTTGGCAAAAGGATTCGAGGGTTTTAAGAAATTGCTGTTTAGGTCGTTCTTTTCGAACTTATCTTCTTAGGAGACATATATATATATATATTTTCCTGCAGGGATCTTGTGGCTCTGGGCTCTGGAAGTGTTTCTACACAGTGGTTTTGAATTCCTTCTGCTGGGGCCCTAGTGGTTCTGTCAGCACAGACTGGCGGTTGTGTGAACTTCTTGGGTCAGACCTCTCTCCTCTCAAGAGCAGTTACACTCAGACCCCTCTTCTAGGTGTGGCACAGGCATAGAATTTCGATTGCCCTGCAACAGGGGTCAGTAAACTATGCCTGTGGGCCAAATCCTGCCCTTCCTGGTTGTTGACAGGTTGTCTTCAGCTACCTTTGCACTACAGTGGTAGGTGAGCAGTTGTGAAAGAGACAGACCTGTGCGCTGTGAAGTGGAAAATACTTATCCGGCTCTTGTAAAGGGAGTAAAGGACTTGTTTTATCCATTCACAGCTCAGACCAGAGGGCAACCTCCCCACCCCCTGACCCCCTGACTTTCCCCAACTTGCAAACAGTCATTTAACCCTCCTGCATGGGCTGGGCAGCACTTGAAGGGGGCTGGCTTTCTGCAGGGATCTGTCGAGAGTGTTAGGACCCTGCAGCTCCTCCACCACATGGTGACAAAGCCTCAGTGCCTACCCCAGGCCCTACCATGGGCCGGCTCCTGTGACTGCCCTGGTGGTCAGGTCCCTCTTTGTTCTGGCCTCTGGGCATTTGTCTTTCTCCCAAGGTCAAGTGAGTATTAGGTTTTCTGTGATATTTTGTCCCATATTATATGTGTTTGCAGAAAGTGGGAAGCTCTTTAATCTTGATGTTAAATAGGACTTTTCCCAATGCTAATTCATTGTTCATAATCATAATTGATTCTGTTTTAGAATGAGTTGCAGAAGTTCATGGATGCTACATTTGAAAAGATTCAAAACACAAATCAAGCTCTAAATATGTTAAAGAAATTTGAAAGGTAAAAATTGAGAACAGTTTTCTATGCTCTATTTTCTAAAATTAGGGTAATATGAACATAGTTTAGCTTACAGTATTATTGGCATTATTATTTCATATTCTAATGGAAATAAGATCTCTCGACATTTTGGATAACAAGGCGACAGTTTTTAAGTTCTTCAGAGGATTAGGAGTTTTTTCTTCTTAGCTTTGAAGTACCTATGACTGCCTATCATTGTATTACTTGATGTTCAAGTAATTCAAAAAAAGTTTATCTAGTTTTTCCTAGATTTTTAAGGATTGATACTGTATTTTAAAAATCATTTTATGAGATATGATAGATTGATACTACTTTGATTTTTGAAATGAGCCAAATATCTTATTTTCTTCTGTTAGCATATGTTTTAAAATGTCTTAATAAAGGAGATTTCTAGGTATTGTTTCATTAAATAAAACCTTTCACTTTTTAAAACAATAAGATTGAATATACCCAACCTTGGTGTTGATGACAAATACCGGCGTACCCTTGAAAACTATGGGGCTGACATCGATATGATCGCGAAGCTGTACACAAAGCAGAAATGCAATCCTCCACTGGCCCGAGATCAGCCTCCCATTGCTGGGAAGATTTTGTGGGCCCGTCAGCTCTTCCACAGGATTCAGCAACCGATGCAGCTTTTCCAGGAGCACCCACCTGTGCTACGGACACCCGAAGCCAAACCTGTGATTCGCAGTTACAACAGAGTGGCCAAGGTCCTCCTGGAGTTTGAGATTCTCTACCACAGGGCATGGCTTCAACAAGTAAGTCCTTTAAAGATGTCTCCACTGTCAGTCAATGGGACACCCTCTGCTACTACTGAACAGTTTTATTTTTGTAGTAAGTTTGCTTTACAGGTATTTTATAAGAAAGGCTTGGTGGAATATAGGTGGGTAGTCAGTCAAAGAAAGTAATATGTCCATGAAGAAAAGTAATGATTTATTTAGGAAAAAAATCATAGCCAGGTAACAAATTCTTTATTTAATTTATAAACTCCTAAGGGAGAAGGTCCTGTTTATTGGTTCTTTCACCTAGTTGACTAGAATTTCTTTCTTTCTTTTTTTTTCTCCATTTCCTTAATGTGTCAGTGAACACTAGTACATTTGTTAAACAAAGTCTTAAGTTTTCTTTGGCTATACCAAATTAATCAAATTACATTTCAAACCCTACCAACACTCGTATTTCTTTGTAGATTGGCAAGAATTTTTTCTTTGTGTGAGTGTTTTGGAGGATAAAATTCAGCCTTACTAGGCCTCTAAAGTGGTTTCTCATTTTCCTAGTTCACCCTTTGGTGTCTGAGCCAACACAGAGATGTCTCTGTAGTGGTACTCATTGCTTTTCTAGATAACTGAAAACTGAGTTTAGTAGGTCTTATGATACTTTTAGTAGGAAAAATAAGCGAGCAGGCATGACGTTATCAGGGAGCGAAGTGGCTTTTGAGAAGTCACCATTCATTGCTGTATCCACTCAGATGACGGTGTGAGAGAATCATGACCCAAGCAGTTTGTTGAATCGACTGTGCAACATCACCACCAAGAACTTGAAGGCCCTTTCCTGAAGTGAAATTAAGAGTTAGTGACCCCATTGCCTTTAATTTGAACAGTTCATCTCCGTGGAAGAATATTTAATGATCTTCATTCCCAGGAATGGCCAAGCTAGATACACTGGGTATGCACAGAAATTCCTAATAGTAATAAGGTTGATCTCTTCTCACAGACTGAAGAAATTCACATAGGACTTGAAGCTTCCTTATTGGTGAAGGCTCCAGGCACAGGAGAATTGTTTGTAAACTTTGATCCTCAGATATTAACCTTATTTAGAGAAACAGAGTGCATGTCACAGATGGGTCTGGAAGTGTCACCATTTGCAGCTGCCCTTTTCCAGAAACGGGATATATACAAAACGAACTTCAGTAACATGAAGGTATAGTGCTTTTACTTTTTCCTTGTCATGGCTAGCCCCAGTTTGCATGAAAAAAAAATTGGCAGTGTGTCACTGCTGAGGACTATAAAGTGCCCAGGGTAACTGGAGAGGGGTGATCGACAGGGTGGGCGCCACAGACTGAGGCTGTAGCATTGGCAAGGCTGGGTCATTAGAGATCTTGTAAACCAAGTTTATGGGTCTGAGTGCACCAGGGAGCCACTAGAAGAATTTGATCTGGAGAAAACATGGCTTTTACACTAAAAATCACTGAGTGAAAATAAATTTCATGGTAACAAGTGTGTCAAAGTGAAGCCACTTTGAAGGCTGTTGCACTGGTTCAAGATGGAGATGATGGTGGCTTGAACAAGGATGTTAGCCAAGTTCAAGATCAGTGAATTAAAGAATTATGTCAACAGGCAGGTTATGAGAGAACTCAAGGGCAATTCCTTTGTTTTTGGTGTGAGCAACTCAATGAATTTACTCAAAGTATGGCTGTTATATATTACAGCGTAGGTTATATTCTGCACAACTTGCCCAGTAACATGTACCAACCCTGAATGGACGTTCCACTTATGCAGATGGCAAAGCCTGGAACTAGTTTGTTTTTGGGAACAGGAGGGAATCAATGTTTCCCATCTTAAGTCTAAGATGATTTTTAGAGATCAAAGTGGAGGTGTTATCCATGTAGATAAGCACGTAAGTCTGGAGTGGATCACAGGAGTCAAAGTGGAAGATGGCATGCATTTGAGAGTTATGAGAATATAGTTGCTATTTGAAGTTATTGTCCTGTGAGATCTCCAGGATGTAGATTAAAAAAAGCAGAAGGTCTAGAGTAAAGCCTGATGAGGCCCACTATTAACAGGTCTGCTAGAAGAGGCTGAGTATGCCCATGAAATTAAGGATTGGCCTTTGAGGTGGGAGGAAACCAAGTGTCAAAGAAGCCAAGGGTAAGAAAAGTGCCCTGAGGGAAGGACTGGTCAGCAGTGACAAGTGATGCCCAGAGGACAGTTGAGATGAGGTCAGAGATGCAGCCATGTTATTTGACAACATGAACCAATGTTACAATGTTATAGTAGTTAACATGAAAGGATAAGACCAGTAAGTCCATGCATTTGCATAATGCTTTATATTTTAAGCCATTTTCATGTTTATTATTCCATTAAATATTTTCCACAACTGTGTTAGATAAGGACAAACTATTATTATAGTATTTTATAGATCACAAAACTGTGGCTCAGAAAAATTAAATGACTTAGCGAGTCTCATAGGTAATAAGTTGCAGAAGTGGGACCAGAGCCCAGACTTGGAGTTTGCTGTTTTCCTACTCCTCCATGTTATATTAAAATGTTAATACTGGCAGTGGACAAGCATTCCTGAAATGTGGACTCATCACATACTAGTCAGCATGTTGGGATTCCTTTTTATATTTTTCTTGAGTGTTAGGAAAGTCATTTAGTCAATCTACATATTTACAAAGAAAATAATTTTTTTAATAAGATGTAAATTTGTAAGAATATAAAATTACTAATGATAATTTGGATCACAAAATTGTCTCAGTAATCTGCACCATGTAGCAAAACCCCCCACAATGTAGTGACCTAAAACAATCATTTTCTTCTATCTCATGATTTTGTGAGTAAAGCATTTAAGCAAGGCTTGGATAGGTGATGCTCCTGTTCCACGTGACATTGACTAAGGTTTTGTTCAGCTGGCAGATGTTTGATCTCGAAGGTCCAAGATGGCCTCATTCTCACGTCTGCTTCTTTGGTGGGGATAGCAAGAAGCTTTGTTCAGCTGGGATTAAGGACCGGAACATCTGTGTGTGACCTTCTAGTGTAGAGTCTTCAGGGTAGTAGAATTTCTTATGTGGCAACTCAGGGTTCCAAGAGCGGATGTTATAAGTAAACGAGGAGGAAGCTGTATGGCCTTTAGAATAGCCTTGGTATTTCATAGCATCACTTCTCTTGTGCTCTTTTTATGAGAACTAATTAATTAGCTAGAGATAGATATATGATCGATCATCTCCTATCTGCCAGGTACTATATCACACACATTGGACAAAGCAGACAAAATTCTTGTCCCTATGGAACTTATATTCTAGTTGGGTGAGACAGAAAATAAAAGAACATTATAAATAGGTAAAGTAATATAGTCTATCAGAAAAGTGATAGGTGTTATGGAGAAAAATAGGGCAAAAAGTGGTTTTGGTGATGGTTTACCATCTTAAATAGGTAGCCAGGATAGGCCTAACTGAGAAGGTGACATTAGAATAATTATTTGAAGAAGACGCAAAGGCCCTGAGGCTAAGGAAGCCTTGAGGGCAGAAGCTGGTAAGAGAGGAAAGGAGTGACTGGAAGTGAAATCAGAGAAGTAAAGGAGTCCAGATTGGGTAGCTCTTCACAGACCAACTTAAGAACTTGTAGCCCTGAATAAGATGGGAAGCAATGTGGCCATGTAAGCAGAAGAGTGATACGATCCAACTTACATTTTGAAAGGATCTCTCTTGAAGCTGCTACACTGAGCATAGAATGTAGAGGGCATGCGTGGAAGCAGGGAGACAGTGGTAGACTATTATTATAGATTAGGTGAGCATCAATGATGGTGGTAGCAATGGTAAGCAAGTCAGATGTAGGACCACTTTTTGGATACTGAGCAAGCAAGATATCCTGATGGATTGTATGTTGGTGTGAGAGAAAAAGAGAGGAGGTGAGGTTGATTCTGAGTTTTGGCCTGAGAACAGGACTGATGGAGAAATGGAATTTTGTTTAATAACAATTTGGTTATTGTTTATATTACATATATAGTAGGTTCTGAATGGAATGGGCTTCTTGACCTAATTTATTGTTTCTGGGAGGTAAATCCTAGTACCTGGGCAATTGAAAGTCTATAACCTAGTACCTAGTATATTGAAGGTCTGTAACCTGGATGCCCAAACCAGAATTTTTTGATGGCTACAGCGTGTCTATTATTTATTGTGTGTTACTTTGGGCTGCTCATCTGAAGGGAAGTGTTATTTTGCTTGTTAAAAGCCACCCTTTGATAACACTAAGAAGTTCTGGCTTGATGTCTCCCCTACTGGAAAAGGTTTCATTATCTTTCAGGTGAGGCCATACCCTGCCTAATCTTCTGTGCCTTTGGTCCTGAGTATCTTTCTGTGGTGGGACAGGGCCCCTAACAGTCTTCACGGTCCTACCCTTCTGCATGGGGACTACTCTTTCAGTTAATACCCTTTGGATTTGTAGCTCAATTTCATTCATAGCCTGCTCTGGGTTAAAACAGTTATTTTTTATTTCAGAATTTCAGACTAAATATTCTCATCCCCAAAACAGTGGCCGGGTCCTTTTTCAGACAACTGGCAAACCAGGCTTTGGAAAACATTGATTGCTCAAAGGGTCGCTCATTGCTGAGAATGGAGTTGGCTTCAGTTGAGACGAAGAATGCTGTGGGCAGAGGGGGCTCGGGGGAAGTTTCGAACATGCTAAGTTTAAAATGTCTGTTATATTTTTATGGGGAGGTATTGAGCAAGCTCTTGCCATGTATGTATCTAGACTTCAGGAGTAAGGTCTGGGCTGGAGATACACATTTTATAAATTTTTAATTAACCAATGTCACCCTAATACATTTAATGAAAAAAAAATTGTCTTTGGTATGTGGGTGATACTTTAAGCTATTACACTTGATAATATCAACACTGATTCCCGACTCCTTGTATGCTGTGGGTCTTGCATCGGGACTAGGCCTACAATTCCAGCAATGGGCTGAGACAGACCTCTGGTGACCCTGAGACTTTGGGTGATAAGTATGATCCACAGGAAGTGCCTAGAGGAGCAGGAAGCATGTGATACAAGCCTCCAAAGTTGAATGAATGAGCTTAGTGATATACAGGCTAAAGCACAGGTAACATGACTTAACTGGGTTTATAAAAGTCACTTGGCCTCAAAACTTTTCTCCCCTTTTGGCCTGGGTAAGGGGTAAGAAACTTTTACTCTTAAATTCTTTTCCTTGCCTCCTCAGTTGTATTTGATCAGGTCAGGAATGTGTACTTATGGAGAAGTTTCTTGTCTTCTGTTCTATTCTTATTTTGTTTTGGCCACTCCACCTGCCAGGCTGCTACTGGAACCCTAAAGCTGTACCCTAAATAAAAGTCATCCTTCTGGATTTAAAAAAGTGACATTAATCTATATTAATGTGAGGTACTAATTGATTATTTAACCCTGATTTTATTGCAGTTGATGCTGGCTGAATATCAGAGAGTGAAGTCAAAAATGCCCCCCATTGTAGAGCAACTGATGGGCCCTCATTTGGCTAAAGTGGATGAAGCTCTCCAGCCCGGCTTGGCTGCACTGACATGGACGTCACTGAACATTGAGCCATACTTGAAAAATGCTTTTGCAAAGATCAGTAAGTCTGTCCAAATGGTTATTCTTTCTCAGTTTGAAAGGCTGAGTTCTTAATGTTTGTTGCATAATTTCTTACAGATACTGTTGTGATATAAATAGTGAAATGGGAGTGTTACTTATAAGCTGTTCCCTAAGGAATTTTACTAAAAATATATGAATTCATTAATTTACTGGAAAGTCTATATATTCACTATTTAATTCTATTCCTAGAGATTAACTACATTTTAAAATATACTTATTGTTGGACCTTAGAATTTAAAGGCTCTTTAGAGTCATTCAGCTTTTTATACTAATAGGTTAGTGTATTTTCAGACCCTAGTTTGAAAAATGGGGCGATTTGGACAGAGTGCTGAACAACAGGATATATAGAAAGAGTTATTCAAACATATTTTCTTAATGAGGGATATAATGCCCTTAAAAATATATGTAAGGTGGTATATTTCTTAAAATACAGTTTTCCAGAATGTGTACAGGCATGCTTCAAAGAAGGGATGTGGGCTCAGATCAGTCTGGGAATTCAGATTACACAAAGTCGGGCAAGCTTCTTCTCTGTAGGACTTCTCATGGCCTTTACTATGCCGTTGTGCAGTGGTTTGCAAAAGTGGGTTGTTCTAGTGGCATCTCCCAGAATTCCTTGACTGCCTTCTAGGAGAACATGTTGACACCTGATAGACCTTCCATGGTGGGCAGGGGAACCCACTTTGGAACACAGAATGGAGGGGTTTTTCCAGGAAGACTGAGATGCTGCATCCTCCTGATCTCCCCAGTGTCCTCCGCCTTCTCTTCACGGCCCAATTCTCCCCATGTTTTGTAGCCCAGAGCAAGTCTCACTACCAGAAGCTCGTTAGGCTGTTCTACCCGATGGGGCCACCTCCTCCTGCGGCTTCTTGTTGTTTTACAGTTGGGACCAGAGACTATCTTTTGATTTCTTCTAATGATTAAGTACAGTTCCATCCTTTGCTCCAAACTAACCACAGAGGATGTGAAAATCAGGCTGTTTTTTCTTTTTTTTAATAATTTTGAATTACTCTCAGGTGCACACTAGACATTCATACATTCATGAATTCGTGACTGCAATAGTATATATAGCTATTCTCTTTCCATTTCTTTCCTCCCTAACCCCTTTGCTACTGTTGAGCCCATCACCTCGTTTCTGAGTCACCCTTTCCGAGGTGTCTCTTCTACATACCCTCTTGTGGTGGCTAACCTTTTATATTCTCTCTCTAACTCACATAGGTGGCTACTAAAGTAGTACTGAGTTTATTTGTAGCCTAAATTGTCAAGAGTTTGTCTTATTAGTGGTTCTTCCCTGTACCTTCCAAATAAGTTAGAGCTCAGAAAGGACCAGGTGCTGTGTACTTAAGAATAACTGAGATGTTCTGGGTTGGGAGAGAGGAATTAATGGTTGGACCCTCCTGCCATCTTTTGCTTTGCTTCATAAGTTGGGAACTATATTCAAAGACAAATTGTAAAGAGACCTTTGGATATTACTAAGAAGTGATATAGTCTCACTATAATTTGAAGGTTGAATAATATTAAATAAATGATCAGGCAACTCCTGCATTATAGAAGCAGAGATTGTCGAAATCTTAAATAAAGTCCTTAATTTAAAGTTGGAAAACTGTGATCCAGAGGTGCTAAATGATTTCTAATGTTAATGGATGTATGTCGTAAAATGAGTTTAAGACCCAGTTTTCTTGCCTTTAAACCAATATTCATTCTAAAATACACCTCCCTAGGAATGAAAACAAGAGGAAATGGGCTAAAATTCTAGAAGGAGGCACTTATAAAATGTATAAAAACTTCATAATAGGAGTTATCACAACTGTATGAGAACAGGCTACGAAAGTGGACTAGTAATATTCTCCTTAGAGAATATTAAGATTGGAGCATTAACAATTTGGATATTTTATTAGAACGTTCCCTGGAGACAAGGAGCTAGTTTCTAAGGAAACTCTTGTTAATTCTCAGCTTCTGTTTCCTTTTTGTAATTTAAATTAAGAAAGTGAGGTCAAACTAAGATTGAATTTGTTTGGGAGGCAAACTATGTTGAATCTCAACAACAGCTGGATTTTTATTTTGAATAGTGAGCCAATCCTTCTCTTTGTTGGTGGTTATTTGTATTATTTATTTAAGAGTATTTTTTGGCTGTTGGTCACCCTGTCTTCAAAGCCAGCATCTTAATATCTTCAAATTTCTTTCTCCCTGTCTCTCCATTTCAATAGTCACATTGTCTTCTGACTCTGACTCTCCTGCCTTCTGCTTATTAGGATCCTTCTGACTGTCAGGGCCTCACCTGGATAACCCAGGACAATCTCCATATCTCAAGATCCTTAACTTGATCACATCAGCAAGGTCCCCTTTGTAACATTTGTGGGGGAGAAGGATGAACAAAGAGGGGATTAGGACCTCTCCTTTGAGGGGAAAAGTCACAGTTGTCCTTGAAGATGCATTCTTCAAAGGTATCAGCTCACCACAGATGCCCTTGAAGAAGCTTTGAAGAATCAGAAATAGTAAAGAATGTCATTGAGCACATTCATGCTGAAATAAAAGTGTTGGCTCTCTTCTAGTAATGAGTAAGCATATAAGGCAGAACTATATGGTGTCTTGAGTAGCCTCCTTAATAATTAGTTTAGAAATGATTGGAACTGTTAGGGCTTTATTCTTTAGGAAGTAAAAGCATTTATTTAAGGAAGTGTTTACATCTCTGATATGTCATGAGTACATAACATGGATCTTTCTGTATTGTTTTAACTTCATTTCCTAGAAGAAAGCATTAGCAGGAAAAAAAAGAGAATTAGTTGTATAATACATATTGAAAAAATGTGTTTAGTTCATAGATGACAATCCATTAACTATCATTCCTACTTTGGAAGTTAAGTTGTTAATTTCCTTCAGAATTGACTTTTCTGTCCATAGAACTTAGTGTTCAATATTTCAATATTACTTTGCCACACTTAAAAAAAATACCATATGATAGTAACAGTAAAAGAAACATTGAAGGAATTTCACTTCAAGTGGATCTGTTGAATACCTCCTGTGGAACAGGCACTGGGCTAAGCACTGAGGATGTAAGGAATGAAAAGTATGCATTCCAGAGGAGACCATGTGGTATAGATAGAAATGGGAGGATGCTTGGGGTCAACATCAGTATGGGAGGAGAGGGCTGCTCAAGTATGTGCAGATACAGGAAGCCTCCTCAAGGGGCTGCATTTGAGCCCAATCTTCCAGTCTGAGTCAGAGTAAGGCAGGCTGAGAAAACTGGGAAACTGGTCAAAGAAAAAATAGCATGAGAAAGCCAAGTGTGACGCTATGGAATGGAGCAACTTTATCCTGACTCTACTACTGCAGTTTAATCAAGTGTTGATTAAAAAAAAAGCAAGCAATGAAATGCTTAATCTTTTTTATTCACTTCTGTTTTTTTCCAAAGAGGATCTGGAATTGCTGGTCGACAGGGTCAATGATCTGATAGAGTTCCGCATCAATGCCGTTCTGGAAGAAATGAGCAGCATGCCGCTTTGTCAGCTCCCCCAGGAGGAGCCGCTTACCTGCGAAGAGTTTCTCCAAATGACAAAGGTTATTAGAATATTAATGTTTTCATTAAACATTTGTTTTGTGATTCCTTTTTCAATAAAGGGCATTTTTTTGAAGCATAAATTACATTTTTTCCCCTCTACCTGTGATTGGTCAATGATAGATATTATTCAGACATGGAGTCTTCTGAAAATAACTTGAAAATGAAGAGCAATGAAGGTAGGGAGCCACTTACACGTCAGGAACCAATCATGTCAGATCAATGGGAAGGAAATGACTGTGGAACACATTTGTCATTTTTTCCTTATATTTTTGAAGAATGGAGCTATTTAGTTGAAGAGCTTTTGGTAAGCTAGGGTTAATTAATAAAACAATTGTTTTAAACAGCTTCTGGACAGGATTTCTTCTTTTTACTTTTCTGTAGAACAGGGTTCCCAAAACTGGTGTTCTGTGGCACATGGTTCTGGAGCCATTGTCAGGAAGCCTGGGAAAGACGGAGTCGGTGTCCAAAGTGCCCAGGGTAGCTTTGCACTTACAGATTCTTTACACATTAATGTATTAAAATAAGGCCTTCATTTTGATTTATCATGGATCCGAATAGCCTGAACTAACAAGCAAAGCCTACATGCACTCACATAGTTTTAAAGCCTATTTATGTAAGCAAGCCTTCCTTTCATCAGTATTATTGAACCAAAAGTGCTGTTTACGTTTTACGTACAGAATTGAATCCATATCTGTACAGTCCCACCGTTAACCTCCACCCTAGAGTTTCTGCGGAATACTCCATGAATCTTGTAGTAAACTGAACATTGTTTACTTGAATTTTATTGATTCCTTATTTGCTTATACATAATTGATACATTTGTTTTTGATTTTTTTAGGATGTTAAGAACCCTGAACCTGTGAATTTTATACATTTCAACGTTTCCACATTTTAGGGGAAGATCATAATAAAAATAATTAAATTAAAAAATAAGGACTCCTTATTTTTTTTTTTAATTAATTTATTTACTTTTTAAATACATTTGTCCCCCCCCTCCCCCCCCCCTCTCCCCTTTTTTGTCCATGAGGACTCCTTATTTTTTAAGACGCTTCGAAGTGTCTCCTGGAAAAGAGCCATTTCACTTTCTTTAACCCAGTATTCCTCAGACGCATTTGCAAACGGGACACTTTCTTCCCAGCGCCCAGGTTAGGATCCTGGTAGTGGTGCTCTGTGAAGTGTTCCTTTAGGAATGTCACTTCAGTGTCATTTACAGTGTTTCTGATGGGCATCCGGATTATAAGAACATCATTAAGACCAATGACAATTTTAACATGGTACATCAGGAGTCCCCAGAATTATCCCCACTAGAAGCGTTCATGGAACTCAGAGTCTAGTTGCATGCAAGGCTGAGACCTAATATCATGCTGCAGAAAGGATACGTGATCAGACCGTAAGGGAAAAGACAAGCAATGTTTGTAGGAATGCATGTTCAGGCTTCCTTATATTTTCTCCCTCTTATGAGAGGCCACACAGAGCTCACTCTCTGCCCAGCAATGAAAATGCAGCAACATGTATGCAATGTGTGTGCCCAGGGAAGCCCATCAAAGACGCAGGTCCCAAGGATAATATTGGGTTTGGTCACAAAGGCACCCCTGCCTAACATGGACCCAAACTGCAGAATTCCAGAAGTAAGGCAGATGTTTAGCACAAACCACACTGTTGGCACAAGCAGCCTAGGCACAGTGAGCCACTCCTGTCTTTCAGGCACTGTTTGATGTGTGGCCTATTTATGTGCCTCTTAATAAGGTTGTGAGCACTACGATACACACAGCAGATCTCCAACTGTCTTTTTTTATTTCGCTAAACATTTCTTCACAAAATATTTTTCATGTTGCTATATGGCTTTCCCAGCTACCATTTTAACGATGCTTTCAGAATAGTCTGTTGAGTTGATGGTCTTGAATATATTTGCTAGTTCCTTGTTATTGGACATTTATAAGGCTTCTAAAGTTTTGATATTTTTCCATGAGCGGCAATAAATATATTTAAATGCATCACACCCTTTTTCCCTTTAGAATGAGTTCTTCCTCTAAAGTAAGATGGCTGCATCAACGAATGTAGCTTCATTTAATGGCTCTTAATATTTGTAGCCAAATTTCCTTTTCAAAAGAAGTGTATCAATGTACAAGTTCATCAGCAAACTGATAGTATCAATTTCACTATGTTCCAACGAACACTTTTTACTATAATTATAAGAAAATTTTTGTTATAATAAATTATATATTTATTATAAAGAAAATATAAATGCATTATAACATAAAAATTAATTATAAATGTTATAATTTATATGTTTTAGTTTAAGTAGCAAAATCATAGAATGTTATGTTAGTTTGCATTTTTGATTACCAAAACAAATAACTACCAATATAAATGAATGGTTGCCATTATAAAAGAATTATGTCCTTTGAATTTATTTTTTATAATTCATTTATTTTCTCAATCATTTTTGTGGAACTCCTATGAAAACCACTGCTGGAGACACAGCAATGAACAAAACAGATGAAATTCCTGCCTTCATGGAGCCTACTTTTGAGTGGAGGATACAGAAAAATGTACAGAAAGCAAATAAACAAAAAAATCTCAGGCTAGTTCAATGGTGAAAAATCAAGAGGGTAATGGAAAAACGGACTGCTTGACAAAGACCTGTGGTTTTATGTCAATGGTCAGGGATGACTTGTGATTATACAGGGAGTGAGCAAACCAGGGGAAGAACATTCCAGGAAGAGGGAACAGCAAGTGCCAAGACCCTGAGGGAGAAGCCTGTTGGTATGATAGCTGGAAGAAGATGTTGAGTAGAAGTTCACTGAGCATGCTCATACGCTGGGGGGAAAAACCAAGTAGAGAAAGAGAAAGGGAATGATTGGTGAGCATGGTTTCTGGGAAAGCAGAGACTCTGTGATTTATAACTCAGGCTGTGAAATTATTTTTGAAAAGGAGGAGCATTGTATTCACTGAAAAAGGAGGAAAAAGGGGTTAATGATGGAGGCCTGTTGCCTTCTGGGTGAAGTCATGGTGTCAGGGAGTTGGGTGAGTCCCCATGGCATGGCCTCCATTTGATTTGTGCTGCAGACATCAAGGTCATTAGCCAAGTATGATGGGGGAAGATGGTCTAATGATTTGAGGACACAGCTGTTATAGGGCCTGGTAGAGGAATGTGGTAGGAGTCATGTAGATTGATTCCTGGGAAGCATTAGCAGCCTAACTGAGTTTGGGGACCATGACTTTCCAGTGACAACCATCTGCATTGCAATGGCCTGTGCAGATGGAGAAGGTGGGTCACCCAGTTCATTGGGATTGGGCTTCTCCTGGGTGGGACATCAGAAGGCTGATAGAGTAATGGAGAAGAGGATACTGGCAAAGAAATGATTGAAGTGAAAAAGTATGTCATGAGGAGAGGATGTGTGGAGTCAGAGGGGTTTAAGAGTCAGGTTTTAAAAAATATTAGTGATCTTTCAGAGAACAAGGAACTAATCTATATGAAATGAGATGAACACGCTTGGAAAACATAGATCTGGTGGCTATATATGATTTGCTAAGCAATGATAATAACAAGCACTTCCTGAACACGTACTTTGTGCTAGGCAGTGTTCTTAATGTTTTACATATATTATCTTGAGTACTTCCAAACAACCTAACGTAGGTTCTGCTATTACCACCATTTTACAAATTGGAGAATCGAGACACAGAAGGATTTCCTAGATTCACACAGAGCTAGGATTTGAACCCAGGTAGTTTGGTGGCAGAGTCTATGCTTGTCACTGGACGGTACTACAACTCCTCCATCCTTTGCCCTATCTTTGTCTGGCCTCTTTCTCATAACTGTCTCTGTCTCTTTCTCATAACTCTCTCTGGACAAGGGAGGAATTTGGTAGTTGGGTGAAGTTCTGAGTTGGGAGGGAAGTTTATACTTTATTTGATGCTGAAAATGTTAGTTTCAGGACACATTAGAATATTCCTATGTTAAATAAAAATGCCATGTGTTCTATAGCAGTGGAGTGGAGGTGAAGGTCATGAGTGATGAGGAGGTAAGTGAACCATGAAGCTGATGTTTGGAGTTGATGGTCCATGAGCACTTTACACATTCTCCAGATGAATAATGGGGGGACTTGGAATGGAGCTGGGTTTGATGACCAACTGCTAGTCTGTTGCTTCATGGGCTTATTTTCCAATGAGGTGGTAAATTCCTGACTGTCTACGTCATCATATCATCTATCCCTGTCTATCTGTTTGTCTATCTATCATCTATTATCTTTTATCTATCTATCTATCTATCTATCTATCTATCTATCTATCTATCTATCTATCTATCTATCTATCATCATGCTACAGAATTCATCATGGTGCCACAATCACATTAGTTTATATTTGCTAAATCACAGTCCTGAGAAATGTGTAATCTAGGTGGAGGGGAGGGGATTATCAGAGGTTAATTAGGGTTGACTATTCCTTGTTGGCAAAGAAGAGGAAGAAAGGAAGGCTGGCTAGAGTAGATTTACATAAAATGAAGGGCACTTCATGGGTAAAGAGAGGCTGCTGATAGCTTTTAGATTTATTTCCTCCACTGTTGGAGAAGTGAGGGTAATTTTGGTTTATCCATGTTGCTCCAGTTGGTTCCCTTGACTTTTTAAAAAAAAATTTATGAATTTATTGGGGTGACATTGGTTAATAAAATTACATGGTTTCAAGTGTACAGTTCTATAATACATCATCTGTATATTGTATCATGTGTCCACCATCCAAAGTCAAGTCTCCGGTCACCACTTATTCCTCCTTTACCATCTTCTATCTCCCCCAACTCTCCTTTCTTTCTTGTAATCACTGTATTGTTGTCTGTGTCTGTGAGGTTTTTTTTTTCTTAATCCCTTCACCTTTTTCACCCAGCTTCCCTACCTTCCTCCCCTCTGACAGCTCTCAGTCTGTTCTATGTATCTATGAGTCTGCTTCTGTTTTGTTTGTTTATTTATTCTGTTCATTAGATTCCACATGTAAGTGAAATAATGTGGTGCTTGTCTTTCTCAGACTGGCTGCTTCTCTTGTCTTTAATATGTTCTCTTACAGGATGCCCTGTGGTGGTTAGTGTGAGGGGTGTGGCCAAACATAGTGGGAGGCCCAAATCTCATCTGGAGGCTGAATCTATGGCATTACTACCCTTACTGATGTGCTCTCAAGGGCTAGATAAACAAATATGACACTGTGTTAATTTTCTTATAGGATCTTTGTGTAAATGGTGCGCAGATCCTACACTTTAAAAGCTCTTTAGTGGAGGAAGCAGTCAATGAGCTAATAAATATGTTGTTAGATGTGGAAGTTCCTTCAAAAGAAGAAAATGGAAAGGCATTCAATGTGAACGGTGCTGATTCCATAAACGAAAGTTCAGGTAAGAGATGGGATAGTGGAAAGGTGCTGTTTTTCTAGGATATTACTGGCAACTAAAATTTAATTTTCTGTGTAGCGATTAATTTCACACTTCTATAAACACCCTCCCAATTTTATAAGGGTATTTATATCCTTACATCAAAATCAAATCTAAATTATGATTCTGAGTATACAGTAATGCCTCTATGTCATTAATTACATTTTTTTTTTGTTAATCTCTACAAACAGGCACTTTGCATTGGCCCTTGTAGCTTTCTTTGCATTTAACTATGAGTGTGTGTTTCTCTACCTTATCGACAGATTAGGATGGGTTATGGGTTGGGATTTCTGTTGGAGTACATCTCCCTTAGCGCAAATGTGTTGTGGGAGAGATGAGGACATGGGCGGCTATTCCCCCAAGCTTTTCTGGATGTTGGTGGAAGAGCGGGCACCAGGCCCCAGGCCCCCGAGGCCCAGTCTTGCTTTTCAGCTGCAGCTCCTGCCCCTTGTCCTGTTCCCTCACACGGAGAGGGAGAGGCCTCCATTGGTCCAACTGGTGACATGGTTTCCATTTCCTATCCTTTGACGGCCTCACTTTCTAAGAAGTGTGACATTTAACTGTTATCAAATCTGCATGTAATTTATCTTAACTTTTTCTCTTTAATTGCAATAGATGGTTCTCCCTCTCCCTCTCGTCCTCTCTCTTTCTCTTTTGCTCTCAATCTTTCTCATTTTTTCAACAGCAAAAAGAGAAGTAAATTCCTACACCTTGACATCTTCCCTTAATGCTGGGTTAGGCCTCCTGCCTATGGCGACAATCACAAGAAAGAAGAAAGAGATGCAGATCTTAGAGGAAGAGGCCCGCGAGTTGGTCTCTCATTTCAATCATCAAAACATGGATGCTCTTCTGAAAGTTACAAGGAATACACTGGAGGCCATTCGCAGGCGAATTCATTCATCCAACACAATTAACTTCCGGGGTAATAATCCCACAGAATTTGCCCACTGGCTGGCCAGGCATAGTGGCTGGCTTAGCATGTGTGTGTTCCTGTTGTTTAAATAATTAAAAAGCCCACCATTTATTGAGTGCCTTCTTGTAAGTTTATACATTGTGAACTTTGATTACCTCCAACAATTCTATGAAATAGATACTATCTTTACTCTCATTTTAAAACTGAAAAAACAGAGAACTGGGAGGTTAAGTAACTTGCTTAAGGTCACTTAGCTTTTGATAATAACATAATAGTCAGCATTACTTTTAATCTTTTTTGTAATAAGGTAAAACATGCGAAATGAATTAGTGAAAGTAAAAACACACTTTAAAAGAAGATAAATGGAAAGATAATTTCATTGGTAAATTATTAGGTGATTAGCTAGTCTTTTAAAGTGAGAGAGATTTTATTAATGCCTTGCTCTTCAAAGCAGAACAACTTTTTACTAATTTTGTGTCAATTTAGTGTTTTCCAGGTGGTTTCCTCATTCTCAGTACAATTATCTTTTCCCCAGTGCAATTCAGAAACAGGTGTTGCATTTCTCAGATGGGCCACAGAAATCATCAAATATAGAGACATTCTGAAATTAAATTTTAAATTTAAAATAGTAAAAAACCCCGCCAGTAATTAATTATGTAATTAACATGGGAAAAATAGGATAATAAAACCTTTTTATTTACTTTGAATATTAACATTTAACAGAAAGCATCTTTAATATTTAATTAAAAGTGGATGACTAATAGGAGGAAACATTGTAATAATGCTTTGACTGGTGGTGTGGTTCATAATGTTTTATTTAGTTCTGAACGGACGACAGTTCTTTTCTTTGATACAGGAATATTGGTAGAACTTATCAAATGTTGGTTGATATGCTGAATATTAAATCATATTTCTTTCCCAACTTTATATATTATGGGTATTTCCAACTTTATATATATATATATATATATATATATATATATATATATAAAGTTACACAGAGAAGTTCATACTTATATACCTTTAAAATCTTCTTGGATATAAATGGAGAGTTATGCTTTATTTCTTTTCCAGTTTTAAATTCCTCTGAGTTTGGATTATACACATTTTGGTAGGAAAGGAATATGTTTTATTTGAAATTTCACACTGGTTATTTGTTCTGACCTTGGCTTGGTTTGATAGTTGTTCTTAATTCTCTGCTTATTTTTTCTGCATTTAATTTATTGGTTGACATCCTGCTATTTGGACAGTATCATTTTCAATATTTTAGATAAGAACCTACATAATTAAGCTGATCCCACACCGTGGGTACCCATGGAGTGTGTACCAATGAGTTGTAATCAACACAAATGGCTTGGGTTCTACTGAGCTGCTCTGTTACATGGAGCAAAACTAGGTCCTCCAGTAGAGTTCATTCATTCATTCAACAAATATTTGTCTGATTATATACCTATTATATATTGTTCTAGGTGCTTTATTTTTTCTGGTTAATGATGAAATAAATCCCATTTTAAGTTAAAAAGATTAAATTTTCCCTGTTTTGCATTAACTCAGATAGTAACAGGGCATCCCAGATGAAGCCGAACAGTCGACCCATTTTTCGGGCAGACCTCACTCTGGCCATTCCCAACATCACCATGGTTCCTGCCCTGGAAGACATACAGCAAATGCTGAACAAAGCTGTGGAGTGCATCGTCAACGTCACCAAGGGGGTTAGGCAGTGGAGCGGGGAGCTGTTGTCCAAGGTGGGTGTGGAATGAAGAAATTATTTCATATGGAAGCTGCTTCCTTTACAGATGGGACTGAGCTGAAAAACATCCTTTTATGTTGTAGAAAAAGGTGCATGAAAGAAAAATGGTTGCTTTGCAGAATAACGAAGACAGCGATTCTGATGCTGAAATGGGAGAAAATGAACTGCAAGGTAAATGTTCTTTTTAAGTAGTCATTTAAACCAGTACTTACTGAGTTGAAATACATGTTTCCTCCATTCAATTCTCAAATCAGACTTGATAGGAATATTAATCTGTGAGCCAATTTTAAGTGTATAAGATATAAAGATCCATACATTTTAATATCACCATTACAGGTAGCTTGCCTCTATTGGGTATCCCACAGTTTTGGGTGCATTCATCGATTTCTGGTACAGTGTGATGATGGGAACCAGGGGACAAGAAGGGCCTAATTTCTCAATTTAAAGAGATACTTGTCATCATCAGAATGAATATTTCCTGATACTAAGGAGACACTTTTCACCCATTATGTGTCCTGTTTTGCTGATTTGCTATGATGTCTGTTCATGCTGTACATCCCATGGTTTTCCTTTATATTCTGTAAAATTAGGGAACATAGGACATACAAGTTGATGATTATATTAACTGTTGTCATTAGTTCTGCAAACTCCTTTTAAAACAGCCCTGCAAATAGCAGACCCCATATAATTTTGAGTTACTGCTCTTGTGTCTTGAGATAATGAATCATCTAACCATGAGGGAGAAACTGAAGCAAGTTCCTCTTTAAAACAGTCTGTCACTGGGGAGGATAAAGCAGCCCCAAACAAGCCCTGAGCAGTGTAGCTCAATTGGTTGGGCATTGGCCTATCAAGCAAAAAGTTGCCGGTTTGATTCCCGGTCAGGGCACACCCCTGGGTTGCAGCCCAGGAGGCAAGTGATCAATGCGATCAATGTTTCTCTCCCTCCTTTCCCCTCTCTCTAAGAATAAATAAATACAATCTTTAAAAAAAGACAACTCTAAACAACTTTACCCCAACTTACAATGTTATTTATTTTAGCTAAGAGCATATGTTATTATTGTGTTAATTTCAATTTTTTATTAAGTAGCTACATTGCTTTACTTCCTAGAATAGTTTAAAATTCAGAATTTTCTAAACTGAAAATATGTTCAATAATGAATTATATTTTAAATTGAGAAAAATGCTTAATGAAAAATTTAATATATTTTTGTCATGACAAAGACAGTTAAATAAAAGAGCAACATCTTTTTAAAAATAATAGTTTTGAGATATTGCTTACATAACAAAATTGACCCTTTAAAGCAAATCAGTTAGTGGTTTTCAGTATGTTCACAACCATCACCACTATCTATTTTTAGAATATTTTTATCACGCCAAGCCCAAACCCTGTATCCATTAGCATTCACTCCCCATTTCCCCCATCCCAGCTGTGGCACCACTAATCTACTTTCTTTCTTTGTGGATTTGCCTACGTTGGGCATTTCATATTAATAGAATCATACAATATATGGTCTTTGTGACTGGTTGCTTTCACTTAGCATGATGTTTTCAAGATTGATCCATATTGCAATCTTTATCAGTTCTTTATTTCTTTTTATTTACAATTCCATTTTATGGATATATCACATTTCACTCATCCATTTTTCAGGGCTGATGGGTACTTGGGTTGTTTCCATTTTTTAGCTGCTACAAATAATCCTGCTATGAACATTCATGTACAAGTTTTTTTGTGTGGACGTTTGTCTTCATTTCTTTTGGGTATACATGTGTAAGTGGAATTGCTGAGTTATATGTCCACTGGGTGGGCTTCCTCACGTATAGTTTCTACTGAGTGCTTTTGTTCCTGTGTGTAAGCACTACTTCCCTGTTTCTTTGAAGGTTTCACAGTTTAAATTTTTGTTGAAAACTTGATTTTAAAGAAGGTAATTTGGCAACTTTGAGAATCTGATTCTCTTCCTACACTCCCCAGAGACTTTTGTTGTTGTTACTGTTTGTTTATTTATTGACTTTCCTGGACTATCCTATAAAATTTGTCTTTCCATTCATTTGTACTATTGTAATCTCTGCTTGATTAGCTTAGTAGTCAGCTAGTGATTGCACAGAGAATTCCTTTAATGCTTTGAACCAGAAGCTTTCCACCCTATGCCTGGGGACAATGTGCGTCTTTTGGAGCACTCTGCATAGAGCACCCTGAAAGCTCAGTAAGTTTTAACACTGCCTTAGTCTTTATTTACTGATCATGCCTGAAGTTCAGCCAGAGCTAAAAGATTGGGGCATCTTTAGATCTTCCCTGGGCATGTGCCTCGCTCTGTACATATGTGTGGCCTTCTTGAGCTCCAGCAATATGTCAGGACTTTACAAGTGCCTCGGTGGACATCTCTTTCCCCAGATCTTTAATTTTTTTAGTCAATCTCTCATTTGTTCTAACAGCATTGCCACAGGCAACTTAAAGGTAAACAGTTGTTGCTGACTGTATTTGACAAATGCCTTGGAGATAGGAATTTTTTTTCACTTGGTGAGTTTTGAGTCAAGTGAAATAAGCTCTTTGAATTGGGCTTTTTCAGGGAGTGTCCAGACAGGTCAAATAGTGACAACTTTAATGGGCTTCCTGAAGAGCTCTGCTCCCAGTCTGGCCCCTCTGGTGACTGTGAGGCTGTGGTTTTGAGTCACAGTGTTTGCAAGACTGCTATTTTTTGAGACTACCACATGACCAGGGAGGGGACAATGGGCAGAGAACTAGTTAAAACTCCATAAAATTCACTCTTGTTACAAGATTTAGCATTTTTCTTGACTAAACAAATGTTTCTTCAATTATTGCAAGCTTTGGTTAACTTCCAGAGTCGTGAGAAATTGATATTGACAATTTTTTTCAATGTTTTTATTTCCTTTTATAAAGAACATTTTCAAAGGTCCTGACTTTACCATTACAGAAATCCCCTCATCTTTTTAAAGTTCCCTATGCTGTTGATATGAGCATTTTTCTCTTTTTCTGCTTTTAGATACCTTGGAAATAGCATCTGTAAACTTACCCATTCCTGTGCAAACCAGGAACTACTATAAGAATGTTTCTGACAACAAAGAGATTGTAAAATTAGTCTCTGTGCTTAGCACAATCATCAACTCCACCAAAAAGGTATGTTCCAAGGATTTTTAGCCAGGGCCTTTTGCTTCTTAACATGTGCCTTTGTGAAGCTGAACATCATAAGCTTTTCCTACACGTAGTGAGGGTCTCACCTACTGTGTCTTCAGTCAGTTGCTTATGGCACCTTGTATGTGCTCAGCAAATATTTGTTTAAAGACTCATTCTAGATTGCAAAGTGAAAGAGAACTATTATTCCTGTGTTTTACATTTTTTCTATTTAGTGCCTTTAGCCTATTTATTCAGTTCAAATAAATCTAACTTAAAATTTTTGATATGTCCCAAAGTGCAAGTCTGACTGGTGTTATAGTTTTCCTTCCTAGAGTCAGTGATATTAGTGCATTTGAAATAGAATAAGATTCAGTCAATTTTTAATATTTGTGTAGTCAGGAAAATCTTGAAAAATATCAGATGAAAATTTATGTTTATTGCCATGTGGAAATCAGATAATACTGAGAAGTGGAGAAAATATTAGTGTTATCTGTGCAAACTTGTACTAGATATGGGTGTAAATTTGGGTTAATTTTTATTTCCAACCTGTTCTCTTACCTTTCCTGCTTTCCCATTTTTGTTTGGGAAAATCTGTTCTTATGGTCAAAAAGACTCAAAACCCTGAAGTCAATTCTACTTAAAAAACATCTATATTCACATTGTCACTAAGACCTGTTGTCTCTTTAAAATGGTTTTTAGTGTTGAGGAAATAGTTGGCACTCAGTAAGTATGTCTTTTCTATTCCTCAGTTTTGATGGAATGAATTTCTTTTGTTTCTTTTGAATTTCTTTTGAAAGGCTACCATTGCTATAAAAATGAGGGAGAGTATTAAGTTTAATTTTAACATGTTCCCAAGAGAACTGGGAGCTTTTGCTTTATGTGTTTTCAATTTCCTTTCTTAATATGTGGAAGGTCCTGTATTTAATTTTGCCCTAGAGGTAGTGTTCATGTAATTCAATTTAACAAATATTCCTTTAGTGCTTACTTATCCAGCTCCATACTAAATGATAAAGCTAAGTAGAGTATTCTGTGATGATAATGAACATTCAGATATATTTTCCAGTGTTTTGTAGTCTGGAAAATACAATAAAGTAAATCAATAATAAATTCCATTATTTCTTCTGACCATAAGCAGCTTCTATTATGAAAATCTGAGAGTAAGACATAGCAATTGAAGTTAACATACTCCTGGCAACAAGTATACTTATCTCTTTGTCACTTCTATTGTATATACTTTTTCATTATGTGAAGGAAATGTACAGATGTTAGTCTTCTTAAAGTAATAGAAAGGGCTGGCATTTAGAATAATTTGAAGGACCTTGTTCAGTTTGATAGGACGGGTAAGTTATTTCTGGGAGAATATATGAGTGCTTGATCATAGTGCTAGACATGGCCAGCCCACCACAGCCATAAACCCTTCTGAATGGTACTCAGTCAACCACAGAAAAATCCTAGGATGCTGCCCATTTTCTCTTGCCATAGCCGATTAAATAAGAGCCTAAACCTGACCTACATTCAGCACTTCCATAGGCTGCTCATCAACTTATAACATTTCCAGGCCTAAAAACATGAACTAGCTGGATGAAACAATCAAACTGATCTTGACAAAAAATAAATAAGCAAAACAGCTCTACATATGTAATTCATGTAATTTTTCTTTTAAGTTCTAGGTTACCTCCTCTCTGAAAAGTTCCAATTTAAGAAAGACTGACACTTCCAGATCAAATAAATAAAAAGTCTGAAACATTTAGTTAGGGTATATTTTAATATTATAAACTCTTGAATGTTGAAAGAGTTCAGGATTCTGGAATTTCTACCTCCATCCAGGGATCTTTGATAATCTGTAATTCATTCTCCAAACCATCACAGATTTGTGAATGGCTGTCTGCTGTTGCAGTGCATTCTGGGCATTCATGTTAACACTTTGACCCATGCCTGGGGAGCAGTTGTGGTTGGGACAAACAGTGACAGCCTTAGCTTTCTGCATTTTAATGGGTGAGAAGTCTCAACACCCATTATACCGGAATCTCTGAGGGACATTTTAGCTGCATGTTGGGAGTTGAAATGAAACTACTTCTTGGTTTGGTGTGATTTACTTAATGTAATTGGACCACTTAGAATGCTGTTCATAATACTCTCTTTTTTCCAAATAATTGCACTTTTAATTATATCTCAGTTTTTAAAAATTTTTCTTAAGCAGGTGTGACTCTGAAATTATAAGCCAATAGAAAAAGTTGATTCCCAAGAGGTATAAATATTATAAATGTAATATATACCAAGTAAATGTGAGAGTATAGCCTGAAAAAAAATATGGCCCAATAAAGGTTAGGTTAGTAGTCAGCTGAAAGATAATTACAGACATTTCTGCTATAATGCAATTGATGTGTTCCTGCAGTACTGAGGCACACACATAAAACTTGGGGCATTGTATAACCAGAGCAGCAACAAAAACAATAACAATCATAGTAAAATATTAACCCATTCAATAACACCCTGAGAAGTATAGAACTTCACTATCAGAAGGAAAAAACCCCCCAACTTGGTAGAAGATGGTATAAGAAACGGTTGAAACTACTGAGCTATGGAAATAAGGATAAAATATACAAAGATCAGGTTGGACTGTGTAAAGAACGTTCTCAAAACAAAGTGGTGGCTAAATTGGTCCAAAAGGAAGAAGAGATGAAGGGTGTGTGGCACAAAAGATTGTTCTCCTCCGTGGCTTGCTGCTTTAGCTGGTGCAAAACAATGTGCTGGGAGAAATGACATTTGATGAAGTGACTTGCTCATTATATTGACCTCATTCCCTAATTCCCAGTTGTGAGTGAGACAATTCATCTTACAGATGAAAGCTTTTTAGCAAAAGGAATAAAAAAAATCAGTTTTAAAAAATTAAATGCCATCTATATCCAGTTATAAAAATAGTGGGGAACAGCATCATTGAAAAATACATATGTACTAAGGAACGTATGTGTTAAGAATTGTGTGGAGTCTCTATGAAGATTACCATGCTTTGTCATACATAAGCACTTTTTGCTCAAAATTTTCAGGGGAAAATAAGGATGTGCATTGTACATGGGAAGTACAAAGGGTGAGCATTTAACATGGGCAGCACTAAAATGCGGGCATGCATTATACACAGCAAAATATGGTACTTTAAAACTTAACAAGGAATTAAGCAAATGGGTTGAATGGGAAGATTTAATATCATACAGATATCAGTCCTCATTCAATGAATGTACACACTTTATGTGATTCAGTGCAATGGGGTTTGATGCTGGATATCTTCTGTTTGCCCCTCCAGATCGAGTCTTCACCCTCTTGTTTAAAGAATAAGTCAATAGGTTTCCATTGAGGTTTTCACTAGGCTCTACTAGTGAGTGTCTTGGAGGAGAAAATAGGATAGGGGAAAGAGAGTTGCCTCAGAGGGTTTTTTTCCTTGTAGTACTCTCTGTGGCATGATTATGAGCTGAGGTTTTTGATCTAAGGTACGGCTCCAATCAAGAGAGTCTTGTCCATAAGAGTCTTTGTGGACTCTATTTTTCCATTTTCAAGAAACTGTCCCCCTCTTCTTTTGGCTACGGATGGTCGCCGTTTTACTGTTACCAGCCCTGGGTTACTGTTCACACTGTTGTACATGGTCCCAGTTTTGCGGTTCACTAACTCATCATGCAGTTCACTAATTAAATATTTTAATGAAATCATGGGAACCATCAGCAATTGGCAAATATTCACTGTTAACATGATGCCACTTCTGACTCTTCCTTCTCAACACGAATAATCTTACTTGTACCCTAGGAAGTTATTACATCCATGGATTGCTTCAAATGCTACAATCACATTTGGCAAAAGGAGAAAGAAGAAGCCATTATGATATTTATTAAGAAAAACCCCTTGCTTCCTGAATTTGAAGCCCAGATTCTCTATTTCCAAAACTTAGAGCAGAAAATTAATGCTGAGCCTGAATGTGTCTATGTGGGTGCCATTGCTCTGTACACAGGTTGGTTTATTTTCTCTCAGACAGTCATAAAAATTCAATAGTATTGTTCTGCCTCTTTACTGAGATTAGTATTCCAGGGAGTTGTAGCTGTCTTAAAGATAGACTTTCTTTTTATGAGCCTCAAGCTTTAAGACCAATTTGTAGACTTGTTTTTAAATCCTGTCTGCGTAATTATTTATTGTGGACTATTTTGAACACTTTGCTGCTAAACTTTGAAAATAAATGCTAATTCAGAGAAAGGGGGTCTGTTATATTTGCAATTAAATTTTACCTTTTCTTTAATAAATGGCTGGAACGCACTTCAGGCTTACCTCCAATGGTTTTGATATGTACTTTTCTTTTCTTAGCACTTTGAAATGTGTTTGCAATTGCTGGAAAACAAACTTTATATAATAAATGAATATATAATGATTAGGAAGAACTAGTTTTTTTCCAATTTGATTTTTCATGTGTTAGAGACCTATCAGATGCAAAATATTTACTGCTGGCAAAGAGTTGCACTGGGTCTTCTTATGTTGGTTCAAGTTTTTCAAACTGAACTGTGGACACTTGGGTTTTACAGCTGACTTGAAGTTCACCTTGAGTGCTGAGACAAAAGCCTGGATGGTTGTCATTGGCCGTCACTGTAACAAAAAATACAGGAGTGAGATGGAAAACATTTTGACACTTGTTGAAGAATTCAATAAGAAACTGAACCGTCCCATTAAAGACCTAGATGATATTCGGATTGCTATGGCGGCACTGAAGGAAGTCAGGGAGCAGCAAATTTCCATCGACTTTCAAGTAGGACCTATTGAGGTAACTGAGGATCATTTTTTCATTGTACAGTTATTTCATGTCAGGTGAGATGAATTGAAATGCTGACTATCTGTGGACTGCAGTTACTGGATGCTAAACCTACGAACAACAATTTCAGTAAAAATGGTATGTAACCCTTCTAGGGTGCCTTTTGTGGGCCAGTATTAGACCCTTAGGGGCAGAGCCCGAGGTGAGGATTTCTGTACAAGTGATTTATTGATGAATGGTCATCAGAGAAAGGGAGTGAGAGAAACAGGAAAGCATGAGGTCAGGTTCAGGGTGATGAGGAGGATGTAATCTTAGCTGTAGATTGATTTCTGCCTGATCCCATGAGGAGAAGAGGAGCATGAATTGTATCACACAATTTTTTTCCACCTTGAGTCAAGGGGACTGCCCTTTGTCCCCCTAAATCTGTTGGTCATTGACCATAATCTCCCCATGAAGAGGCTCATATCCAGGAGAGGAAAAATTTCTAGGAAGAGTTTGGTGTGATACCCACGGCCAACACTCCCAGCAGTTAGGGATACAAATACCAGCTGGTAAACAGGACGTGGATGTGGTGTCCGTTCATGCATTAACTCTGTATTAACTCATTTAATTCTTCCTGCAACCCCTACTTTACATACAAGGAAACTGAGGGTCCACGAAGTTATGCAACTTGATTAGTGTTGCACGTTACTTTTATTTTTATTATTGTACTATCTTTTCTAGATGAAAACATTTTATCAGGAATGGGTTACTATATTTATTCTTTTAAGTGACACATATAATTGTAGCATTAAAACAATTCCAAAGATAAAAACAACATCTTCTCTGCACACCATAGCTTGTATGTCTAGACTCACACTCTCGTGCTCAGGATCACACTCTAGTCTCACATATTTTGGACCTGTCTTTTAATTTTTAGAAATTTTAAATTATCACGCACCGAGTGCTGATGACTGCACATTTGAACTCCTGCTGTGGTGGGTCAGGGAAATCACATGGTCCACTGTGCTCTTCTTGGGAGTGGAAACATCAAGGCAGAGACCACCTGTTTTGTGTAGGACCAGGGGAGACCCAGTAACTGACAACCCTGTTTTCTCCACCTGAAAGTTAAGACAAAACTATAGTCAAGTAGCCAAGATCAAAATACAACCTTTGTTTTGGATAGAACTTATTTGGAAGACATGATTTAGTGTATAACTCTCATATTCCCATTATACCCTCTACCCCTACCCTATATATACACATGGGCTTGTGAATACTAAATTCCAGAACTGGACTCACTCATCCACTGGGGGCAGCCTTGGAAAGCTGCAGTCCTATGTAACCCTGCTCCACTTTACTGGATGCGGCTCCCCATCATAGGCCTGCCTCCAAGGAGAAAGAGAGGAAACAGGGAGGTGCTGGGCTATGTTTTCCTAAAGCAACAGTCTTTTCCCAAATCAACAATGAGATTTCCATCCTACCTTTATGGGGAGTAGCAATGGTAAGAGAAAGGGACAGGGATATTTAGGGGAATTTTATTTCCTCATGAAAACCAGCCTTGCCTCACTTTAATGTTCTAGCCAAGAGCGTCATCCAGGATTTTGCATTCTGAGGGCAATGAGTTGGCCCAGTCTGTGATTCAAGGACATCCTCTGTGTCTTACGGTTGGAGCCTCTTAGCAGCATGTGAAATATGACACAGATATCTTCTATTTGTATAATGATTTATAGTTTTCAAAATGCATTTAAAATTATATTTTTGATATTCACAAAAATCCTGTGAAGCAGCCAGGGAATTTTCCCATTTTTCAGATGAAGAAATGGAGTTCAGGGGCTCAGCTGCTCACTTAAACTTTTACAGTTTGCAAATAGAGTAACTAGAACTCTCGAGGCGGGTCCTAGTCATGCCGATCTTTCCCATTCTAATGCTTTAATGAGTGACTGTGTGTAGATTTATGCATCTGACTGAAAGGAATTAAATTTTTCTTCTTTTGTGTAGGAATCCTATGCCCTGCTTAACAAGTATGGGCTTCTGATAGCAAAGGAAGAGATGGATAAAGTTGATACCCTGCGTTATGCTTGGGAGAAGCTTCTAGCACGTGCCAGTGAAGTTCAGAATGAATTAGTCTCACTGCAGCCCAGTTTCAGGAAAGAGCTTATTAGTACAGTGGAAGCCTTCCTCCAGGACTGCCACCAGTTCTATATGGACTATGATTTGGTATGACTCTAGTTTTTTCTGTGTGTATTTTTGGAGAAGAACAAATAGAGCATGCAAGTGAGTGTGTGTGTGTGTGTGTGTGTGTGTGTGTGTGTGTGAGAGACACGTGCTGTTGAGGGGCTCCCACTCCTGGTACGCAATGAATGAGTGATATCCACACTGTCCTGTTCTCACCATCCCTGCTCAGCTCCTGGTGACTCACGCCTACAGCTGCTTTTAGGTTGTCAATCCGTCTCATGTTCGGTCTTTCTCTTCTCCTGCTGCTTCCTATTTTACCTACCATTACTGTCTTTTCCAGAAAACCCTGCCTTCTCATGATGTGAGGACAGATTCATTTTTGCCCCGATGTGATATTTCAGACTTAATTTGCTCTAGGGCCCACTTGTGCATCTTTCTGGCAATATGGGGTGCCTGCAGAGCAAAAATGGTCTCATGCAACACCATTTTTCAGATGAATCAGACTTTTCCTGTCAGCCTTCTTTATGTCCCACTTTTGTGTCCACACATGGGAATTGGGAATACAAAGGTGTGGATGCAAAATGTAGCTGTTGGTTGTTTCAAATGTAATGAAATTCTCTAGGAATGGGAATTTTTTTTATAAAAGCAAAGGCATTTCCCTTTCACAATTCTTTCCTCTTACAGTCTATGAAGAATTATTTCAATAGGAAATGGGGAATTTAAAAGTGCTGTTTATATCATTGGACCGTTACTGAAGTTGTTTGGTAGCTTTTTAAATTTGTATGGACCAAAACTACGCACAGTTATAATGGTCCTCCTTCCCACAGCTTTCACTAGTTCCACAAGTACTGAAGACACCCAGCATGGGCCAGGCACTGCCCTTGGCTGAAGAGACAAAAAGTGGACAAGGCCAATGGAGTCCATACTTTATCACACATATATGAATTTTAGTGCAGAGCCTTGTGCTGGGAATATGTTGTGTGATGAGACCAATTTCTAGCTAGTTGTTATATGCTATAGAAGGGCAGTATGTAGAGCATAGGGTAAAATTTGTTCCTATGAACTAGTAGCATGCCAAAGTACAAAGTTAATAAAGTTAGGGAATTTGACCCATGCACTAGCTTCATGGGTGAAGACGCACAGTCATCCACATATTTAAGATGTTCTAATGTAGGAAAACCTGATTGGAATGTTAAGATTGTAGTTACTTTACAAATAGATACTAGAATGGTTAAATCTGTGAGTTTTTTTGGCATTAGTGCTTTAGTTAAAAACTGGGCATTAATCTTTACCTTGACACCTAGGAAATGAATAGTACATATTTTTAATTTTCAAAATTTCTTGACAGATGGAAGTTGTGGCATTAACTTGAAGTTACACTTGAAAATGTTCCCAAATGAGCAAATACTTACGTGACAGGCTCTGTGCTAAGTGCTAGGGACATGAGGATGCATCCCTGCGTTCATAGTTCATTAATTTTTAAAATAAAAAACTGGTTCTTATCATGTATATGACATGTATGAACACTGACTTTGATGTTCAAATACTTTGAGCTCATGAAACTAGTATGCAGACACATTATTCTATTTTATATTTATTTTAACTCCTTGTTTCAGAATGGCCCAATGGTCAGTGGCTTGAAACCCCAGGAAGCCAGTGACAGGCTTATCATGTTTCAGGTAACATTTTAGTTTTTATGACCTTCTAAACAACGGAAATCTGAATGTGTTTTAAACACATATTTTCCCCCCATTAACAATAAAGGCTTATTGTAGAATATAGTATGTGCTTATATTTAAAAAATATGATTTTTTTTGGTTATAATTAGAGTTGGTTTCTATGCAGTTATCTCATTTAGTAGTTATCTCTTTTTAAAAATATTTTTATTGTATTTTTTCCATTACCATTTAGTCCCCTTATACCCTCCCCCCCGACAATCACCACACTGTTGTCCATATATGTGCTCAGAGTTCATACATTGCTGATTTGCTGATTTGTCAGTATTTTTTTCCTTTGTATATTTGTTCATGTGTAAATCATTTTGATAAATTTTCACTTGTGTTTTTATTAGAATCAATTTGATAATATCTATCGGAAATACATCACCTATACTGGGGGAGAGGAGCTTTTTGGTCTGCCAGTTACCCAGTATCCTCAGCTTCTCGAAATAAAGAAACAATTAAATTTTCTCCAGAAAATATACACCCTCTACAACAGTGTTATAGAAACTGTAAATAGCTATCACGATATCCTGTGGTCAGAAGTGAATATTGAAAAAATCAACAATGAACTTTTAGAGTTTCAGAACAGGTGAGAAGTTAAATGTTTAACACTCTCAGAGCGATTAAACCACAAATGCTTTCTTATTTGATTGGCCATCAAGTTCTCTTTTCACCCAGATGTTTTGTAAGCACATTATGCTGCATTGCAGTTATCTGTTTGACATCACCCTTGTCAAATGCTATTTATTAATCACCCTATGTGTGTACACAGGGAGACAGGCACGTTCTTTAAACCTGGATGAATCTTGTCTGGGGCTTTTCTGCAGCTTGGTGGAGCCGATATCTATTTATATTATACTTATCAAACACTCAGAGTTTATGTTAAATGATTTCCTGGAATAAAAGCAAGAGCCCAATCATTTTTCTACGTCCTGTTTTTGTATTGAACCCAAAGATAATGGAGGGTCATTTGTTGTATTTTTTTTTCTGGTCGACAGCCAGATACTTTCTCTGCTGTTCTTTGTACCCAGTGGAAGGTCTCAAGACATGTTTGTAGAATTGAATTGAATCAAGAGGCACCTCTATCCTTTAAAATAATGCCCTTTTATTTAGTTGGTTGGTTGGGAGGAGTAATTTTTATAATATAAAAATGTACTAACATATCATCTGACTCTTAAGATTTAAAAATGTGATAGGTATTCGAAGTGACTATTTTTGATAGAAATGCTAGCAGGCAATCTTGGACTGGAGACTTCTGCACTCAGGTTGGAATGAACTTTCCTGTTGCCTTGCCTTCGCAGGTGCCGGAAGCTGCCCCGGGCCTCAAAGGACTGGCAGGCCTTTTTGGATCTGAAGAAGACCATTGATGATTTCAGCGAGTGCTGCCCGCTGCTGGAGCACATGGCCAACAAGGCCATGATGGAGAGGCACTGGGAAAGGATTGCTGCTCTCACTGGGCACAGCCTGGATGTGGGGAATGAAGCTTTTAAGTTAAGAAACATCATGGAGGCACCACTTCTGAAATACAAAGAGGAAATAGAGGTACAGCTGATAGACAGTGCGCTGTGTTGGGAGGCTGGGAGGACTTGTGGAATTTATTTGATTGTATTCTTACCTTGTGGAATGTTGTATCAGTACACCATGCCAGGACAACTAAAACTATTTTTTTTCTTGGCATCCAGCTATTAATTCCATCAGCAAATACTTATGTGACAGGTTCTGTGCTAAGTGCCAGGGACACGAGGATGCATCCCTGCATTCATAGTTCATTAATTAATGAGTTTAATAAATATTTATACAAATAAGGATAGAGTTAAAAGCTGTGGCAAATACCATTGAAGGAAAAGTATGGTAGTCTATGGAGTCCCTACAATAAATGGGCTTGGCCTGTCTGGGAGGTGGGACTAGGTGACAAAGACAGAATAGGGGAGCGCACATGCCCAGGACTGGCTGGGTAAGGAGAACGTGCTTGTGTGGTGGCGATGAGGGGCTTGGAAAGTGCAAAGGGGATGGGGAAGTACAAGAAAGGGACAATGTCAGGCAGAGACAGCAGCATGCGTGGAGGGTCTGAGGTGTTTGTGGGGGACCATAAGAAGGCCAGAGTGGCTGGGGTCTGGGGTGGAGGAGAGAGGAGCAAGCTGAGACAGGGGCGATGCGGTGGGGCTAGAATGCATTATTGATTTCAGGCTTTGGAAGAATGAGGAGTCATCTGGAATGTGTATTTTGAGCAGGAGATACCATGGTTAGATTTTCATTTTATGAAGTTCACTCTGGGAGCTGTGTGGAGAGAGGACTGGAGGAGAGCAAGGGAGATGTTGGAAAACCAGTTGGGAAGTTTTAAGAATATCCGAGGCAGGAGGTGATGGTGTGTTGGACGAGTAGGCAGTTAGAGAAACCGGAGAGGGGAGGAAGGATTGAAGAAATCTTTATGTTGTAAAACTGGAACAGAATTTGGTGCTGGAGGGAACATGGTAGGAGAAACAAGGGGGAGGGGCTTAGGATGAACCCTAGATTTGCTGAGAGATCTAGATGGATGATGGGGCTTATCACTGAGACTGGGGCTGTTAGAAGGGAATCAGGTTGAGTGACAAGGTACAGAGACTGTGAACTTGATTTTGGGCATGTTTGATACCACACAAATTGTATTTGGAATTCCTTCATATGTTTAGGTAAAGAAATCCAGTAGGCAAACTGGATGTGGGTCTTGCCTGGAGATATAAAAGGGGCATAGTTGAGCTCAGCTAGAGGGAGTAGAGCATGAGATGAGAAGAGAACAAGAGCAGGGCTTGACTAATGGTCCAGGAGAAGATAAGGCTGCAGAAGAGACTAGGAAAGTGATCAGGGCTGGGAAGAAATCAGGTTTTTGCTGATGCCTTCATCTCATACTGCACTGATTTGAGTTAAGTCAGAGACATGTTAAATTTTGAATCTGATTAAAGTTTCAAAACTTAAAAGGTTACTGCTTATTTTTGTATCCCCATTTAAAATTGTTGATATAATTGACATACAACTTTGTGTAAGTTTAAGGTGCACAATATATTGATTTGATACATTTATATTGCAGTTATGTTACAGCATCGGAACGCCTCTTTCATCACATAATTATCATTTCTTCTAGTGGTGAGGACAGTTTGGATCTATTCTGTTTGCAAGTTTAATGTTTAACACAGTTTCCTTGTCTATAATCATTATGCTGTACATTATACCTCCAGAACTTATTCACTTACTAGTTGCAAGTCTGTACCCTTAAATATCTCCCATTCCCCCACCTCCGAGTTCCTGGTAACTACCAATTCACCATTTTTTTAAACTCAGTTTTTTAAATTCCACATGTAAAGGGTATGGTATTGTATTTGTCTTTCTCTGTGTCTTATCTTACTTAATCTAATGTCCTCAAGGCCCATCCTCGTTGTTGCAAATGGCAGGATTTCCTTTTTTTCTCATAGTTAACTAATATGACATTGTTGCATCTTTTTTGTTAACTTTCTTTTCTGAATAATTTGTTGGGCAATTTTTAAAAATTATGGCTCTGTTATTTAGTATTATCTCTATCTCCATCTCTATTCCTAAATCTATAAGTACATACACAAATACCATGTATTATATTACAGTTTAATTCTGGGAATATGAGTATTTATAGATACATACGAAGCAGAGTGAAGATAGAACCTCGGTTGAACTTAGACTATCGGAGAAGGATGTGTGACTTTCATGTGATAAAATGAGAGCTTGCCATTTTAATAGGACATCTGTATTGGTGCTGTGAAAGAGAGAGACATCGAGCAAAAGCTGAAACAAGTGATTAATGAGTGGAACAACAAAACATTCACATTTGGCAGCTTTAAAGCCCGCGGAGAACTCCTCCTGCGTGGAGACAGCACCTCGGAAATCATCGCCAACATGGAGGACAGCTTGATGCTCCTGGGCTCCCTGCTGAGCAGCAGGTAGGAAAAGCTCCACCTTTATTCTGAGATTTGAGAACCATGAGACCAAACATTTCAAGGGAAATTTATGTTTAAAAAATGTAACAGTACCCCTCAGACAATGCAATCAATATTAACAATACTAATTTTTATTTTAGTCTTTGGCACAGCATGTGTAATGCTGGTTTTGTTTTTTTCATTATTTTCTATTTTTGGAATGTGTCTGAAACTGTCCAATGGACAAAATAATGCAACCATGCAATTAGCTGATTGGATCTTGTGGAACATTTCAACTTTGCTTCTGACAAGCTCACAACACCTCAGCAGGCTTTAGCGTCCAGAGAGAACATCGTACTGAATTTCAAAATAATCGTTCTACCTGGGAAGGCTTTTTGCCAATAAGTTTGTGGACCAGAAGTGTACATACTTTAATAATCAGGTAGAAAGTGAATTTAGTTCATAAAGAAAAGTAGAACAGTACAGCCTGATACCAGCCTGGCACTCTGACAGTAGCAGCAAAGCTTTGGCCATAGACTCATGGGCTTGCGTTTCCTTGGTTTGTTGCTTCCCTTTGCCTTCTCTGAAGTAATTTTGTTCACTTGGATCTTCAATATACGGTAATCATATAGACTGTGGATATCAATGAGATACAAATTTATTATTATTCTATCTTTAAAATTTCACTCTTTTCTCAGTGTACATGTCTATCAATAATGTTAATGTAGGAAGTAATAACTACTTAAAAATTCTTATTTTTTCCATTTACTGGGTACATCTAAGTGTTTGAAATGAATATTCTAGAATATAAAATTAGGTTTTAGAGATTTTGACCATTGGTAACATTGAGTCTGAACTACTTAGGATTTGGTGAGATTTAACAAATTTGGTTATTATTCATACCCAATAGAATGAGGGACAGATGGAAGCTGACACCCCCTAAGGATGTGGAAAAGGCACATGCATAAATTAAGTGAAAATTATTTGTGTTAGGGGTGGGGAAACTTTGTTTACTGATGGCATCGAATCCATAGAGTTGTGTGAGGAATATGTATTCAACATAAATTGATTGAACAACTACTATGTGCCAAGTTCTCTTCATGGCTCTATGAAGAAGAATTAATGAAACAAAGATCTCTGTTGCCACAGAACTACACAGAAGCTTAGTAGCCAGAAAATTACTCTGTTGGCTGTAGCAACAGTGGCCAGAATTAGACTAGTGTGGCAGCTGGGTGGAGTAAAATCTCATGCCTGCTGTGCGCCTTAGGGAACATGTCATCCACCTCTCTGTGCTGTGGATCAAAAGGGAAAAAGTCTGACAATGTCCAATAAATTGTGGTGATGTAATCACCTCGTAGCATCATTTTACAAGCCAGTGATATAATTAAAATTGTACAGAAGTAGGTAAAAATTAGGATATTTACAAGCCATTTTAACTTGGAAAAAACTAACAATAAAATTAAAGCATCAAAAAACCCTAAATGCTGAACATATTTCCTATTTTAGGTACAATATGCCATTCAAAGCCCAGATTCAGAAATGGGTGCAGTTACTTTCCAACTCAACGGACATCATTGAAAACTGGATGATGGTGCAAAACTTGTGGATTTACTTAGAAGCTGTCTTTGTGGGAGGAGATATTGCCAAGCAGCTTCCTAAGGTTTTAGTATTTTTTAAATGATTTCATTTTGTGTTTAACTTAGAGAACTAATAACTAATAATTCTTTTAAAAATGTAATTCAATTTCTGTTGAGCCACTCCCTCCCCAGTTTTTTTGTAGTTGCTGTTGAACTATTTTTCAAAGAAAGAGTAATTATAGAAAAGAAAGGGCGTGAAAATCAAAGTAAGAATGCTACGAAGCTGTGAGGTTTTATAGGAAATAGAGGGTTAAGAAACAAAGAATGAATTCCTGCATAATTGATACACTTCTTCAGATAATTCAAAGGTAGAGTTTGGAACAGTGTAGAATTATGGAGTAGTTATCTTAACAATGGTAGGATAATTTGTTCTTCTACTACTGACAGTTTAAAATAACTCACACTATACAATATACCCAATTATATCTGAACTGCAAAATTGAGGGGTGAAAATCTGCAGGAAGAAAGCTCCCAAACAAAAAGGCCCTCTTCTCAAGTGTTGAGTATGTTTTTCTCATCAAATTATAATAATCTCACTAGGAAGAGATAGAATGTATTTTGAGATATCAAAAAAATTTTTAAATCTAATCTCAAAGATTCTTATTCAATTACCTTAAGTCGTTTCAAAATTATAACATTTTAACAATGCATTTGAGTTTAGAGGCATGATTATGTTGAGTGTTCTCTTAGGTGTCTAGCTTTCTCTTTGGTTCCTTTTCAGTTTAATTATAGAGGACAGATCTGATAGCTGATTTATTTTTTGGCTGTCAGTGAATGTATCCACACATGAAAACTTTAAGTATTTATTTGTTTACTTTTGCATTCATATTTGGCTGTATTTTCTCCTGATGGGTAAAGAAGGATCTTAAAGTGGACTTAATAAGGGGAACACACACATACAATATTGAAAGAGGGAGGTGGGGTTTCTTGTTCTCACGTTGGGTAGCACATGCTCATTGAAAAAATAAAGTTTTTTTAATGATGAAAATGAATTATTCCTACTCTCTAAAAATAATCTGTACATTTTGAATTTTTCCTGAAAATTATTAAAAATTTTTTGCAATATTAGCATTATACTAAAATTAATTTTGCATCTTAGTTTTAAATGATTATTTTATTTTCTAAGTACACAAGCAATTCAATGCAGGAAATTTGAAAAATGTAACATTACTTCATTTAGAGATAACTGGCGAAGATAGCTTGGGAGTGTCCTTTCCTTCCGAATCATCTTGTGTTGTGTTATTGCTTTTGTATCTGTTTCCTGTTTTTAGTTAACATAATTGGGTATGAGGGGTGAGTTAAAAACTCTTATTTAAGAAAGGGGGCAGCAGGTGCAACAGGCCCGAGGGGAATTGAACGGGAACCTGTGTGACATTTCAGGCATGTGAAGCAGAGGTATCAAGACTGGCAGAAATCTGGCCTTAGCGGGAGGTATGTGAGATGCTCTGACCTTGAGATCACAGATGTGTCCAAGTGTCCTTTGTCACCTTGTTCTCATAGGAAGCCAAGCGCTTTTCCAATATTGATAAGTCTTGGGTGAAGATCATGAATCGGGCTCATGAAATGCCAAATGTGGTCCAGTGCTGTGTTGGAGATGAAACCATGGGGCAGCTATTACCACACTTGCTGGACCAGTTGGAAATATGCCAGAAATCCCTCACTGGGTGAGTTCATTGCTCTAGGAAGGCTCTCTTAGCATCCTAGAGATGGAAGGGACCAGAGCGATTAGACAGAATTAGCCAAGTCTGTTTTCTTTTGCTGAGAACGAATCCCTGTCTAATGTTGATAGTTTGGAGCCTTATAGCCTCTCCAAGCCTTCACTAAATTTGTCCTGATGTTGGAATTATAGGATTTAAGACATCTTTCATTACTGGGAACAGATCTTGCAAACATTCTTATACTGTCCTTGTTTTTTAAAAATAATGCACCTATTTTTCTGACACCCTTCTGGTATAAATATCTGAAGAACCAACATATTTCATTACACTGAACCAAGGACATTTTGAACAGTTTGTAGTGTATGCAAATAGTCAAGATTACACCGAAACAAGATCAGTACGCACAACACTCATATATATGGAGGCTGAGTGAATTCCAACAGTAATAAATAGTTTTCTCTCTTCCTTTGGTGAGTCAAGATAAAATTATGGAAATATAAATACATTAAATAATATCATTGTGAAAACATTTATTTACACACGCTTTTATTTATTTTTTTTACTTTTTATTGAGTTATAATTGGTGTATAACATTATATTAATTTCAGGTATACAACCTAATGACTAGATATCTTTATATATTGCAAAATGATCACCACAATAGGTCTAGTTAACATCCATCACCATCCATAATTACAGTTTTTTTCTTGTGATGAGAACTTTTAAAATCTACTTTTAGCAGCTTTCAAATATGTAATACATACCATTACGTATAGTGACCGTGCTGTACATTTCATTTTCAGGACTTCTTTTATAACTGAAATACACATGCTTTTAAACATCACCTCTTCTAAACTGTTAATCTCCCCAGAATAGTCAGTGTATATGGAGAAACTTTGGGTGAAGTATTGATTACTCTATTGGTCAGGGTTCTCTAGAGAACAGAACCAAGAAGATATACACACACTCCCTCACATTTTCTTTTTTCTATTTCTTTCTTTTTATTATGGGCATATTCTACTGTGTCACTTGATAATATACTATTATTTCATAACTCTTCAGAGAAAAAGTCTCCTCTAAAATTACTCACAGTTTTTATGGAGCTCCCCTTGGCCTTTGCATCTGTTACCAAGAAGAGGTTATGAGCCAAAGTATGTAAGCCCGGTATAATCACCTGAGTCCTAATGTTTACACAAAAGCGAGACCCTCCCACCGATGCTGATGAGGGTCTGTGCAGATGGAAGGGTTTTCACAGATCAGGAATAAGTTGTCTCCTCTTCTTCAATACAACACAGAGGTCTCGTTGTCACATTCCACGTGCCTCCTTCCATCTTGGTCTGAACGGATAGAAAACATGACCTGGTTCCTGAGCAGAATCAGACTAGGAAAGTAACAGCAATTGACAAGGAAGTTATTAATGATAAAAGTTATATAAATAAAAGGGTTAGGGCATTAAAAATGACAAAATGAGCATATTTAAAGTAAGGAATATGAAAAGCTAGTGCAAACAGTAAAACACTGAGAGCATTAGAGTAAGACTTTAAGAAAATGAGGGGATATACAAGAAGAGACTCATTGGACAGCCTCTACTTTTATCTTTCCCCCTCTTTGAGGCCAGATTTTGTGCTTTTTCACGTGCTCACAGTGAATAAATCCAAATTGCCCAGAGAGTACTAGCTTGTAATGTATATTTTTCTAAATATTCTGTTGAGAGTTAAAGAGGAAGATTGCAACACACACAGCAAGGCTCACCCACTGTCGTCACTGGAGACCTGCCCGTTTCCTTCTCAAGCTCCTCACTAACACCAGCCTCTCCTTATATTTCCTTCCCTTCCTTGCCTCTTTCAGAGTCTGAAAAAAATCCCTCTCTTTTGTGTTGAGGAATTTAGCTCTGGTCCTCACCCTGACACCCTACTGGACAGAAGTCCAACAGTTAATTGAATATGGACTATTGAGAGTTCCTGATTTATGCCCCCTGAGGTTGCCACCTGGCTCCCACTTCTGACCCAAGTAACCTTTTAGTAAAAATGCTAAGAAGAGAATCCTGCTTCTATGAAAAAAAAATAATAATTTCTTCACAATTTTATGCAGGAAACAAATAATACAAATAAAAAATAAGACAAATATATTGAATTCAAGGGAAAGACTAGAAATTAAAAAAAAACAGTTTAAAAAATATGGTAGGATTTCAAAAAGAAACTGCAATGAAAACTTATTAATTATATTAAAATGTGCTAAAAAATGAAGATACAGAAGTATAGGTATGAGAATAACAGAAAGATATCCATAACATAAGGAATCACCATAAAATAAAGCCAATATAGAAACGGAAGTGCAGCTGAAAGCAGGGCAATGACAGAAACATTGACTGGGTGTCAGGAACTCCTGGCAACAGAGGGCAGAGCCAAGGCCTTTTGCTGAGCTCATTTGTAGCTGGATTTTGCTTCTGCTTCAGTGATGGATTCACTGGATTTTTAAAGATGCAGTTCCATGAATGAGATGTACCTTTTGTCTGACAGCACTGTGATTCCAAATAAAATAAAACACATCCTGTGTGCATTTTTCCTGTTTTCTACAGAAAAGCACAGGACTTTTTAAGATTAAGTCAAATGCATACATTACACTTGTGAAAAATGAAGACATTCTTCCAGCAATCCTGGCAAAATAAATTGTTTCCGTATCAGAATATGGAATACTGCTTGGCAAAATCAGTAACAAAGCAAAACAAAAACATTGAACAGTATCTGAGAAAGTCAGATTGTCTCAAAATTTTCCCCTCTTTGCCCATTCAGCTTAACTTACCTTTAGAGTCCTACGTTATGTGTTTACAACATTTATCTTTTCCCTTCCCATGTAGATACTTGGAGAAAAAACGCCTTTGCTTTCCTCGGTTCTTCTTTGTCTCGGATCCGGCCCTTCTGGAGATTCTGGGGCAGGCCTCGGACCCGCACACAATACAAGCGCATTTGCTGAGTGTGTTTGACAATATTAAAACTGTCAAGTTCCACGAAAAGGTTCGCCTACTTCTAATTACTGGCCAGCAGTGACTGTAGGATCTCTGCTGTCTTTATTAAATAGTTCTACAATATTGTATTTACAAAGCATTACTTCCCTGGCCATTAAGTCTCAGCCAGTGACTAAAAACAAACTATTGGGCCCAATTTGCCTTCAGAACTATGTGATTTAAAAAAAAAAAAAATCCAGAGTGTACATTTGAATAACAGATACTTTTAACCATGATGAAGAATGCAGTGTATGTAGCTTTCATGATTTTATATGCCAAGTTAGCTGTTTAGAAATGCAATAAAACAAAGAAATCAAATTACTCATAAAATAGTGTCTTGACTAAACAGAATTGCCACTGTGAGTTGACTGTTTTAATCAGGCTTTTGAAGTTTTTGGCATGATGGTCTTCCCTGTATTTCATCATGCTTGATTTAAACCTTTTTTTTTTCCCCAACAAGTTTCTAGAATCATGGAGTTATATGGGCCCCAAGAGAGATCATTCAGTGTGAGAGGGACCGCATTTGTACAGGTGCTGGGGACATTGTCTAATCCAGGGTTGTCCAACCTTTTAGCATCTCTGGGCCACACTGGAAGAAGAAGAGTTGTCTTGGGCTAGACATTAAATGCACGAACCCTAATGAAAACAAAACAATCTCATAACGTTTTAAGTATATTTACAATTTTGTGTTGGGCTGCATACATAGCCATCCTGGGCTGCATGTGGCCCACAGGCTGTGGGTTGGACACTGTTGGACTCTAATCCATCCTTTTACCCCAAATTTCCCAGGGAAGTGACACTACCAGTTAGATAATGTGTTGAGTTCCCCTCTAATGCTTCACACAAACCTTTAGTACCATTCATTTATCATCCTAGCATGAGGTCTGCACTTGCTGAGCTACTACCATGTGCCAGATGTCATGGCTGATGATAGGGGTTTACAAACCTCTGGGAATTCATGATCTGGTGGAGACTATAGTGTACAATTAGTGCAGTGGGAGAGAAGCCATTGTAAGCAGTTAAAAGCCAGTCCTTTAAATTCAAAACCCTTGCTATATGCCAGGCATGATGCTAAACATGGAGTCCCAAGGGAAAATATATCGTAAATGGTACTGAAGTCATTTTATGCAGTTCAACATTCAAGAGAAATTTGATAAACTGTTGGTAATTTTTGATTTGCTGTGCTAGTATTATGTACAAAGATCATGGAAATGCTTGGTAGGGAGCCCTAACATGGGTGTAAGGGGTGTTAAGAGAAGGCTTCCTGCAGGAGAATGTGGTGTTTGAACTGATTTTTTGAAACATAACCAGGGAAGTGGAGAAGGGATGCATGGCCTGGTCATAGGAATGGCAAGTGGAGGTGTGGGCAGGAGTGTGTGTATTTGAGGGAGCGTATCAGTTTCCCAAGGTTTTCCTTGATTGAAACAACAGTAGTTTATTCTCTCACAGTACTGGAGGCTAGAATTCCAAACTAAGGTGTTGGCAGGGTTGGTTCCTACTGCAGGCTCTGAGGGAGAACCTGCTTCAGACCGCTCTCCTAGTTTATGGTGGTTGCCAGAGACTCTTGGTGTCCCTTGGCTTGTAGTCACATCACTTCAATCTCTGCCTTTGGCCTCACATGATGTTCTCCCTTTGCATCTGTGTTTCTAAGGACACCATTTGTTGTATTAGGTAGGGTCCATCATTATCCAGGAACTCATCTTAACTTGATTATATCTGCAAAGGCTCTATTTCCAAATAAAGTCCCAGTCACAGGTCCTTGGGCTTAGGACTTCAACATACAGTTTTTTTGGGGTGGGGGTGGGGAGCACATTTAACACACAACAGGAAATGATGAGCAAAGGGAGAAGGAAGCATGGACCAGATTCCCAAAAGCCAAGTGCATCACACTACGGAATTCTACTTCATCATGTGACAGAAGGCATGGGAGGTTTTTATGCAAGGCAGTGACCTGATTTGTGTTTCAGAAAGATTCTCTGGCTCAGTGTAGGTGGTAGAATAGAAAGGAGCACGGAGACCAGTGTTGGAAGTGACTGCAAAGTCAGGATGGAAAAAGCTGAGCTGTTACAACAAAGCCTTGACTAAGGGGATGGGTGGAGAAGAAAGGAAGACATGGAAATGGTTTAAAAATCAACGTTTGTGTAGGCCTACAGGATGTATAGGTTGAAAGAGGGGATTGAATTATCCAGGAAGTGCTTTTTGATGTTCATATCCTTTTGTTATAGCACTAGAACTTCATGGTGCTTGATGAATCTTCTCACTCTCTGTTGTACATTGAAGATAAATTTCCTCATTTTTAGCCTCTGTTCATAGCAATTACTTCTTAAAGAACCATTGATTTTTTTTTTGTTTGTTTCTGCCATAATGTATCTACAACCAGTGACAGGTCCTGGGTCTGTGGGTCCTAAATCTTATAAAATTATAAATACCAATTTATATTCAGAACCTTGGAATGGGTCCATGTAAGTGAGAGACCCTGAAATTTAAGACCCATTGACTTCATTAATACGGTTCTAAATCTGAGATTGAGGGAACAATATTCCACTTAGAAAAGAATAAAAACAATACACATTCACAATTACTTTATAGCTTGTGTTATTTTTTAAATTGGCACAGACAAGCAGGGAAGCGGGTAGGGAAGCAGGAAAGGCATGCTTTTTAATGAGTAATTTTAAGCAAGATACATATAGTCTCAAAGACATGTCCTCCAAGATTGCATGACCTGTGAATGGAAGAGCACCATTTGAACCTGCATTTTAGAACCCCAAATACCATGCTGTACTCATTATACCATACTACATGGAAACTGAAGTGAAATAACCAGAATAGGAGATGGGTTTGAATTAGGAAACATTGTGAACAGTCGAGCTCCTGTAAGGAACACACTGTTTAGTGCAGAATTGGAGTTACCATGAAAGGTGTTTGCATTGATTGTATTGGCCAGGCCATTGCTAATGTCAACTTGATGAGCTTGTGTGGATGACAGGCTCTTAGAGAGTTTCATTTCGTTTGGGGCAGCTAGAGATTTTGGATCATCCCATTTGTGTTGAATATTTCTTTTAGAAAATATGTTTTTCCCTCTGAAGTATAGACTACTTAGAATTGATTTAGTATTCCCTTTTAGCTTTCATGGATAACTTCTTTTTTACTGTTTTGAAATTGATTTTATATCATATTTTGACTTTTATGTTATAATGTGTGGCTTAGCTTCTGTCGGAAGGATAACATTGACATGAGGGCAATGGAGGAATTTATTCTTTATATGAATATAGCTATTTTTTGGTCTTCTAACATAGGTCTATGATCGCATTCTGTCAGTTTCTTCTCGAGAGGGTGAGACGATTGAATTGGACAAACCTGTGATGGCAGAGGGCAATGTGGAAGTTTGGCTTAATTCTCTCTTGGCGGAATCTCAGTCCTCATTACATCATGTGATTCGCCAGGCAGCGGAAAATATTCAAGAAACAGGTTTCCAACTGATTGAATTTTTTTCTTCCTTCCCTGCTCAGGTCAGTGTATTGAAATTGCAAAGTATTTTTTACAGAATAGTCATTTTAGAGCTCATACGTTTTCTGTTGTAAACTATACAACTGGCTTCTATTTAACTCTGGACCAATATTAAGATTTGTATAAGGATTTTCTAAATATAAATAAGCTTAAAGATTTCAACTCCAGATTATTTGGTTATATATACACAAATATACATACATACATAAATATGTTGTAGAGATATCTGATATAGTTTGTTTAATTTCAAAGTTTTTTTCTTACTGAATCTCTCTAGGACAAGTCATAAAAATGTATTGAGTGTATGCTTTGCCAGAAAAATGAGAACTATGTTTCAGCATTAAACTGCAGAAAACAGTATTTTCTTAGTCATTGTGATCGATGAAGATTTTGCAAGGATCTACTGCATGTAAACCCTGTGTTAGTTTGGGAAAAGCAGGTTTAAGACATATGCTTTCCCTGTCAGCAGCTTAAAATCTAGCTAGGGAGAAATATGACTTAAATAGTAAATGACTTAAAACTGTAAGAAAAAAATTGTAGATACATCATGAGGCCATAAATATTTAATTGTTAGGTAAACAATATGAATAATGTTTTCCTAAGTTCTGATACAACATATCAAGTTGATGTAATCGAGGATGACCTATTTGCATAATAACCGCAGACATTCACTACATTATAATTTCTATTTAAATACATTCATATTCCATGTACACTCATGAAGCCTTTTTATTTACCTAAGGTTGGATTATTAGGAATTCAAATGATATGGACACGGGATTCAGAAGAAGCCCTTAGAAATGTCAAGTTCGATAAAAAAATCATGCAGAAAACCAATCAGTCCTTCTTGGAGCTGCTGAATACATTGATTGACATTACAACCAAAGATCTGAGTTCCGTGGAACGAGTTAAATATGAGACTTTGATCACTATTCACGTGCACCAAAGGGATATCTTTGATGACCTGGTAAATGCTTTATAAGTGCTGTGGCATATACCAAAAAGCACATACTAGTTCCTGCCTGTGATTATCCACTGGAAATAGTTTGAATGAATTCAATGAAAAGGTTAAATTCAGGCAAAGAATCATTTTTATGATGAGAGCTTGTTTTTCAGGTTTTCTTTTGTCTTTCAATGAAATTCCAGTCATATTCCAATAATCCCTGCTAAGATGTTATTGAAGCCATTAAGCTTTATTTTAAAATTCATTATGTGATTATTTTAAATACCAAAATGTAATGTAGCATCCTGAAAAGCATTCATTTGTCTGTGCACCTTTCAGATATTAGTTGAAGATTACCAGTTTCTTGCTACAGAATTAATAAGCAATATTGCTGGTAGAGTCACTTAATTCTTCCTTTAAGGCTTTCGATAAATCACATCTTCAACAAGTTTTGCTACATTTTATGTCATTGACCACAAATAGTCTTTTGTAATATATTTTGTGACATTCAGGTTGTCATGCAGATTTTTGCCTTTAAAAGAGAATAGGGAGAAAAAGAGTTTAGTAGCTGTAGAAAATAGGAAATGTGAAAAGAAAAGAAATTTGTCCTCTAATATAAAATAGGACATTAGATGAGAGGCAAGAAGCTCTTACTTTCGTAATAATTTTCTGGATCGTGTCTCAGCCCATTATGTAAAGAAGATTATGAAAGATTGGTACTGATATAATGGAAATAAAGGCAGCACATTCAAGCTCTTGTGTGCTAATCTTCTCTCTTAATATTTAAGCACCCTTTTTGCCTCTCTGAGAAATAAAAGGCTCAGGGTAATTTTAATTTTTATTTATCCTCACCTGAGGACATTTTTCCTTCTTAGAGACAGAGGAAGGGAAAGAGGAAGGAAGAGAGAGAAACATTGATGTGAGAGAGAAACATTGATTAGTTGCCTCCCATATGCACCTGGACTGGGGATTGCATGCATCCAGACTGAGGATTGAACCTGCAACCTAGATATGTGCCCCAACCAGTATTGAACCCACAACCTTTTGGCCAGGGGAAGATGCTCTAACCAACTGAGCCACACTGGCCAGGGCCATGGTGATTTCAGATTTCTTATTTGTCAAAGAAAAAGATTAAAGTGGCTTAAAATTTTGGTTAAAAAATTCAGACAAAAGTATTGCTGAGCAATAACCTGCCATTAGGTTTAGAAGTTTTGGACTTCTCAAATCCCAGGAAAAAGAATTAGTGGATTTAGATAAAACCAAGAATGGACTTTGTCATAATCACCAGAGATGCCCTTTTTCTCATGAGATTATTTAATTCTGTCTTTGAATGTCAAAAGGTGTTTTTCATACTCATTTCATGGCTAGAACTGTGGTAAGGGTGAAATATAAGAAATTAATATCTTATGAAAATATTCCATGCTGTTTAAATTGGGGAGCTTAATGAGAGGTTTCTCTTGAATTTTCCCATTCCCATGACTTCTAAAGTATCTTTTTTTCTTGATCAATAGAGGAATAGGTTGGACCACGATGTAGTTGACATCTCTGAACTTGTTGGGTAGTCTTTGAGTCCTGTTTACTTCACATTATGATATACATGAATGCTAATGTGCAAATTTAATAAATAGTCCTCATTCCAGTTTTGACCTATACGTCTTGCATTTCAGTGTCACATGCATATCAAGAGCCCTACAGACTTTGAATGGTTGAAACAGTGCAGGTTTTATTTTAATGAAGATGCTGACAAGATGATGATCCACATCACAGACGTGGCTTTCATATACCAGAACGAGTTTTTAGGCTGCACGGACAGGCTTGTCATAACTCCACTCACAGACAGGTAAGGGAAGGGTTCTGTGATTCCACACCCTCTTTCCCCCGCACCCCAACATCTTTGTTCTCAGGAGTGAGTTAGGGGATTTCTGCCTAATGTTTCTTTAGGGGTATAAGCTCTTTTATTCCAAAGTCTTTGAAATTCAATATTCTTAACTTTACATCTGTATGTGTGTCTTCACTTAGGGTTTAGGTGTGTGTTTGAAACAGGCTTTACTTCCTTTGCCTTCAGTCTTTTAGAGGCAAAGTTTAAATGACCACTGTGGACATCAAAATGGGCAAGAAAGGGAATTAAGTGCCATGTGTCAATAGGTGCAGATCACATGGGTCTTGAGGGCTGCTTTGGGCACTGTGAAACCTGTTGCTGTACCATGGCAATTAAGATGGTTTTTTAGCACGATAAGAATTGAATGCCAGTGTAGGTGCAAGGAGATGGGGGAGACATTGGCCTGCACACCTGGAGTTCTTAGTTCTGCCTCTGCCTGATATTTGCCAGCTGTGTTAGTCAGAGCTGCCATGGAGGTTCCCTGGTCTTAGTTTCCTCACCTATAAGATGAACTAAGCTATCTCCAAGGGTCCTTCCATGGCTAACACTCTGTAATTCACTTAGTCTAATTTGAACGTGGTGGCATGAGCCACTTGCATATCCTCTGTCCAGGGATGCGCTGAATACTTATTTTGGACACAATGGCTGTGCCCAATTAAATAAGTATTTGGCCTAAGTAGAAGCTGAAGCAGAATATCAGCCATTTCACAGAATGAACCTCTCGGCTATTATATTGCAAATATTATCAGAAAAAATGTAAAAGTTTGACATAGTCGCACTGTCATCTGCTAGATTCCTTTTTCTGTTTGTTCATGATAGTAAATGAAATGCTCACTTTCAACTGAGACTGGAAGATTAGCAAGAGATTTTATTGTGCATCATTTTCCTTTAGAATTTTCTCATATTCATAGCTCTTTATATTCCCTCTTATGCCTGGATTGAAGATCATTTATGCTGGATGCTGTTGGACATCTTTTTGGAGTTTGTTCTCTTCGTTTTGAAGTGGAGAGGCAGATGATCCCAAAATATTAAGAATTCCTCAGGACACCTGAGACTTATGTACTTATTTCACATTTCTTCCCTCTTCAAACCTCTAGCACTTGCCTCCCTTTCTCCTTCTCTGCTGAAGGCCTCAGTTCCTATTTTATCTGAGAAGACAGATGCTGTTGCAGGAGAGAACATGCCCTTGTTTCCCCCATTACCTCTGCCGACCAAGGCACCTGTCTTTATGCCATTGGCTTTCTCTCCTGGTTCCTGGATACAGTTTGTGCTGCCACCCAAAGCCAACACTTCAAACTGGGAGCACCCAAAGCCAATATTTCCTCTCTGGGAGCATCACCCCAGTGTTCACTTCCCCCTTGACCATTTTTTTCAACCTATCGACGCGCTGTCTTTGCTTCCAGAGAGAAAATTCTACTTTGAACCCTCCAGTTTCCTTGGGTTTTCTGTGCTCCCATCAAACTCCTGATGCATGTGCCATCGTTGCCTTAGGAAGAGCACCAACATTTTAGAATCAATTCAGATTAAGAATAGGAAGCAAAAGCGCTTCTATTTATGTGATGAAATGCATCTAGAGTGAAATGAATACTTAATCCTAATGTTGCTGATGGATTTGGCTAAATTCTGTGCTACTGAGCTCTGGGTCATGGGGTGGGTTATTGTTCATTTGGTACCAAGGTCACTTCATCTCTAATTCCAGTAGCTGTTGGGATGGGAGGAACCAGATATGGGTGCCTAACTGGTTAGATTGGCACAAGTCATTTATTCAACAAATGTTCATAGAATCCTGGGTTCCATGGTTTGGGCAAGTAACTGGGGGTGCAAGTGTGCACAGACCTGGCTCCCGGTAGCAAAGAGCTCATGGCAGTCTGTGCAGAGACAGAAAACCTCGACAGAACTGCGTAAAGGCCACTATATCACATAAAATTTCAAATCCCATTCATGAATAATGACAGTTTTAAAAGCAGCAAAGACTCTGGAAAGCAAAGCAGAGAAGGGATGGAGCAAGGTTCACATACACGTAGGACATTCTTGGGAGAATATGTACATGCATACATACTCTTGGACAGATTTGTGCATGTCTCTGGAGGGTGCATCCTGCAGATTCATCCCTTAGTATATGCTCCCTGAAATAGATTTAAGATGTGATTATTTAGCAATGTGTGATTTAAATCTCCTGGGGCCATTGGCGCCCTACTACACCAAATTATAAACTCTCAGATTCAGAAAAGGATTGATATGCTCTAATGGTTCCCCATCTGTTTCCTAGAATACTATTTCTAAGATGTGGTAGATCTCGGTGAAGAAGTTGCAAAATTGGTTTTGGAATTGGCATGTACTATTTTCATACTTGGTGACTCTCAATATATAGTATCACAGAACCAGAGGTGTAGAATCATGGAACAGATTGACAGCTGTAATAGGGGAGGGAGCAGGCATGGACTGATTGAAAGAAGGTGAAGGGATTAGTCAAAGAACATATATGAAGGACCCACAGACATGGACAATGGTATGGGGATTGAGTATGGAAGTGGGAGGCGGGCTGGGTGGAGGGGGATATAGGGGAAAAATTTGGGACAACTATAATAACAAACAAAATATTAAAAAATAAAATCTAAGTATTTTAAAAAAAGATTTTATTAATTTATTTCTAGAAAGGAGAAGAGAGGGTGAAGGAGAGGGAGAGAAACAATGTGTGATTGCATCTCACGCACCCTCTACCAGGGACCCGGCGTACAACCCAGGCATGTGTCCTGCACTGGGAATCGAACCTGCAACCCTTTGTTTCGCAGGCCGGTGCTCAATCCACTGAACCACACCAGCCAGGGCTAAAATCCAAGTATTAATCTTAAAAAAGGATGCTTGACCTTTTTTAAGAATTTTCAAACTTATTTGACCATAGACCATGCTCTACTTTTCCCTTAATATCCTTAAAAATAAGTGCATTTTAGAACGCAGTTTTGGAAAAGTTATGTAGGAACCATGGCCTGGATCTTTCATTTTTCAATCTTGCATGGGATTCATTTCACTGTGATGTTTCAGAAGGGTGTTCTAGATGCCGGTGCTTTGGTTCTAGTGATGTCTCTCTCCCCCAAGGTGTTATATCACATTGGCTCAGGCTCTGGGAATGAGCATGGGAGGAGCACCCGCTGGACCTGCAGGAACTGGCAAAACAGAAACTACCAAAGATATGGGACGATGTCTTGGGAAATATGTTGTGGTTTTCAATTGTTCGGACCAGATGGATTTCCGAGGGCTTGGACGGATTTTTAAAGGTGAAGGTTATTTATTTATTTATTTTTTAATTTGTTGAGAAATTTCAGTTAAGGTGGAATATCTTGTGAAGATTTTTTTTCAACGATTGGCTACATGTTGGGAAACTTTGTTGAAAATCTGAGTCTTAGCAGTGTTGGGTGGATCCAATGTCAGTGCCACTGGCCTTTTGTCATGTTTCTTTATCGCTGCAGGTTGTGTGTTTACAGATGAAGTACACACCGTGAACTGTTTTGGGGCACTCATGCATGACCTATTTGCTCCACTTTATTTTTGAACCAGCTTCTCTCTGGCTTGTGTTGGCAGCTGCGTAATGTCCTTTTCCTTGGCTTTCCAAAATTACATACTAATTGAATTTTTCATTTTATTTCCTTTCGAAGGGCTGGCACAGTCTGGATCCTGGGGTTGTTTTGATGAATTTAACCGTATCGATCTACCAGTTCTCTCAGTTGCAGCTCAGCAAATTTCCATTATTTTGACATGTAAAAAAGAGCATAAAAAATCTTTTATTTTTACTGATGGAGATAAAGTGACCATGAATCCTGAATTTGGACTTTTTCTGACCATGGTAAGGAAGACCTACTGAATTTCTGGCTCTTATCACAGTTTTCATACATTGATCTCCTTGATCATATGTCACCCATTTGCTATGAATGGAAATTGGGATTGTAATTTTCACTCCAGTTTGAAAGCCCATGGGGTTGAACAAAGCTCATATTAGTAACTCACCACTTAATTTCTTCAGTGAAAAGGAGAGGGAGATAGGTAAAAGAATTATCTGGGTGTCATTCCAGCTTTGTGGTGTGTACATAATGGATCTTTTAATGCCATGCTGATGTGTGCTTGTTGCCCCATGATTATATCATTCATCCATGGGTTTTATTTCATGTAGAACCCTGGCTATGCTGGGCGGCAGGAACTCCCTGAAAACTTGAAGATTAACTTCCGCTCTGTGGCCATGATGGTCCCTGACCGCCAGATTATCATAAGGGTGAAGTTGGCTAGCTGTGGCTTCATTGACAACATTGTTTTGGCCAGGAAGTTTTTCACGCTCTACAAGCTTTGCGAGGAGCAGCTTTCTAAGCAGGTGCGACATTCGGAGGTTTCTGTGTACTTGTGCAGGTTTCATTTTTCTACCCAGTAAAATTCTTTCATTTTGAAAAATTATAGACTGAGGTTGTTGACAGATACTTTATTGATATAAAGTAGAAAGTTGTATAATTAAAAACAATTTTATATGTGTAGTTTTATTAAGAAGTACATTTACAGAAATTAATGCTTATGGCACAGAAATGGAGTGTATACTATCTGGACTGATTTAAGAGCCAAAGCATATGGATATTAATATTTTCTCTTTATTCCACCTCTACATTTATCATAATATGTGTTATGTTTCCTAATGGTTTTCAGGGATCTCTCAATCATTCACTTTTCTCACTTTCACGCTCATTCGTGTATTTAGCCAAGCTTTGCTATTTGTCTTGCTTATCTGTTGTAACTTCCTTGCCAATTTTCCACACTGTTTAGAGTAGCAGGTTCTGACTTCATGGAATTCCAGATCTGTGAGGCACAAAATTAATCATGTATTACTTCTATATTAGTTTTCCTATTGCTGTATAATAATGTCACCACAAAATTATTAACTTAAAACAATACATATTTATTTTCCCACACTTTCTGTGGGTTGAGTGTCCTGCCACAACTTAGTTGGGTCCTCTGCTTAGAGTTTAACCAGGCTGCAGTCTGGTGTTGACTGGGGCTGTGGTTTCATCTGATGCTTGACTGAGGAAAGGTCTACTCCTAAGTTTGCTCATGCTGTTGGCAGAATTCTTTTTCTTGAGGTTCTAAAACTGGGAGATTTGGTTTCTTTCTGATTGTCAGTGGGAGGAGGGCACCTTCAGTCCCCACCGAGATTGGTGCCATCCTTTGCTACCTGGTTTCCTCCAACATGGGCACTTACTTTCTCCAAGTCAGCAGGGGATAAGTTTCCAGCAAGATGAGTGTTACAATCTTGTATTAGTCAGGATTCTTCATAGAAACAGGACTAATGGGGTATATATGTATATGTATAAAAAGAAATTTATTATAAGGTATTGCCTCACACAGTTTTGGAAGCTGAGGAGTCCCATGATATGCCATATACAAGCTGGAGACCCAGGAAAGCTGGAAGTGTAGTTGGAAGGGTTGATGTTGTAGAGTCCAGTCCTAGTCTGAAGGCCAGAGAGCTAGGAGTAGTGAAGGCAGGAGATTGATATGCCAGCAAAGAAATCAGGCAGAGAGTGAATCCAGGCTCCTTTTGATCCTCAGCGGTTTGGATGGTGCCACCTACATTGGAGGGGACCCTCTGCTTTACTTAGCCCAATTAATTCAAATGCTAATCTCTTCCAGAAACACCCTCACCAGAAATAATGTTTAATTAGCTATCTGAGCATTTCAGGGCCCAGTCAAGTTGACCCATGAAATTAACCATCACTATTACGCAGTGTGACCACATAATCATGTACACGTAACTATATACAACCTGTCACCTTTGCTGTATTCTATTGGTTAGAAGCAATGCGTAGGTCCTGCGTACAAGGGTTTGAAGACCAGGAGGCAGGGATCATGTCACAAATGTCTAGAACGTAGAAATAAAAATTACTAAAAACATATGCTAAATAATACTATATTGTAATACACAAAAAAAATAAAATGTCAATAACATTCCTCACATATATAACACTTTGATCCCTCTACACACTCTGGCCTCTATTCTAATTGTCTTTGAATCTATTTGTTATTACTCACAGGTTCAACTAACTTATGTTCTAACTCAAAAGTTCTTTCCTTGCAAGTGTTCAATCACAGAGAGAGTCTTCTGACCCTGGCCATTGAGTTTTCTTGGTGAGACTGACCCTATTTTTGTCACTATCATTCTTGGTTTCTTTTGCTTCTTGGAGACTTTACTTACTCATTCTTATCTTCCCTCTGTCAAACAAATGTTTTTTTTACTGTGTAGACAAATTCCCCCATCACTAACTCCTGACCTCCTCTTCTCAGTATTTCAGTCTTTCTCCACTTCTACAGCCCTTACTCCATTATTTATCCACCCTCCAAATTAGTACTCAGTGCTGCACACTGCTCCCAGTTACATTAGCAGCTAATTATTTTGGTTTTGGTTTTTCTATAGGCATTGTTTTTATTGTGGTAACAACATATAACATTAAACTGACCATCTTAACCATTTTACCTGTACAGTTCCATAGTATTGTGCATATCCACAAAGCTGTGGGGCAGACCTCCAGAGCGTTTCCATCTTGCAACACTGAAACTCCATACTCATTAAACAGCCCTTCTCTTTCCCTCTTTCAGCGTCTAGTGACCACCGTTCTACTTTCTGTTTGTATGCAGTTGACTACTTTATTTTATTTTATTTTTTTTTATTAATTTATTTACTTTTTAAATACATTTGTCTCTGCCTTCCCCCCCCCCCCCCTTTCCCTTGCCCCCTCCCACCTTCCCTCCCTCAGCTCTTCCCCTTTGGTTTTGTTCATGAGTCCTTGCTATATGTTCCTTGACTTTCCCCTTCCCTTCCCTTTCCCTGCCCCCCCCTTCCCTCTTGTCTCTGTTGATTTCTTTTCCTTTCAGTGTTGCTGGCCATATTTGCCTTGCTTCTTTGCATTGTTGGTTAGGTTCCGCTTATAGGTGAGATCATATGGTATTTGTCTTTCGCCCCCTGGCTTATTTCGCTTAGCATGATGCTCTCCAGTTCCATCCATACTGTTGCGAAGTTTAGTACTTCTTTTTTTCTTTCTGCTACATAGTATTCCATTGTGTATATGTACCATAATTTTTTGATCCAATCATCTACTGATGGGCATTTAGGTTGCCTCCAACACTTGGCTATTGTAAATTGTGCTGCTATGAACATTGGGGTGCATAGGTTCTTTTGTATTGGCGTTTTGGTGTTCTCAGGGTATAGTCCCAGCAGGGGAATCGCTGGATCAAAAGGCAGTTCCATTTTCAGCTTTCTGAGGAAATTCCACACTGCTTTCCATAGTGGCTGCACCAGTCTGCATTCCCACCAACAGTGGACTAGAGTTCCCTTTTCTCCACAGCCTCGCCAGCACCTGTTGTTTGTGGATCTGTTTATGATGGCCATTCTGACCGGTGTGAGGTGGTACCTCATGGTGGTTTTGATCTGCATTTCTCTAATGGCTAGTGATGCAGAGCATCCTTTCAAATGCCTCTGGGCCCTCTGTATCTCCTCCTTAGAAAAGCATCTGCCCAGGTCCTTTGCCCATTTTTTGATTGGATCGTTTGTCTTCTTGGAGTCAAGTCGAGTGAGTTCTTTGTATATCTTGGAGATCAAACCTCTATCTGATGTATCATTAGCAAATATATTTTCCCAAATGGTTGGCTCCCTTTTCATTTTGCTGATGTTTTCTTTAGCCGTGCAGAAGCTTCTTATTTTGATGAGGTCCCACTTGTTTATTCTTTCCTTTATGTCCCTTGCTTTAGGAGACATAGCAGTTGACTACTTTAGATACCTCATGTAAGTGACACCATACAGGGTCTGGCAGAAGGAAGGCCTGCTTGAGTGTGGGTGGTTGGACAATAATATGGGTGTAAAAATTTATAATTTTAATTTGATGATTTCACCTAAAATGTCGTGTGGTATGTTTGAGTATGATATTGTTATGTTACAGAATTACATACTTATGATTTTGTAATAAAAGATTTTGTAATAAAAAAGCGGCATTATTTGTGCTGGACCCTGTAGAGTATTGTCTTTCTTTGCCTGGTTTATTTTACTTAGCATAGTGTCCTTAAGGCTTATCCATGGTGTAGCATATGATAGGATTTACTTCTTTTTTTATGGCTGAAACATTCCAGTGTACATACATACCACATATCCTTTATCCACTCCTTACCTGATATAAGTTTGGGTTGCTTCCACCTCTTGGCTTTTATGAATAATGTTGCTGTGCACATAGGTGTACTCATATCTGTTTGAGACCTTGCTTTCAATTCTTTTGCATATATACCCAGACATGGAATTACTGGATAATATGGCAGTTCTATTTTTAATTTTTTTGAGGAACTGCCATAGTGTCCATAGTGATTAGAAAATTAGTGTTTAATTCTCACTTTATATGTGCTAAAATTTGGCATGATTGAGTTTTTAAATATATGTTAAGGGACTAACAAAGCTGGGAGCTTGGCTTATGATTTGTTCTTATTCTCCCCACCCCCCACCAGGTAATCCTGGAATGGAGCTATTTTTCTTCCTTCTCAATATCCCTGCCTGTTTACTTATCAGTTTATGTATATATGATGGTCATGACTGAGGTCTCAGTTTAATTCTGATATAGGATTTTAGCTTTAGAGATAGGAGGACATATTCTTATGGATGATTGATTAAGAAGAAGCTCAAGGGACATGTTTACTCCAAGAGGAAATTTATTCCTTTTTCCCTGTCAATATATATCTATTAATTCTGATTTAAGGGCTTAAAATTGGTGATGGTACAGGAGGGGACTCTTTTGGATATTCTCTATTTTCTCAAAAATATGCTGATGAAAATATTTATTGCTTCACTCACTGTACAAGTTTTCTAAAGGAAATTCAGCATTTATTCATTATTGTTAACAGCTCTTCTGTCAAATTCATATAGTTTCCATGCATTAAGTTAACCTTGGAAATAAGCCTGGTATACCTCAAATTTTTCAGGTACATTATGATTTTGGTCTGCGTAACATTCTGTCAGTTCTGCGAACATTGGGAGCAGCAAAAAGAGCCAACCCCACAGATACGGAGTCCACGATCGTCATGCGCGTCCTACGAGACATGAATCTCTCTAAACTGGTGAGATTCACAGATGGAAATGTTCCACTTGCTCGTATCAGTTCAACTAACTAAGCACAAATGAGATGTAGAAATATTTATTTAATATGCTCATTTGAAATGCCTAATTATCAGATTAAGTGCTGGAGAGCATAACTGTAAGTTACACTTTTCCAGTTCTTTTTGTAGTGACTCATGTCTAGTCTAACATATGCCTAATCTGATTAAAGGGTTAAAAATATCCACAAGTTAAGTTTCCAAATACCTTGAATCATTTTTGTGTTTTAGAGCTAAAATCTCACCTTTAAAGTCTGAAGAGTCTGCAGAAAATTGTATATAAATTTTACAAGCGTGTACTAATTTTGCACTCTCTTATTTTGTGGTAGAGACTGGTAATCAATTGTCCAGTATCAGCAGAATATGTACAGGGTGACACAATGGTATATTTTTATTTCAAAATGAAAGTGTGAACCAAATTCCAATTCATGAATTTACTACTGTCTTTCATTATAAATTTTTTAAAATTTAAATTAGAAATTTTAGAGTATGTAGCCATACCCCAACTGGTTATCTTATACATAAGAAGGTTATCAAGTAGGCAATATTTAATTTATTTCCATTTTCTTCCTTTTTTCTCTTCTTTCTCCTTTTTCTCCCCTTTCTTTTTTTAAAAATAGTTTTTAATTTATAGGAAACACAAGGGAAACATTTCTTGACTTCCAAGAAAATGATATTTTATTTACTAATGGTTATGATAAAATGATCTGGGCTGTGTTAGCCATCATCAATTTTACCTGGACATTGCTATGATTTTGCCAAAATAATTGCTCCAATTACCCTTTTTCTTCTTTTCAAGATTGATGAGGATGAACCTTTATTTTTGAGTTTGATTGAAGATCTCTTCCCAAATATTCTTCTGGACAAGGCAGGCTATCCTGAACTGGAGGCGGCAATTAGTAGACAGGTAGTACACTTCCCGGGGCATGAAGCACCATATTTGTTTCACGTGAATTTCATGGTAATCGCATGAAGGTCCTGCTCCTGCAAATCTGTGGGTTCTGAGAATACTGCCGAGGCTGTGATTGCTATATGTTTTTTTTTGTGATCTGAGTATATTTTAATATATTGTTGCTAATGAATGTGGTAATGGAAAATAAATACATTCAATTTCAATAAATTGCCATGTAATTTGCACATTAGTGATTTCTGCTATTTACATACAAGGATGAGTTGATTAATATTTTCAGGGAATATAGGAAAACGAACCTCAGAATGTTTAAATGTTATTATTTGTTGGCCAGGGCTTGGTTGGATGTGCCTGCTGTTTTGAGAGAGGCTGTTGCGCTCCAGGGCCAGCCCTCTCCCTGCCATCTCACAACCGCATGCCCTGTCCGCCCTGTGCTAGTCACCCTGTTATTGATGGAAACCATTCCACAGATTCCTAAACGAACTGTGATAGGCCAGCAGGGGCTGGGAGGGCTCCGGTGGTGGCCTGGCCCATGCTGGTGTGGCTCTGTCAGAGTGTCATTTGCAGTGACCTCATGTAGCTCCTCAGCTGTCATTTTTTTTCCCCTCATGATCACTGGGATTCCTTCCTCGGGCTCTGGGGGAATCTGTACTATTAGGTGTCTGGGTTTCCCACAATACCTGGTGCAGCTTTAACTTCTTAGAGTCTCCGAATAATGGAAATGAATTTTGTAAACCTTGTGCCTCAATTGCCTTTCCTATGAAGAAGAGCTTGGGAAATAAAGTTTCACAGAAATAGTGATTAGCTCACTTGAGGAGAGACTGGAGACAGTGGCGTTGGGGAAAGAACGGGAGGAGGAACCGGGGAGTCCCGACTCCCTCCCCGTTCGGTAGTCTCCATTGTGGGCTGGAAAGGCGCGACCCCAAGGAGGCAGAAGCGGGGCGCGCATGAACCAGACTGCCTGCGATTGAAACGCAGTCCGCACAGGGGTTGGATCCTCAGCCGAAGGGGTCACAGAACTGCCCAGAGGCCCCTGAGGGGAGACTAGAAACGGAGGCATTGGGGAAAGAACGGGAGGAGGAACCGGGGAGTCCTGACTCCTTCTCCTTGCCGAAGTCTCCATTGCGCGGGAAGAGGCCACACCCCCAAAGAGCCAAAAGCCGAAAAGCAAACATAGACACCCCCAAAACACTCAGAGCAGGCGCGCACACTTGCGCCCAGTGACTGGCGAGGGTTGGCGAGCGTGTGTGTGACCCACCCGGGCTGGCAAACGCTTGCACCTGCCGGCAAGGCCTCACACAGACTGGCACCCATACGGCCTGCGAGGGATTGCACAGAGGGGCAAGGGCAGGCGTAAATTGACCCGCCCGCCGCGATTGCAGAGCGGCCCACAAAATAAGTAGAGCTGCCCAGAGTCCCTGGAGGAGAGACCAGAAACAGGATTAACCGGAGAGCTGATTTCCTCCCATTTCCGTAGTCCCCATTTGGCGAGGGCAAGCAACGCACCCAAAGAGCCAAAAGCGGGGAAAACACACAATAGAAGACTCTAAACTGACCAGTGCCGCGAAGCTCGCGTGCCAGGGAGGTCAGATGAGCACGGGAGGTCGCGAATAAGCCCTCTGGTCTGGGGCAAACACATGCGAGCCCAGGCAGGTGGGGGACCCTGCCGCGCTGGGAACGCGCTCAAGGAGCTCTCGTGAGAGCGCAGAGAGATCCCAAAAAATAGCCCAGCCCTGACCGAAGGGGTCACAGAGCTGTTCCAAGCAGGAGTCAGACACAGGCATTAGACTCCTGAAAGGCTCAAACAAACAACCCAAGGCCCTATAGGGTCAACAACTGACATCATCAGAGGCAAGCCCAGAAAGAAAAGCAAAGGACAAAAATACTTAACAGACTCTCACAAAAATGGGAAGAAAAAGAAGTTCTCCCCAAATGAGTGGAAAAGGGGACTCCCCACAGAGAGAGCTCAATGAAATAGAGGCAAGGGAACTATCAGATATGGAATTTAAAACAATGGTTCTAAGGAAGCTCAATGAGCTCAGCCAGCTCAAAGAGAACTATGAGAAACTGCAGAGAAACTATCAGGATCTTACAGCAAACTATATCAGCCTGGAAAAGGACATAGAAACTATCAAGAAGACACAAGAGGATATGAAGAATACCATTTCTGAATTGAAGAACACAGTAGAAGGAATCCAAAGCAGGCTGGATGAAGCTGAGGATCGAATCAGTGAGATGGAGGATAAGGTAGAAAAAAGCTCCCAGAAAGAGCAAGAAATGGAAAAACGGCTCAAAAAGAATGAAGAAGCATTTAGGGAAATGCAGGACAACCTGAAACGCAATAATATCCGTATAATAGGGATACCAGAAGGAGAAGAAGAGGAGCAAGGAATAGAGAACCTCCTCGAAAAAGTAATGATGGAAAATTTCCCTAATTTGAGGAGAGAAAGGCTCTCATGGATCCAGGAGGCACAGAGGACCCCACTCAAGAAGGACCCAAGGAGGTCCACTCCAAGACACATCATCATTAAAATGGCAAATGTCAAAGACAAAGAGAGAATCCTGAAGGCAGCAAGGGAGAAGGAGAAAGTAACATACAAGGGGGCCCCGATACGCCTAGGAGCTGACTTCTCAACAGAAACACTCCAAGCCAGAAGGGAATGGCAACAAATATTCCAAGCCATGAAAAGCAAGGGCCTACAGCCAAGGCTGCTCTACCCAGCTAGGCTCTCCATTAAAATAGAAGGAGAAATACGGAGTTTCCCAGACAAAAGAAAGCTAAAAGAATACATCTCTACCAAACCAGCACTCCAAGATATGCTAAGGGGACTGGTTTAAGCAGATGAAGGAAAAGAATGAGACGGAGAGGAACACAAGTACAAAGAGAAAAGATGAGTAAGTTTCTATCAGTAATATCTCTCAATGTGAATGGACTAAATGCCCCAATCAAAAGACACAGGGTAGCTGAGTGGATAAGAAAACATGACCCACACATATGCTGCCTACAAGAGACCCACCTCAGAGCAAAAGACCTACACAGATTGAAAGTAAAGGGATGGAAAATAATATTCCAAGCAAATGGACATGAGAAAAAGGCCGGCGTTGCCATACTTGTATCAGACAAAGTCGATTTCAAAGCAAAGGCCATAAAGAGAGACCCAGAGGGGCACTTTATCATACTTAAAGGAAGAATCTATCAAGAAGACATCAACATTGTAAACTTATATGCTCCCAATATAGGAGCCCCCAAGTTTATAAGGAAATTGTTGGATGACTTCAAAAAAGATATAGATAGCAACACACTGATAGTAGGGGATTTCAACACCCCACTGTCCAAAATGGACAGATCTTCCAAACAAAACATTAATAAACATATCGTGGAGCTGAATGAAACACTGAATCAAAGAGACTTAACTGACATATATAGAATCTTACATCCCAAAGAAGAAAAATACACATTCTTTTCAAATGCTCATGGCAGTTTTTCAAAGATAGACCACATGATAGGACACAAAGCAAGCCTCAGTAAATTCAGGAAAATTGAAATAATACCAAACTTTTTCTCAGACCACAAGGCCTTGAAACTCGAAATCAAACTCAAAGAGAAACTTCAAAAACTTGGAAACTCATGGAGACTGAACAGTACACTTTTAAACAATGAATGGGTCAATAATGAGATAAGAGAAGAAATCAAAAAATTTCTGGAAACAAATGAAAATGAACAGACAACTGTCCAAAACCTATGGGACACGGCAAAGGCGGTCCTGAGAGGGAAGTTCATAGCAATACAGGCTTACCTTAAAAAGATAGAAACATTTCAAATAAAAGACCTAACACTACAACTTGAAGAACTGGAGAAACAACAACAAATAAATCCCAGAGCAAGTAGAAGGAAGGAAATAGTCAAGATTAGAGCAGAACTGAATGACATAGAGACAAAAAGAACAATTCAGAGGATCAACCAATCCAGAAGCTGGTTCTTTGAAAAGATTCATAAAGTGGACAAACCTTTAAGCAGACTCATCAAGAATAAAAGGGAGAGGACCCAAATTAATAATATCAGAAATGAAAGAGGAGAAATAACAACTGATACCACAGAAATACAAATGATCATCAGAAACTATTATGAACAATTATATGCCAAGAAATTTGAAAATCTGGATGAAATGGACAAATTTTTAGAAAAGTATAATCTTCCAACACTGAAGGAGGAAGAAACAGAAAGCTTGAACAGACCGATAACAGTTGGGGAAATTGAAGCAGTCATCAAGAAACTCCCAGCACACAAAAGTCCAGGGCCAGACGGTTTCCCAGGAGAATTTTACAAAACATTTAAGGAAGAGCTAACCCCTGTCCTTCTCAGACTATTCCAAAAAATCCAAGAGGAGGGAAGACTGCCAGACTCCTTCTATGAGGCCAGCATCACCCTGATCCCCAAACCAGATAAAGACCCTACAAAGAAAGAAAACTACAGGCCAATTTCGCTGATGAACATAGATGCTAAAATCCTCAACAAAATATTGGCAAACCGCATCCAGCAATACATTCAAAAGATTATCCATCACGATCAAGTGGGATTCATCCCAGGGATGCAGGGATGGTTCAATATACGCAAATCAGTAAACGTGATACACCACATAAATCAAAGAAAAGACAAAAACCACATGATCATCTCGATAGATGCAGAAAAAGCATTTGACAAGGTACAGCACCCATTTATGATCAAAACACTCAGCAAAATGGGAATCAATGGGGCATTCCTCAACGTAATAAAGGCCATATATGAAAAACCTACAGCCAATATCATACTCAACGGGCAAAAACTGAAAGCTTTCCCACTAAGATCGGGAACACGCCAAGGATGTCCGCTCTCACCGCTTCTTTTCAACATCGTATTGGAAGTCCTAGCTACAGCGGTCAGACAAGAGAAAGAGATAAAAGGCATCCAAATAGGAAAGGAGGAAGTAAAACTATCATTGTTTGCAGATGACATGATAGTGTACATAGAGAACCCTGTAGACTCTACCAAAAAACTCCTCAACCTAATAAGTGAATTTGGCAAAACAGCAGGATACAAAGTCAACATTCAGAAATCAAAGGCGTTTTTGTACACCAGCAATGCAATAGAAGAAGAAGAAATCAGAAAAAATATACCATTCGATATAGCACGAAAAAAGATAAAGTACCTAGGGATAAATTTAACCAAAGACACAAAAGACCTGTATGCAGAAAACTATACAACATTGAAAAAAGAAATTAAGGAAGACACAAATAAATGGAAGCATATACCGTGCTCATGGATTGGAAGAATTAATATCCTTAAAATGTCCATACTACCAAAAGCAATTTATAGATTCAACGCAATCCCTATTAAGATACCAATGACGTATTTCACAGAAATAGAACAGACATTTCAAAAATTTATATGGAACCATAAACGACCTCGAATAGCTGCAGCAATTTTGAGAAAGAAACACAAAGTAGGAGGGATCACAATACCGGACATCAAACTCTACTACAAAGCCACTATACTCAAAACAATCTGGTACTGGCACAAGAACAGACCCATAGACCAGTGGAACAGAATAGAAAGCCCAGAAATAAGCCCAGGTCTCTATGGACATCTAATATTTGACAAAGGGGGGCAGAAGTATAAAATGGAGCAATAACAGCCTCTTCAACAAATGGTGTTGGGAGAGCTGGATGGCTACATGCAAAAAATTGAAATTGGATCATCAGCTGACACCATACACAAAAATAAACTCAAGATGGATAAAAGACTTAAATATAAGTCGCAACACCATCAAAGTCCTAGAGGAGAACTTTGGCAGGAAACTCTCAGATATCCCACGCAGCAATTTTTTCACTGATATGTCTCCTAAAGCGAGGGACATAAAGGAAAGAATAAACAAGTGGGACCTCATCAAAATAAGAAGCTTCTGCACGGCTAAAGAAAACATCAGCAAAATGAAAAGGGAGCCAACCATTTGGGAAAATATATTTGCTAATGATACATCAGATAGAGGTTTGATCTCCAAGATATACAAAGAACTCACTCGACTTTACTCCAAGAAGACAAACGATCCAATCAAAAAATGGGCAAAGGACCTGGGCAGATGCTTTTCTAAGGAGGAGATACAGAGGGCCCAGAGGCATTTGAAAGGATGCTCTGCATCACTAGCCATTAGAGAAATGCAGATCAAAACCACCATGAGGTACCACCTCACACCGGTCAGAATGGCCATCATAAACAGATCGACAAACAACAGGTGCTGGCGAGGCTGTGGAGAAAAGGGAACCCTAGTACACTGTTGGTGGGAATGCAGACTGGTGCAGCCACTATGGAAAGCAGTGTGGAATTTCCTCAGAAAGCTGAAAATGGAACTGCCTTTTGATCCAGCGATTCCCCTGCTGGGACTATACCCTGAGAACACCAAAACGCCCATACAAAAGAACCTATGCACCCCAATGTTCATAGCAGCACAATTTACAATAGCCAAGTGTTGGAAGCAACCTAAATGCCCATCAGTAGATGATTGGATCAAAAAATTATGGTACATATACACAATGGAATACTACGTAGCAGAAAGAAAAAAGAAGTACTAAACTTCGCGACAGCATGGATGGAACTGGAGAGCATCATGCTAAGCGAAATAAGCCAGGGGGCGAAAGACAAATACCATATGATCTCACCTATAAGCGGAACCTAACCAACAATGCAAAGAAGCAAGGCAAATATGGCCAGCAACACTGAAAGGAAAAGAAATCAACAGAGACAAGAGGGAAGGGGGGGGCAGGGAAAGGGAAGGGAAGGGGAAAGTCAAGGAACATATAGCAAGGACTCATGGACAAAACCAAAGGGGAAGAGCTGAGGGAGGGAAGGTGGGAGGGGGCAAGGGAAAGAGGGGGGAAGGCAGAGACAAATGTATTTAAAAAGTAAATAAATTAATTAAAAAAAAAAAAAAAAAAAAAAAGAAATATCTAAAATTTGGTAAGCTAGCATATGCTTGGTTACTATGTTGTATCAATAAGAAGGTAGGACTGTTATAGAATAAAGAAAACATATACAAACTCAAAAAAAAAAAAAAAAAAAAAAAAAAAAAAAAAAAAAGAAATAGTGATTAGCTCATATTTACAAAATATGTTTCGATTCCTTGAAGATATTTGTAATAAAAATCAAGTATGTTAGTATTAAATAGGTATTTTGCTTTTATAAAATCAGTGTATATAAGTATTAATCTTTATCAGCGAAGAGTGATAGTTCATTTTGTAAAATGGCTTCTTTATCAAATGGCCAAATTATTGTAGCATCACCTAAAAAGCTAAATATAAAATAATTTAATAATTTATAGGGTAAGTTGCATTAGTAAGTTGTAGCATGTGAAAAATCTGGAGTATACATAATATAAAATGATACATAATTGTTATCCAAAATGCATAATTTGTAGTGCGTTTAAGCATAGCAGGCTAATTAAGAGCGTAAACTGAGAAGCTGTATTTCTGGGGCTCAAATCCCCACCTCATAACTTTACAAGTATTAATCTTGGCCCAATTACTTAGTCTTTCTGTGCCTCAGTTTTTTTTTATTTGTAAAATGAAGATATCAATAATACCAATGTCACAGTGTTGTTATGAAAATTAAACTTAAAATAGTTTGGCACAGAATAACTTCCATACAGTATTTGGTAGATAAAAACTACTCGGTGGATTTATAAAGAGCTTGAAGTTTATATGGAATTTCAGTCAACCTGGTATGCTAGAATATTTTTCCATCATTAAATGTCATCTTTTAAATTATACATTTAAAATACATGTGATGCTTAAACCTTTATTCTTAAGTTTGCTCTTAAGATATACATTCAATAAAATATTAATATTAATGTATTCAATCTCCAAAGACATGCAGATGTTTCTTATTAGCTTGGCATAACATTTGATTATGTTTACCCTGCTTTTCATCTATGTATATATATTCTTTCATGCAATATATATTTTATTGTGGTAAAATGCAGAATATAAAATTTACCATTTTAGCCATTTCGAGTGGACAGTTGAATGACATTAAACACAGTCTCATTATCGTGTAAACATTAACACCATCCATCCCCATACCTTCTTTTTTCCCCAGACTGAAATTTCATACCTATTAAACAATAACCCCATTCCTTCGCCCCCTCATTCCACGTCTATGCTTACTGTGAGCATAATGGTAAGTCTGGCTCACTGGTGATGTGGCCTAATGTAGGGCTTTTTTTTTTTTTTTTATGTTTTCAGGTTGAAGAAGCTGGTTTAATCAACCATCCACCTTGGAAGCTGAAAGTCATCCAGCTGTTTGAAACACAGAGAGTTCGGCATGGAATGATGACCCTGGGGCCTAGTGGAGCAGGGAAGACCACCTGCATCCACACCTTGATGAAAGCCATGACAGGTAAGGGGCCGCCAGACTGCGTTGCTCTGGGTGACACATTTAAATAGTTGTGACACATTTGAATGCCCCAAAAGGAAGCAAAGGTAGATACATTAATTTTTTTTATAGGAGGGAATACTACTTTACTGATTCTTAGGTACATTTTAGAGAGAATATGTTACATTAATTGACCGTAAGGAAAAAACATGTCTTTCCATCTTTACTGAGATATAATTGACACATAACATTGTTCAGTTTAAGGTGTACAGCGTGTAGATTTGATACATTTATAAATTGCAAAATGATTAACACCACAGTATTAGCTAACATCTCCATCACATAGTTACTGATGGGGGGTACCACATCCTGCGCAGAGTCCCCCCAAGGCACTGCGGATGGGGAAATAATGTAAGTCTTTCCAGATACTTCTCAGTCTGCCAGGAAAAGGGGGTGGCGATTCCCGCTAGTGGAGAATGCCTGGAGCCCTTCTCTTGAAGTGGCTTTTATTGAGAATGATGTGCACAGGGATTGATGGATGCAAAGCTCATCAATCAATGTCAAAAGGCTATGTTTATAGAAAACAAATAGAGATCATACATAATAATTGAAGGAACACAGAGATTTGCCTCAGGTCAGACAGAGTGGCTGGCGCCCATTGGACTCTGAAACCTAGGAAACTGATCACATTCTCTGCTTGTCCCCAAATATCAGTACTCCTTAACTCGAGGGCATTCTTAGCAAAGTTTCATAGGATTTAACGCATTCCTTTTCCAGGCCTAATTGTCCCTGGGAACTGCCTGATCCCATTTAGGGCTGTACCTGCTCTTGGTATTGTTTCATTGACCTGGTCAGGTGGGTGGAGTAGAGCAGCCAAGAGATAAGGAGACTTCTTTCAGATAGAATGAGGACTCCGGCCAGGACAAAGCCGAGGAGTGAGGGTCTTTTGTCCCTTCTCTGTGTCCCCCAAGTCCTTCCCCGATGGCTCCTATTCAACTATGCCTGCCATTGAGGGGTCTTACTCATCACTGATTGACTAACCAGCCATCCTCCGGGGCCAATCAGGGTGATGTGAGGGAGTCAGGGGCTGAGCCCCTGCCAGGGGGATAGGTTTTGTCTCCTCAGTGGCCTATTGTCCCAAGGCCTCCTTGCTCAGCTCTAGCCTTGGGGCCTTCTTGCCTGTCGGCAAGGCTACAGTCCCTGAAACTAGGAGAAATGGTTCCCAAGTTACCGTTTCTTTTTTGTGATGAGAGCATTTAAGATCTACTCTCCTAGCAACATTCAAGTATATGACATAATATTATTAGATATAATCGCCATGCTGCACATTAGTTTCTCAAATTTTGTTAATCTAGTAACTGGAAGTTTGTACCTTTGATTAATATCTCTCCACTTCCACCCCTTCCCAGCTCCTAATAATCACCACTCTGTGTTCATATGAGACGTTATTCTAGGGTCCATGTGCAGTAAGTCTTCACCTTATGTTTTATATAGGTTCTTGGAAACTGTGACTTCAAGTGAAACAACAAAATGAAAACAATTTACCATAGGCTAATTGATACAAATAAGACTTAAGTTCCTATGTCATATTTTTGGCCACAAAAACAAAATAAAAGCTTCTAAATAAAGAAACAAAGCAGTTCTAATCTTAAACATTGAACTAAATGTTAGCTATACATATAAACTAATTTTTCACCCGGAATCAGTTGTTTTTCTTGTGAAGTTAAATAAATGCATTTAATTGCCGGATATCCCTAAGCCTCATATCTAAGTCCCTAGCCCAAGGTAATCTAGGGATAATGTTCATTGTCATGTTCATGATTATTCTTGTATTCTCTTGTTCTGATCAGACACTGATGACTCTGTTCCTAAGAGTATCGGCAGCCCTTAGCTGTGGCAGATTGAGTTCCATAATTTCATAGAACTTTGGTTGTTAGAATGCATGCTACGTGGTCCCACAGGGAAGGGTGCCTGGTTGGAACCCCGGTGCACTTGCTGGTGTTTATTTTACAGTCCTGTACATGTTAGATTCAGTCTCAGTTTTCTCATCTAAGGGATGAAGTGAATTCTGTATATCAAAGTTCTACCTATTGGGCTTTCACGCTGAGAAAGGACTATGCTCCCAGCTAGAACCTAACTCCACCAAAACTGAGCTCACACCTGCAGGACTTACCCTGTGGTATTCAGTGTGTTGTTAATATCTATTTTAGGATTTTTACATAGCTTTAAAATGATGTGCTCTCTTTCTCAAATTATTCTTAATACTTTTGTTGTTATAAAACTGCCTTCTGTTAGCTATAAATGCACCTGGTACAAAGACTTGAGCAAAATGATCACTAAGTACTAAACAATACAGATACATTGTATATAATATGATATGATATGGTTAATATGATATATACTATAGTAATTTATATGGCATCACTGGTGTTGGAGAAGGTCTTTGCAAAGATGAATTAATCATTAGACTATTTGCTGTTTATTAACTTGTTTTTGGTATTTCCTTTTTATTAACCTGTTCTTAGTTTTAATTGGTAGGCCAAACATTTGTTATCTTAAACATTGTTTCTTAATGAAAACTTTAATTATCCAAAAGATTGAGAAGGTAATTGGGCTGAACTTCTACTGAGGAAGTGCAAGACCCATGCATGTTATTTATTCCCTTATTCACCATGCATTTTTCATTACATTTCTTTGATGTCCTCTACTTGGAGGTTTTGCTAGGTTCTATACTAGAAATGGGAAAACAGGTATGAAAAAATGACCATGTCTTCGAGGAGCTTACAGTGTAACAGGTGACAGACACGGGCACAGATTCTTAAAAGTGATCATGGAATTACTCTGAGGAAAGCTTGGATAATTACCCTATGGGCAGAGGTGAAGGAGAGCAGAATCTTCTCCAAGGAATTATAGAAAGGCTTGGAGAGCAGGTGCTGCTTCCTCTGAGGTTTGGAGGCTGAGCAGCAGGTGGGCAAGGGGCATTCTTAGTACAATGGAGATTGTGCATGGAGAAGGGGTACAGAGAGGATGATACCCCCAGGGACCTCCTTTGGCATGAATAAATGGTAATTGTATGTGGCTGGGAGTGGGGGAGAGGAGGAGATGCCGCAGAAGCTATTGGAGCCCGACACCGTCCTTTGGCCTGCCCCTACTGTATAGATGGGGCTGTTGCACAGCTTCTCCCACAAACACCAGCGGTTTCCCCTCGTTTTTCAACTTTATGACTTTCCTTGAAGCTAGGAAACTGGCTCAGCCTGTAAATAGGGGTCCAGTGGGAATTAATGCTCCAAGGCAGCCATACCCTTAGCCAATGCAGGAGAACAGTTGATGGCAAATGCTTCACCTCCTGTCTTTTAGAGGGACACTGCTTCTGTGACCAGCTCAGCACTGTGCTTTTAATGGACTCCTGTCCCTTCTGTCTCACTCTCTTTCCCCTGACTTCCAACCAACTCCCAGCACCCATGTTCTTGTCCCAGGCTTTGCTTTCTAGGGAATTCAAATTAGTACAGTAGGTGTGACATGAGGAGTTTTGTAAGTCATGCTAAACACCTAGGTTTTATTCTGTAGGTGATAGGAAGCCATTGAACCGGGGAGTCATATGGTGCTATGGTCAACCCTGAGTGTAGAAGACTATCTGGTGGCCATGTAGATAACAGACTGAGGGATAGGTAGGGTGGTCTGGTGTCCATAAGAAGGGGACGGCAAGAAAAGGGTGCCACCCTAAGACAGAGTCCATCAAGGTCGAATGATGAGGGCACTCGAGAAATGCCTAAGAGGAGAATTTACAGGAATTACTTTAACCAACATTTTGAAAGTTAAGCATTTTTTTTTTCTTAAAGTGCTTTCCTAAAAATGTTATGGTTTTCTAAATGAAAATGATATATCTACCTACTACCATAATGAAATAATTTTTGGTGGTTTCTCTTGTGTGGGAAACAGACCAAGTTCAGGTCTTACCTATGATTCCCTCATACACTTTAAGAGTTTGCTGGCCTTTTGTAAACTGTGATTAGACTTAAAAAGAAGTATTGCTAGTCTAATGGCTATCACCTAATGAAAAAGCCGAATTGTGACTAAGTTGAATTTGAGCACCATAAAATACTGCAAATAATTACCTTGATGCTTTCTGTGATTTTGAAAAAAGAGAATTCTGGTTTAATTTTCTAAGTAGGTTTTAAATATGTAACCCCTTTTCTTATGTGCACGTCCGTGTATCTATGCCTGTGTCAATCTCTCACATGGTACATAATATTTTAGCATCTATTTTATGGTTTTATACTTTAAACCTTATTTGTCACTTTTCTTCTTGTTAACCACAGTCCCTTATTTGCAGAATCCAAAACATTTTAAGAGTAGTTTTAGAGTTTGAAAGATTTGAATACGTTTTTTGACATTGGCCACAAAAGGAAGTTCTTGATTCCCGAAACACATTAGTTTAGCTTATTTTTTTCAAATAAGCAAGACCACATCCCAGCAAATCAAAGCTGGTAATGGAGAGATTGAGTAATCTTCCAGGTTATATTTCAGATATAAGGTTTAATCTAGTACACCATAAACCAACAGGATTGTTTTTTAGCTGTGTAATTGGAAGAGTTTCCAGATTACATTAATTCCTCATCAATTCCAACATGGTATCCTTTTTTCCCCTAATGTAACATGTAGTTTTCTTTTCCAGAAGATAAAAAAAAAAGTGCTTTAGGCAATAAAATATGAAGCTAATTATGACAACTTGGAAATATAGTAAGACATACATTTTCAATGTAATTTTGCATTTTCACATTTTGAACACTTGCTGACTCTACACTGCAAATTAGTGCAATGGAGTATAATGATGGTTCACTCTACACCTGAGTTGTTTAAAATTTGGATTTACTTGCTGTAGATTGTGGAAAACCACATCGGGAAATGAGGATGAATCCCAAAGCAATTACGGCCCCCCAGATGTTTGGTCGGCTTGATGTGGCCACGAATGACTGGACCGATGGGATATTTTCTACTCTTTGGAGGAAAACATTGAGGGCTAAGAAAGGTAGGAGATGAACTACAAGTACTGTTTTTGACATGTACTTCTAAGTAAAATCTTAGGTGACTCTTTAAAATTAGTAGAAAAACTATATTCTCTAATAGTATCATAGTCAAGACTAAGAAATCCTAAATTGGTATAATATTTGTGAATGTTGAAATACTAAAATTATTGAATAGCGTATTTAAAACCTTTTTTACCCTTTTCCTCCTTAGTTTTTTGGTTAAAAAGGGAATTATTTTACTTTTGAAAAAATGTTTCTGTATCTCTGTGATATCTCAGAATAAAATTAAAAAAGCTGTTAAGGAAAATTGATAGTAATGAATAAAATGATTTTACCGTACCTATTTTCACTGAATATTTTGAAGATGTTGTTCTTAGTTAAGTACAGCCTATTTAAAAAAACTGATTCTTTTATAAAATCACAGGAGGAAGTGGGCTTCTTCAGAAAGAAAATTGTGTATAACAGAAATGAAGTCTGTACTGAACTAACAAATTATTCTGTTTAGATGTACTCTGGTGCTTGGTTGTTGTTTAACGAAACTCATTAAGGGCTACATTTGTGCATGCATAATTTCCGCTCTGCCTTTGGAATCTAGGGGAGCATATCTGGATAGTTCTTGATGGTCCAGTAGATGCCATCTGGATTGAAAATCTGAATTCCGTTTTGGATGATAACAAAACTCTCACCCTTGCCAATGGCGATCGAATTCCCATGGCTCCAAACTGCAAGATTGTTTTCGAGCCTCACAACATTGACAATGCTTCTCCTGCTACCGTCTCAAGGAATGGAATGGTTTTCATGAGTTCTTCTGTCCTGGACTGGAGTCCTGTTCTTGAGGTATAACTGCAGTCTTTCTTTTGTATAATTCGGGAGGAAAACAGATCCTTTAGCGTTCCTTTAGAGTACATGCTGATTTTTCTGCAGACCTGCAGGGTGTAATTGCATTTTAATGCTAATGTTTATGGAAGATCCTTGAGTGCTCTGGGACATTCAAACCCTCATGGCCCCTTACAGATTTCTTCAGTGCTCTCTAATCACGTTCTGTGATTTCCAACCCTTGGGTTGTGGAGTAATTGCAAGGCCCAGGTGAATCAATAACCCCACCAGACTGTGACTGAATACATAAAATTTAATTTTATCACTTTGAGGATTCCTGACATTTTTAAAAGGTGCTCATTCACATAAAGTTTGGGAGCAACCATCTTAGAAAATTAACTTGAAGAAGACAATTTATTAAAATTACATGTAAGGGATTTTTATTAGATTCAGTAGTTATATTAGTTTTAAGTTTTACTTGGAAATAATATTTCAGATAATCTCTCTTCAATTCATGATATAGTATTTTATTACCACCAATATAGTCTAGAGTATATTGCTTATAATTAGATGATAATTAAATAGATATATAGTTTATGGCAAAATGCTTATTTGATAAGCCATTTAAAAGTCTTTTTTGACATTGTTAGTCAGATTTATTATTTTCATTTATGTAAAATTTTTGGAGATGATTTCAATAGAAAACTTATGAATTAGCAATTTGGATAAAGTAGATGTTTATTTTATATTGCCATTAAATTTTTGTGCTCCTGTTTGCATATGGGTATATCCTCACTTATAATAATGCATATTCTGAATTTGCACAACTCCAAGTTTTGAAGGGTTTATATTTGGTAACATATGAAGATGTGAAGGAAGGGATTATGTAGCAAAATGATACCAACCTACTGTCACTAAAAGCACTTTTAAAGATTTCAAATTTTACAATTTAATTATCCATTCATTAAGGAGGTTACAGAGCAATTGTTCTTAACCCTGGTTTTGCAAAAGTAATCACCAGTGACAGTGCTGATAATACAGAATAATTGGGTCACACCCCAAGTCCACCACATTAGAATCTCTGGAGGGGGAGAGGGGTTGCAGGAATTGTTTTTGTTTTCTTAAAGTTCCTATAGATTCAGGCTTGGTAACTATAGATCCTGCAAACTCCAAGTCTAAGTGTATTTATGTGATTTTCCCCCAATACTTCCAATTTACAAAGGCTTTAAAAGCGACTTTAATGCTCTTAGCTAACAAATAGTGTGAGTTTGCTGTTTGTGAAATGAGCTTCTATTATTTTCTGTCCATGTTGAGGCTGAATAGTATGTTTACACTAATGGTAGACCTACCTAATACTTTAAATGCCTTTAAATAATGCAGTTTCTCCTTACAAATGAGTAGGAAGAAGCAAGACTCACAAAAAAAGTGAGATTGGACACGTTTAAGGCAGTACAAGGCTGTTCTGAAAGAGTTATTAGAAGGCAGAGCAATGGGCACAGCTGGTGTTCATGGGAATCTCAGCTACAGGGAACCAAGCTGGTTACTGGCCCATGTATGGTGGTTTTGGTTCCTTCAACTTAAAAGTGCTGGTTTGCTTTTGTTGATATGAAACCATGGTAAATTTATAAATTGATGAATAATTTGAAACCAACATTTTATTCTGTTTGGATTCACTAAGAATGAGCTGGTGTCTTTATGCCAAGAGAACTTTCCTCACCTTAAGAAAATATTGTTTTATTTTAATTGTTATTTTGTTATGAATCACATGTACTTTACTAATATTAGGTTGCACAAATGACTAAATTCTCTATTTACCTGAAGATTCTTTGATATTTTTCTACATTAATTAAATAATTCATTAAGTTGGAAAAAGTAAGAAACAACTATTTGTGAAAATCTGTTTCCCATTTTGTAAAACCTGGCTATGGGTTCCCTTTTTTCATCTTTTATTCTGTTTTCTTTTAAAAAATTATTTCCATATATTTGCCTTCTCATTTTCTCCTAGAATATTTTAATGAAGAGATGAAGCCTTTTTTTCCATCTTGGCTTCAAGACTGGAGCACATGTGTAGTGTAGTGGATGAACGTGCAGACACTGGAGGAGACCTTGCTACCTACCAGCTGTAGCAGCCTGGTCATGTCACTTAGATTCCATGGGGCTTCAGTTTCTTCATATGTAAAAGGAAGTTTATAATAACTCCTACCCCCTAGAGTTGTTTTGAGCATTAAATGAGTTTTAGTAGTTGATGGAATTTATATTAAGTCTTGGCCCATCGTAAGCGCAGTGTGATCATTAGATAATATTAATCAATATTTTAAATATTTTGTCTTAAAATGGCTATTTTCCTGCTGTGCTAATAAATTCAATTAATGCATTAATCTGTACACTGACAGGGATTTCTCAAAAAACGCTCACCTCGAGAAGCTGAAATTCTTCGTCAGCTGTACACCAAGTCTTTTTCCGACCTGTATCGCTTCAGTATTCAGAACTTAGAGTACAAGATGGAGACGCTGGAGGCCTTTGTAATCATGCAAAGCATTAACATGCTGCAAGGTTTGATCCCTCTGAAGGTAAGTTCCTCAACTTTCTGGAGAATTTCTCTCATTAGTGGAGTCATGCTGTACAGAGAGTGCAATATATGAAATTCATTTTGTTAGAGCTATGGGGGAAGGGAGATGTTTCAAATATATCCCTGCATGTTTTGTATTTTTCTCTCTGTCTCTCTCTTTTTTTTTTTTTCACAAAGCAAGCCATGGTTTTATAATTTAGTTGCAGGTTCACAGTCATCTGATAGGCATTCTAAATTTATTTCACAAATCGGCTTGGTTGGTATTCCTAGAGATCAGTTCTGCATTTGTTCCCCAGTTTTCTTTACCTTTCCTTTGTTTTTGTTTGTGGGGGGAGAAATGTTGACCCTTTTACATCTTTGATATTTTCATTAAAACCTCAAAGCAAAGTTTTGGTTTGAGAATTAAGTAATTAAAGTTTTCACTTTTGCACTCAGGAGCAAGGTGCGGAGGTCACGCCAGAGCACCTGGGGAGGCTGTACGTCTTCTCCCTGATGTGGAGCATTGGGGCGCTGCTGGAGCTGGACGGCCGGCGCCGGCTGGAGCACTGGCTGCGTTCTCAGGAAGCGCTGACCTTGGATCTGCCGCCACTAGCAGGGACCAATGACACCATGTTTGACTATTACGTCACGTCTGACGGTGAGGATGCTCGCTTCCGCTCATAGAACACCTGGGAACAGTTACTTACAAATACCTCACATTTTTACACCATATATATTTTTATAAACAGTTATTAAATTCTTGGCTGTAAAATTAAAATAGAAATTTCAGGTGTGAAGAAAACAAATTGTTTCTTTTTCAAATACTGATTTCAGTTCTGTTCCAAATGCACACTTTCCTCATGTTAAATCTATTGTGTAATAAACTTTTAATGAATTAAAAACAAAATTTAAAAATCATCCTGTCATATCAATTTCAGCTATTCATTTGATGCAATCAGCAATTTATATAAAAATTACAAGGTGTGAGGTATATTTTTACCAACTAAGTGTATATCTATAAATCTATAACTATATATTTTAAGTATTTATATGTGCATACATGTATATGTAAAGTACATATATACACATATATGAAATACATATATAATATTTACATAAGGCATCCTATGGCATTTTATATTTTGTCTTACTGTTATGGAAGCAAGTAATGAAAAGTTTGTGAGAGTAAATATTTTAAAAAGATTTTAGGTGCATACTACTGCCATAATGTTCTGTATTTTTATACACTATGTTATTGAAAACCTACATATTTAAAAAGAAAATTTCAGTATATTTTGAAATATTTCTTAATAGTACCAATTTGGAATAGTTCCTAGGGAAATTTTGACTCATGCTTAAATAGTACTTAGACATCTGATTTTAATGATCTTTATTATTTGGGTAGTTTTTAAGAGATGCCTTCATGAAATGTCAAGGATGTCTGCCCATTACAGTTAGTTAAATTATTAATAGGAATGTGAAGAGGTGAATGTTTTCTTTTTATCTCAGGTAAATGGATGCACTGGAACACACGTACTGAGGAATATGAATATCCACCTAATGCCACCCCAGAATACAGCTCCATCCTGGTGCCAAATGTTGACAATGTGAGGACTGACTTCCTAATTAAAACCATTGCTAAACAGGGCAAGGTATGACTCTTTAACTTTTATTAAAAATCACATATTCTTTTAGACTTCTGGCCAAAATGGAAGCATAGGTTGGTACACTTTACCTCCTTGCACAACCTAAAGGACAACAAATTTAAAAGCAAAAAACAACCAGAACCGCCTGAAAATCAAACTGTATGGAAGTCCGGCACCCAAGGAGTTAAAGAAGAAACATTCATCCAGACCAGCAGGAGGGGCAGAGATGGGCAGCCAGGGCAGAGAGGATGTGTGGCAAGGCAGTGGCAGGAGGACCAGGCAATCCCACATTTGCATGTGGATAAACTGGAGGAACAGCTGGGGAGAGAGACAGACTGCTCAACTCAGGGTTCTAATGTAGGAAAAGAAAGCCTCAAAACCTCTGGCTATAAAAACCTGTGGGGGTTATGGCAGTGGAAGAAACTCCCAGCCTCACAGGAGAGTTTGTTGGAACACCCACAGTTGTGTATGTTCTGGAGGGTCCCAGAACATACACAAACCCACCCACCTGGGAATCAGCTCCAGAAGGGCCTTATTTGCTTGGGGTAGTGGGGAAGTGACTGAAAGCCGGCTAAAAGCCGAGCAAGTGGCATTCTTCTCTCTCCAACCCTTCCCCACATACAGTGCCATAATGCAGTGACATGGGTTGCCCTGCCCTGGCAAATACCTAAGGCTCCACCCCTTACATCATAACGGGCATGCTGAGACAAGGAAATATGGCCCAGATGAAAGGACAGATCAGAACTCCAGAAAGAGAACTAAGTGACGAGGCGACAGCCTACCTATCAAATTCAGAGTTCAAAACACTGGTAATTAGGATGCTCACAGAAATGGATGAGTATGGTCACAAAAATAGAGGAAAAAAGTGAAGGCTATGCAAAGTGAAATAAAGAAAAATACTCAGGGAACCAAGAGTGAAGGGGAGGAAACTGGGTCTCAAATCAATGATTTGGAGCAGAAGGAAAACAATAAACATTCAACCAGAACAAAGTGAAGAAACAAGAATTCAAAAAAATCAAGAGAGGCTTAGGAACCTCTGGGACAACTTCAGACATTCCAACATTGGAATCATAGGGATGCCAAAAGGAGAAGAGGGAGAGCAAGAAATTGAAAACCTATTTGAAAAAATAATGAAGAAAACCTCCCCAACCTGGCAAAGGAAATAGACTTTCAGGAAGTCCAGGAAGCTCAGAGAGTCCCGAAGAAGTTGGACCCAAGGAAGCGCACACCACGGCACATCATAATTACATTACTGAAGATTAAAGGTAAGGAGAGAATCTTAAAAGCAGCAAGAGAAAAGGAGACAGTTACCTATAAATGAGTGCCCATCTGATTTCTAAAAAGAAACCTTATAGGCAAAAAGGGGCTGGCAAGAAGTATTCAAAGTCATGAAAGACAGGGACCTATATCCAAGATTACTCTGTCCAGCAAAGCTATCATTTTGAATGGAAGGTCAGATAAAGTGCTTCACAGATAAGGTAAAATTAAAGGAGTTCATCCTCACCAAGCCCTTATTATATGAAATGTTAAAGGGAGTTATCTAAGAAAAAGAAGATCAAAACTATGAACAGTAAAATGACAACAAACTAACAACTATCAGCAACTGAACCTAAAAACAAAAACAACTAGCAAACAAGTAAGCAAACAACTAAAACAGGAACAGAATCACAGAAATGATGATCACGTGGAGGGTTATCAGTGGGGTGTGGGAGGGGGAGCATGGGGGAAAAAGTACAAAGAATAAGAAGCATAAATGGTAGATATAAAATAGGCAGGGGGAGGTTAAGAATAGTATAGGAAATGGAGAAGCCAAAGAACCTATATGTACGACCCATGGACATGAAACTAAGGGTTGGGGGGAAATGGGGTCGGACGGGACTAAAGGAGAGAAAAAAATGGGACAACTGTAATAGCATAATCGATAAAATATACTTTAAAAAAACGAAAAAGAAAAAATAAATAAAAATTAGAATGAGAGAAAAATCCCATACTTTAAAATGTTGCTTGAAAACACAAAGCAACTTGCCTTTATTTGAGAATGTTTTATTTTGCTATTTAGAATAAATGTAAATATTACCCAAATTAGCATACTTCTTTTATTATTCTCCAAGAACAATAGTAGCATTGACTAGATCTAATTATTTCTCATGAGGGAAAGTGAATTTTGACTTGTTTTGCCAAAGAGAAATCCTTTTCTTTGAATTATTATATTAGGTTGCTAGGGCTGATATAACAATACCACACACTGGGTGGCTTAAACAAGACACATTTTATTTTTTGCGCAGTTCTGGAGGCTTGAAGTCCAAGATTCAGGTGGCAGCAGGCTTAGCTCTTTTATTTTTGAAGTCTCTTCCCTTGGCTCACGCGTGGCTGGCGGTCTTCTGACTGTGTCCTCCCGTGATCCTCATCGGCCTGGGAACCTTTGTGTATCCACGTTTCCTCCTTTTATAAGGGCGCCAGTTAGTCTGCACTACGCCCCCAGCTTTATGGCTTCATTTTAACTTAATTATCTCTTTAAAGACCCTTTCTCCAAATACAGTCACGTTCTGAGGTACTAGAGGTGAGGGATTCAACAGATGAATTTGGGGGAGGGGGACACAATTCAGCCCACGATAATCGTCTTACTGTATTTCTTGGATTTTTCCCTCAACTACTGTTGTAGGCTGTGTTGTTAATTGGTGAGCAAGGGACAGCCAAAACGGTCATAATCAAAGGATTTATGTCAAAATACGAACCTGAAAGTCACATGATCAAGAGTCTGAATTTTTCTTCTGCAACGACTCCACTGATGTTTCAGGTACCGGCTCTTTGAATTTGCTCATGAAGCCCAGGTTTATGATAAAGTGGTTGCTCAAACCTCATTGCTATTTGTTTTGCTCACCAAGCTGCATCTCCCCGCTCACAGCTGTGGTAAATCCCCTACACATCTTCCGCTTTCTCTATTATTCAAGTGCAATAGAATTTCTCTCTGATTAGGTTAAAATCTATAAACATCTTAAGTTATAGAGAAATGAAAAGCTATAGAAGGTGATAAAGGCCTTAATCCTGTTTAAAATATCTATGTAGAAAAGCCTGTGAACATGCAAAATCCAAAACTGACTGAAAAAAATGTCAATTATTCTGCCACCTCATCCTACATCCACTCATTACCGTTGTTCCCAAACCTCAGTATTTGAGTCCACCTGCCTGTGCGCACTGGCCCAAAGACACGTGTGAGCAGGAGTTTGCAGTGAAGAAAGGAAGCAATTTATTATTATTTAGGATTGGCCAGTGCAGGGTGCAGTCAAGCTTATGCTCTTAAGGAGCCAACTCCTGGGTGGCGTGTAGGTTATAGATTATGTAGGACAAAAATCACAAGACACCATGGCTGGGTTAGGGGTTTGGGGATGTGTTAGAAACTGATTGGTTGGAAGCGAGGTAAGGGTGATGATACATTATTTCTTCAGATCTGGAGAGGGCTCTGAGGTCTGCTTTCACCTTCCTCTGGTTTCATGGAAAAGTAGCCCGGGGATTATTCCTCCTGAGGACTCAGGAGCTGAAACATAGGTCAAGGTATTGTCTTAAGCCTGTCAGCGGTCCAGGCCTTGTGACCATTAGTCAGGTCTGGGCTATTGTGTTCTGCTGCTTCGGAGGTTAGCTATTATCTGGGGGAAAGCCTCGGTCTCTGAGGTGTAGAGAGAGAGACAGGAAAAAAAAGAGATTTCTAAAGCTCTAGCCACAAATCAAATCAAATCAAATCAAATCATTAGGCCTTCTGATTCACTGTCTACTTTTCTGTGGGTGTTACTATTATTCTAGCCTCTAGGCTAGATATACTGGAGTCACTTTTGATTGGTGTTTTTTGACTCAAGGAGTATTAACATATCTAAGGAAATACTTTTCACGTCTTTTCCTTTTTCTTCATTCTCCCTGTGTGCCCCTACACAATCCACTTCTTCATGATTCCGCACCGGGGTGGTAGCAGGAAGGAATCCTCATCTGGTCGTTGCTCAAGTCTAATTCTTTTACAGTCTACCTTTCAAGCTCTGGTTCCTATATGTGCACTTTTGTCTTGTTCCCTGACTTAACATTCTACAACAGCTTCCATTATCAGTTGCAACAAGGAATAAAATCTTAGAATCTTAACATACTAAAGATAATACCCTATCATATCATTGAGGAGTAACAGAAAACAAACAAACAAACCAACAAACCCTTGAATTTCCATTGCTTTTGTCGATGAAGCTGCCAAGAACCAGAGTTTGCAGTGGCTGGCTGTTTGTTTTCTCCTGTTCCTAAGTTATTTAAAACCTTTGAAACCAAAGAGGAAATCCTAAATGTCAGTTCATCTTTCAGTTATTATTAAATCACCTCTCATACCTGTAACAGAACAAGTAATGCATTCATAAAAAGACATATTTTATAAATTTATAATGGAAGGAAAGTTTTGAGGAGAATCCAAATCTCAAGAAGTTTGCTTTTGATTAACTTTGATGTGCTTTAGTTGTTGGGGAGAAAATATCAAAGAGTGATGAAAACTCTTGAGACCATAGCTACATCATGGCATTTTTCTCACTTAATGTAACTGGTCGCTGCAGTATGCCAGTACGCTGAGACCATTGATTAAGTTTCTAATGAGACTGTCAACTCTATAATGCTCCTCTTTTGGAGGTGGCATTTTCAATACTGGCTAGCCTTCAATCAGATGAGTACTGTTTTCACGGTGTCACGATGGGAAGATCTGGGTGGAAAGTCAGCCCCAAACTGCAGTGACTCAGCAGTGGTATTTTGTGTTTGGGGCACAGCATGTTAAATTATCCTAGTTGCAAGGTGCTAACATTATACACACTCCTTGATATTGTTTTACATGGAAAGAACTTTAGTTAGTTTTATTTTAGAACAATATCCCCTTTAAAAGTTATAATTCTACTCATGGATGCAGATTTTAAAACATTAAATCAAAGCATGATTTTTTTTTTCATTGTGTTGTGTAGTTATCTAGCTACTCACATTTCTTGAGACTGCATTAAATCTTTAGGGCTGTAATGCAGTGCTGACAGTAACTACCTGGAGTTACTAAAGACTTTGCAAATGAAACGCTTAGGAACCCGCAACAGGGCCCTCACTTCTGACTACAGCCTTAAGCTCAGGGATTCCAGCCCACCAGTACTTCTGAACAATTAGTTACAAATTCTGGGGTTCCTATGACCCTCTCCTTTTTGACGGTTAACTAGAATGACTCACAGAATTCAGGAAAATGCCAGGCTTATGGTTAGCAATTTTAACGTAGAAGATACGAATCAGGATCAGCCAAAAGAAGGGATGATGCCTGGGGCAAAGTTTGAGAGTCTCAAATGCTAATCTTCTGTGTCTTCAGAACGTGTTACCCTCTAGCCACATGGTGTATGTCCCCAACCCAAAAGGTCACCTGAAGTACGATACCCTGAGTTTTTATTGGGGTTTCATTATATAGGCATGACTGATCGAATTGTTGGTTACGTGACTGAACTTAATCTCCATGACTTCTCCCACCTAAGGAGGTGAGCTGATAATGTATACTTCAAAGCCCCAACCTTCACATGTTTTTTCTGGCATGCATTTTCTGAGGGACCCACTGTGAATGACAAAGGCATTCTTATTACTCAGGAAATTCCATGGTTTAATGGCTCTCTCCCAGGAACCAAGGAGAAGGCCTGCCAGATTTTTTAGTACAAAATAAAACCTTCTCACTTTATTTTTGTTAGTAACTCTTGGTGATATTTACCCTTTTAAGGTAGTAAAGATCTGTGATATATATCTGTTTAACATGAAATATTTATTTCCTGGAAAAAGGCATACATTATCTAGAAAGCAACCTCTTTGTTGATATACAAATTCATAAATTACTAGCAGTCATTTCATATTGCAGTATGATAATTAGAATTATAAAGCAGGCTTTTAAAACAACAAAAAAAAATGTTCTTCCAGGTTTCATTATCTGATTCACAAGTATTTTAGCCCATTTCCCTCCTGTCCTTCAGTGTGAAGGTGGCGTCAACAATTCATTATTTCATTTTCTGTTCAGAAGCATCATAGGATCATCTACCCTGTTTAGTGCCTGTTTTGACTGCTGAGCAACCAAGCTTTCGATTAAGTTAGTCATTAGTTTTAGAAAGGTTTCAATTATTCAAACTGCTGTCATTAATTTTCTCATTATAATTTTCAGCCTTTTATGCTAAACAAGGGCTGATGGAGCTGAACATTTGTCTCTGTATCTCCCACTTATCTGTATCCAAATGAAGTTGAGATTCTAGATGAGAAAATAGATACTGTCTAATCATCCCGTGTTACTCTGTTAGCACAGTCCATTCAAGGACACATGTCTGTTACTTGACAGGTTGTTTTCATCAGACTTTCCTTTGTATTCACCATGGTGTCACTTTCATATCTTTTATCAGAAGAAGGACTGACTCTATGTCCCTCTCCGCCTGCCTGGGACCGCCTACTTCCATTGTATGAGATTAATACTTAATGGCATCCCCTGTCACTACTGAAAGTGTGTGCTTGGGGCAAAAATTGTATGGTTCCTCCTATCATTTGTGAAGGGAATTCAGTTGGTCTTTTGAAAGAGATGTCTCATTTTTTTCCAAAATGATATTGTTTTAATGTATTTTTTATTTTTGGAAGTAATCCATACAGACCTTTCAAAATGTAAACAATACAGAGAGATAAGGAAGTAAAAGTTTCTTTTTTTTCTTTTCTTTTTTTTCTGTTTCGTATCTTTTTTTTTTTTTCTTTCTTTCTTTATTTTTAAATACATTTGTCTCTGCCTCCCCCCCACCACTTTCCCTTGCCCCCTCCCTCCTTCCCTCCTTCCCTCCCTCCTTCCCTCCCTCAGTTCTTCCCCTTTGGTTTTGTCCATGAGTTCTTGCTATATGTTCCTTGACTTTCCCCTTCCCTTCCCTTTCCCTGCCCGCCCCTCCCTCCTTCCCTCTTGTAATGTATTTTTTATTTTTGGAAGTAATCCATACAGACCTTTCAAAATGTAAACAGTACAGAGAGATAAGGCAGTAAAAGTTTCTTAAGAGAATTTCTGAATTCTGAATTTATTTCCTCTAAAAATAATCATAATGTGTTTTGAATACAAATTATCTTATAAATGGTTGCATAGCAGTAGGTTTTGTTTTTCAAAATATGAGAATTAGTCCTGGTTGGTGTGGCTCAGTGTACTGAATGCTGGCCTGTGAATCAAAAGATCTCTTGTTTGATTCCCAGTCAGGGTACATGCCTGGGTTACGGGACAGGGTATGTGAGAGGCAACAACACATTGATGTTTCTCTCCCTCTCTTGTCCCTCCCTTCCCCTTTCTCTAAAAATAAATAAATAACTTAAAAAAAATGAGAATCATAGAGCCAGGAAATCCTCCATTTTTTACCCCCTAGACTCAGACCACGTTTTTAAATGAAATCTTCTGCATAAGTCTAAGCTACAAACGAAGGAGCCAAAGATTTGCTTTGGTGGAACTGGAGCTGCTTTCCTGAACCCCTTCCAGCTTCATCCTTGCTTCCTGCAGGGGTCCCTGCAGTTGCAGGAAATTTTTTTGACTCCTCAGAGCACAGTTGGAAGACCAGTTTGCAGAGGAGAATCACAGAGCTTATGTGACAGTATTTTTTCATGGCAAAGTTCTCTAAAAATGTCAGGTTTTACTGTGAATGTTAATGCACTCAGGTGGAGGGAGATTAAAGTACTTATTTTCTAGTCCACCCGTATCTTCCTCCCAATGGCTTTTATTTATGCACATTAATCTTCACATAATGGATGTATTACTTAGTGCATTTG